GACCTTCAAAGCTGCTAAAAAAAAAGTCATGATAACGCTTAACGCAGCTGGAGAATGCCACCTACCTCTTGTTCAGTCGAAAGAGCTACGCCGATAAGCGCGACGTTCGAGCGTACCGTAACAATGTTCTCTGGCCTTATTCTGAACACCATTTAAACTTCCCTCTATTGTTATCGCTCGTCGGTCAATCACGCGGGCATAGTTGTGCTGCCGTTATCACTGATAACATGGCCAAGCGGCACGACAAACACGAAAACGAGAATAAAGGCCGTTAACTGCCCTGTTAAACTAAAAAAAAAAATGATTGAGTGGAACGAAAAGGGCATATTTTTGTCCGACATCGATAAACGTGATCCGGCTCACCTGCGCTTCCTTTCTTGGAAACTCGGTGCTTGTCACTTTCCTATCCAAAATGCTACGTCACGCTGATAACGCGCATCTGCTACCCTTCATCCCTTTCCCAGTGCAGGGTAGCAAACCGAATGTGCGTCTGGTTAACCTCCCTGCCTTTTCTTGCATCTTTATCTCTCCCTCTCTCTCTCTCTCTTGTTCGTGACCAGAAAGTGCCATGCGTGCCGCAATAATGCAAGGAACGCGAGATAGATGACGATTCTTGTTGTGGGACAAGAACACCCTATTTTTACTCGATCATTTTTTAAGATGTTTCAAATGAGGCACCCGCTTCGTTGAAAGTTATCGTAATGACGACAGAAACGTATTCATCCGGCCTGCTTGATGCCTGACTTCAGTGGGGAAAAACGCAAAATGTATACATGACACACCCGGGGAATAGACATGATCAACGTATTCTGTTCACTCTTTCAACGCCGCATCACTGCGCCGCGTTCCCACTCGCAGAAGGCGTAGTCTGAATGGCGGATGGGGTGAGTGGCCGATTCACGATACTTGAACTACGAGCGCGCAACCGCAGCAAGGCACGCGAAGGCGCACCTGTCTCTGTTTTCATTTCGTCCGCGGCGGTGGAGGTATAGGGGTTGTGGCTCCATGGTTCCTGATTCGAAGGCCACGGGTCCGATCCCGGCCGCGGTGGTCAAAATTCGATGAAGGCGTGAAATGCTAGAGGCCTGGGTACTCTGTGATGTCTCTGTACTTACAACAGAGAATAACAGATGGTCGAAATTTCCGGAGCCCTTTAGTATGGCGTGCCTCGCAATCAGGTGTGTGAAAGCACTCGTACTATTTGTGTTACAGTCTTCATCTGTCTATGGGTATAGTTACGCACTCGTATTTGAAGTATAAAACGGCCGATGTTGCTTACGAAGAAGGTCGTGATTATTAACCTGTACGTCCTCAACAAGAAATAGTGACTGACAACACATGTCGAAATTTGCGAATTCAAACGCATGAAATGTGATTACCATGACAAATTTGATCATTTGCCCTATAAAGTGGCCATAATTCAAAATCAAATTATTCTTCTGTCTATAGCGTTGAGGTCCTCATAGCAAGAGTAAGTGAAATTCATTGTGATATACGTTATTGTTTATTGGTCTTCAAATTGCGTGTCGTGGAAAGGCTAAGGTTTATACCCCCCTCGCTTACTTCGGAAAGAAATGCGTACTCTAGGCACTTTAGGCGTCTATCTGCGTATCTATCTATCTAGCCGCTTACCTCTGGAAGCTCTCGTGATCACTCCCTCAACTTGGCCTGAACCAAGATTAGTATGGGAGTGTTAAGATGTCTTGACGAATATGACGCGCCGGTCAAGAGATGAATAACGTCCCAATCCCGTCGCGTACGTCGTCAAGCACTTCCCGCCAGACAGTGGCGCATACCTGAGGGCGTGTATGTGTCTCTGGTATACGCAGGTATTCGCTGCAGGAGACTGTGAGTTTATATGTACCCAGAACCGGCGACAGCAAGCATTCGTAATTTAAATACGAGAGCGTTAAGAAAAGCAGACAGCGGCCCGACGAACATCAAGATCCCAGCAGGAATCGAACCCAAGCACTCTGCGTGGCACTCGAGTATTCTACCGCAGAGCCACGCCACGTCTCGATACTGCTTTGGAAAAATACACTATTCCTGTGCAATGGTGGTAAAACGTCATTTGAGGTTGCAATTCTAGTCATCCAATTTTACGCACATTACATATACTCCTATGGTATAGACATCTCGTCGGGTTAAGTTGTAGTTAAGTGCCATCCACTCAAGTTCATTTATGAAGCAATGTCTGCAGGGCTACCATCCTCGCGAGCACCAGTGTTACAAATCAGCTTACCGCTTCTCGTTTTGCTAATACCAATGTTGCTCTTGGCACCGTTGCGCAACTGTAATCAACCGGTTGTATAAAACACGTGTGGCTGTTCAACATATGTCTGCGCGTACAATGTTTTTACATGTATTTGGCGTTATTTCGTAACGACGTGTCGCTCAGTATTAAAATTTAGTACACGGTCAACTTCCCTCCGCGTGCTTCGCGTAACGACGATAACCATTGTGCGTGGTATATGCGGATTTTTTTAAATTTTGTGTCAATGTTTTACACTGTAGCTTTGTAACATTGTTATATTTTTCGGCGAACAGCGGCAGAGAGAGCGCGGAATAAACAAGTCGGAATGGTAATACGATAACCAATTCGTGGCCAAAAAATTATCAGGAGGCAGCTACAATTTCTGATTATTCGTGCGCTGCTATACCGATCGAAGTTACATTAAATAGATAATGCAAGTATATTTATTCTCAAGAACGCAAGTTCCCCATACGTGTTCTCGTCCAGATTCCTGAATGAAGTGCTCACAACGCCTACATGGTTTGTGACTGCTGACTCAGTCAGTGAGAAACCCACCACGGGGGTCTGGTGGCATGCTGCTCGTCTGCTGACCCGAGAGTCACGTGAATCGAATCCGGGCCGCTTTTTTAATGGAGGCAGTAGTGCTTGGGGACTGTGTACTCAGATTTATGTGTACGTTAATGATCGAACCCCAAGTGGTCTGATTTACCGGAGCTGTCCCTCATAATCATTTATCTTTTAGAACGTTAAATTTCATTAATTGTTAGTCTGTCAAACAGTGCATCAATGAAAAACTGTTAAACATATATGAAAGACACCTAAAAACTCTAAACTAGAAGGATAACCATGACACGCGCAGGTGCTGTTTTCTGCACAGTGGTGAAAACTGACGAAAAAAACAAAAACAAAGATAACGGAACCTGTAAATGCACAGCAAGACGGCGCCCGTGATAATTGCACAGAAAATGAGCCAAGGTGATATACTAACGTGGTGGCACGATCGAAGCAACATGCCAAACCAACCTGTACTCGTATTGTCTGCTTGATGCTTAAAGATATCGCGCGACAAAACACCGTGTGTGCTGAAAACTTCAATAACTCACGAGGTACTCTCTCTGGTTTAGGGGGAGGCTTGGTACGGACAGAATGCCGAAATTAGATGAGCAGATAGGGCGTGCGTCTCTAGTAGGAGGGTGGCGAGGGGAGGGATCGCGATAGCTCTGCTGACAGACACTTGCTTATCATGGGCTGCGCGAAAAATATAGCCTCTTACAAGGGACTCTAACCACCCACTTGCACTAAGCATGTTTCGTATAGCCATCGGGAAATAATGTAGTCGACGTAACAAGATAACGCGGAACAGCGTCAGAACGTGGCATAGATCACCTTTCATGGAACTACCTGATAATATTTCGAACAAAAACTAGAGTTGCTCTGTTTGGTTATTTCGCGAGCGAGGTAGCGTTTAACATAAATATATTACCACGTGCTTGCGTCAAGAAAAAAAGTGCAATCATGCACGTGCTAAGTAGGATGATAAAAAGGACAAAAAGAAAACTCGCTTGCACACCGTATTAAAAAAAAACTGACCTGCTGCTGATATCTCGATCTCTGCATTAAGACTTCTCTTTTCACGATGTGACAACATTATTGCAGCCCTTCGCGGGGAACTACAGAAATGTCTGAAAGCGGTTAACGATCGGAAGATAGCATGGTCACAATACGTTATCAGTATATCATGCTCTTCTCGGAAATAGTAATATCTGACGCTAACGCAGAAACGCTGTTCACAGACACACACCACTTTGCCTTCGTTATTTCTGAGACCCTCTTCAAATAGAGCAGACCACCTAATTATTGACCGATGTCTCGTGAGGAGTGAGTACCAAATGGGAAGCGGAAACAAGCTTTTTCCTCCCTACTATTACACTACTATCATCCGAGTCAGGACGCAAATTCCAGCCAGACCTGCTCTATGTATACGCTTTACCAATACAATACGAAACCGATATCAGAGGCAACAACCGCCTGCTAGTCTCGAAAACCTACCTCACTGGATTGCTTCACAAGGCAAGTTTTTACCTCAAACTAAAACCTATGGGAGTTATGATGCTCGGCTGACGACGCGAAGGTCGTGGGATGGAATCCCAGACTCGGCGGGCGCACTTCGATGGAAGTTAGAGGACCCTGTACTTCACCTATAGGGGCACGTTAAGGAAGCAAGCGGCCGAAATTTCCGGAGACTTGCAGTCCGGCATCCCTCGTAACCATATTATGAAATTAGGATGCAAGGGCCGAACGTGTATTGTTATTATAAATTTAAAACTATTACGCTAGTCTCGAACATCTTACGGCATTTCTTAATACTGTTAAAGCTTTACATCCAAAGACACCCGACATTATTATGAGAGACTATAAAGCAGGACTCCGGAGATTTCATCCAGCTGGTGTCTTTAACGTGGGCCTAAGAAACGTACCCACACGGGCCAACATGTGCGTGCCAGGATTCGGTCCCGCTATAACTTCGGGTCAGTACTCGAGCACCATAACTACAATGCAACCACGTCGGGTTTTCGGGATTTGTTCGCAATGCAAGTGTTTATCTCAGAGCCGTAATAATATTGTTACCGGCAGGCATACAATATGGAGCCCAGTCAGCACGACGAGCTTGCCCTAAACATTGTCCTCTTTTCTACGATGTTCGTTTGTGGCGCCCCGTAGCAATGTGTAGAACTCGAATGCCCACCTGGTCGAGCGCGGCCTGCTGGCGCGGGCTCAGGTCTCCCGGGCGTCCGCTCATTCCAGTGGCTGCTCGTTTTCTGACGCGGCGAGTGTAGGCGCCGTGCCGCGGTCGGTCCGTCGATCGCCGTTTGGAGCGCACCGCTATCGTGCCTCACCACCTCCGGCCAGCGGCGCTCGACGCCCAGCCCCTAATGTGCGGTGACGACAGGGGTGGAGAACGTCGCCGCCGCTCGCAGAACGTGGCGATTGCCACCGCGTCGAATGGAACTTGCGTGGCGATGTGTTTACGCAAAGCCGCTACGTGGTGCATGAATTACACTTGGCTAACACAGGTCCACGCACGTACCTATGTTTTCTCTCTTATTGCCAGCTACAGATGAGCCTCAGCACTGCGGTGTACACGTAGATGTGTGTGCGTGCGTGTGTGTGTGTGTGTGTGTGTGTGTGTGTGTGTGTGTCTGTGTGTGTGTGCGTGCGCGCGCGTGTGTGCGCGTGTGTGTGCGTGCGTGCGTATGCGTGTGTGTTGTGTGTGTGTGTGTGTGCGTGTGTGAGAGAGAGAGAGAGAGAGAGTGTGTGTGTGAGTGTGTGTGAGTGTGTGTGTGAGAGAGAGTGTGATTGTGCGTGTGTGTGTGAGAGAGAGAGAGTGTGTGTGTGTGTGTGTGTGTGTGTGTGTGTGAGAGAGTGTGTGTGTGTGTGAGAGAGAGTGTGTGTGTGTGAGAGAGAGAGAGAGAGAGAGTGTGTGTGTGTGTGTGTGTGTGTGAGTGTGTGTGTGTGTGTTCGCACGTTGTCGCTATTTCTTAATGAACATGAAAGAAAGTTGGCAAAATCGTAATCCCGCGTTTTTTCTGGCCTCATGTAGGGTCATTCAACTTGTTAAACACGTCAGCGTGTCTCTCTCTTTGAAACTTGCATGCGAAAACACTTTGCGAGGGTGTACGTTGTAAGAATAATAATTGTCTTACGCAGTAACGTGGTGTTTGCAAGCTGCTAGCACTGGCGCTCGGTCAAATCATAAAGGAGGGCGAATGTTCGCAAGAACACTGCTTTGACTCAGACCCCTGGTCTGAACCAATCAGCCATGCAGAAACAGAATGTCAATTTTTATTTTTTTTTTTCATTTTTCCAACGTGAGACTAGCAAATGTGAGGAGGCGTGAATTTTATGTGGGAACCGATCATGAGTCGCCAGCACGTGTGAACATCGCTTGCCTTGAGTGGCTTTCTTTGGTAGCCAGTCGTAAATGGTAAGCGCGACTGATGCTAGTCGCGACATACAGTTAATGTGTGGAGGAGTGACTCAGCTTTAAGAATTATGGGGTTATTGCGTGTGAAAGCCCAGTATAATTATGGTGTTGAGCACTTTCCTGTCGGATTTGTATAACGTAGTGAAGATAACGGTGTAAGCACCGACTAGTACTCCTTGTACCTAAATGTAATAATAAGTCGAGGGGTTTAACGTTTCAAATCCACGATATGATAGCATTAATGCAGGGCTCCAAAAGTATCGATCGCTTGTTTTTTTTTTTAACGTGTACCTCGATCTCTGCCTCAATCGTCTACGCCTCCATCAAAAATACGTACAACGCGGCCCGGTTTCGATCTCGTGTATTGGCGCAAACTATGGGAGGGAAGCGGGTGATTTTTATATGACATCTTTATAAAACTATCTACGCTACTTAGATAAACCAAAAATAATTTATCAGTAGCAAGAATAGGCACATATTGAACTAAACAAAATTAAGGTACGTAGCTTTAATACGTTTCGTGTAATTCATCGCCAATGTCGGAAAAAGCAGCAGAGCAGGTAAACGTGACACTCCACCTGTTCGTCATTATTCATTTACTTTGCTTCAAAAAAATTTTTTTCCGGCAAAACCAATTACAGATCTCTTCTTTCCACTTATCCAGCATATATTTATTAAATTATGAAAACAAAAGAAATTAAGAGGTTGACCAGCCATGCTTTGTTCCATCTTACGTTGAATCACCCTAAATTTTTCACTGTGACTTGAAACAAACAATTAAATTTTTATAATACGTTTGGAAAACGAGGCATCCCCTCGCTTCTTATTCTTTAGCGCTTTGTCTACCTGCTCCTGAGTTGCCCGTTTCAGCCACGCCGTAAAGAAAGGGACTCAGGAATGTGTTGATTGGTCGGTGGATACTTCATTCACCGTGCTGTCGAACATAAAGAAACACCCTATTTTGCGAACCGAGCTGGGCAAAGGACAACTGGAATTCGACGCAGTAATCCAGTTAATCAAACTTGCGGAAAACAACCGATGCCAGCAGTGAAATGGGACGCACCGCCAACCATACGCCACGCGGAAATGGCGTGAGTGGTTTACGAATGCGGAACCGAGGAATGTCGTCGAGGGAAAGGAGGTGGAAGAGCAAAAGAAGTAAAACTGGCCAAGTATCTGCAATCTTTGCTGACAAAGGTCCTCCGTCTGGAGTGAGAGGGAATAAAACGTTCTGCGAGAGAAAATGGGGGAGTCGGCAGTGCGGTATATATACGGGTACCATCTGGCAGTAGTTACAAGAAACAAGAACTTTTTATAGAACGCAGAGTCAAGATATGTAGCAGAACCGTGTCGTTTTAAAGCGAAAGCTGTTATGAGATCAGAACACGGGTCACGCGCGGCTCCGTAGTTGTCCACCGCCGCCGGTGTCCGTAAACAGTATCGAACGAAAAAAAAAAAAAACTCGGTAAATAAAGAACATTAATGACACAATGCCATTCGAACTCGGGTACGCTGCGTTCTTGCCTACGCCCACTGAGCCACGCCGGTACTTGGAACTCAGTTTTCCTGAGCAGAACTCCCTCGGACTCGCACTCACGAAAATTCTGTAAAACCGGACTAACTCCAACTCAGACTCACAAAAATATTACCCACCCGCACTCTCTCAGACTTAGACTCACAGCTTGATCGGAGTCTGAGATAGTTCAAGTGAGTCACGACTTATGAGTGAGTTCGCCGACCTACGGCAGAAGGCGACACTGGCGCAAAGAGAATACGGCACTTCATTTTGAAAGCTGGTGAAAACCCCACCACATGCGTCTGTTGGTTCGATATATTATTGCAGTTCGTCGAAGGTCGTTATTTTATTGACGAGTGCATGGACACAACTGGCACGTTGCCAGATGTGGTATTTTTTTCCCTCGATGCCGGCTTTTCTACCTGTGGTATACCCACTTCCGCTTTTGTGCCAACGCAAAGCCGCATCTAAGATGCGTTATTCATGCATGTAACAAAGCGCGCGAAGAGACCTAAACAGTCACATATGCAAATGATCCCTACAATGGTAGTAAGAACGCAACGAGCATATATTCATATATTGCTTCCTCGTAGTAAATGTGAGAGAGAGACACTCATTTGAATGTTCGTCATTGCGTTTGCCGACAGCGATTGCATGTGTTCCGGGCATAATGTGTAAACACTTCGTTTATCCTGTAGGAAGCGGGAAAGAGACTGTGAAACATTACAATAGGCTGTAAACAAGCAAGTGTTTTATGCCGGGTTCCACTAACACTCCACTGACAAAATTTCTGTCATGGAGGTGACGTCGGTAAAGTGTGTACGAATAGATGACAAAGAAAGACTAGAAAAAGGTAGTTTCGCTTATTTGGACGACCTGGGAGTCGAACCCGCCACCTCACGGTTCGTGAAGATAGGTGCCAGGCGCTGTATACCCCCGGCGTTACCAACGCTCATGCACGAGGCTTCACAAACGAGCCCTATATCTCTGACACCTTCTCTCTCACACAGTTACGTTGATTGGCAAGGGAGGTATCACCGTTTCAGCTCAGTGAAGTATTGCATTGTGACACTCGGAGCACCGACATGGAACCGGTGGGGCAGTTTCAGCTTTCGTAGGAGCGAGAACAGTTCCTCATCTATTTTATCTATTAATTTTTTTCGAGGAGGCACTGGTGAGAACAAGGCAGCTTGAAACGGAACGCTTTTCTACGTTCACAGCTCAACCTACGAACTTACCTTTCGCTTTCCTGAAGCCTTTGCATGAGGACAGTCGCAGGTTATCCTATTACAGAGGAGAACACACCTTGGCGTTTCTCGCCTGAAACGATGACGCTTTAATTGAGTGAATATAGAGTACAAGTGCTATGTTCTTGGTCATGCCGTCTACGTGTAGTGTCCATCATAGGCTGTGTGTCCTGCTTCGTGTAAGACACAAACACTTTGTATCTTACACCATGGATCCCAGTGTATGTTAAGCACACCAGCTACTACTAAGGTTAAATTAGGAATCCGGCGTTAGCCATCGAGATGCAGATGCACCCCTAGGCGTCAATGCGGGTGCATCGACGTGACATGCTTTTATGTCGATACTGTATGGCATAAAACAGCTATCTGTTTTACTGCAATATGCTTCTATGTCTTACAAACACAAGCAGGCATTGCGCATGCTCTCATACGTCAATGTACAATAAACATTCAACTATACACCTGTGAAGACACGGTTGTCCTTTGTATTATACATGATTCTTAGGATGCAGGGAACCATCATGTTTTCTTAGGCAAAAGCCCTTAATGTGCCATACTCGCGTTTCCTCGTCTCTCCGTCCGTGCCCTGGAACGGTGCCAGCTGTGGCCTCTCCCTCTTACATTCTCTCAACAATCACGTGATTACTGATAGAGTGTAAAAAAGGAAAAGAAAACAAAAACTAAACAGTTAAAAAACATGGCACAGTATGTCGAATGGAATCGGGCTTTCGCCGAACACACTTTAAAATTGCAGTATCCTTCAATTTTACGCTTTATTACCTTTCCCTCACACATTTACAAGATTGGAGCTACTTTCGCACTCATATTGTGTGTATTATTTACAAGCACCTTTTTCGCGAAATTCTGACGAACTTTGAATGACAAAGATTTACGCTATACACTGCTACTAACTTCATTTGCAAATAAACTTGCGTATTACGTAATGAATCATTCAACTTAACCAACTCTATATTTATACAACTCGCTCTCTATTGTCTCTATCCCTGAGAGCTTAATAAGTGGAATGAAATTAGTTAAGTGAAATATTTAGGGAGAAAAATCATGGATAGAATTAAGGTGATCGTTTCACTCCGTTTTGCCGTTTTTCGAGCAAGGGTGACTGTTCTCTTCAGTTTATGGCATCTGTTAAGTCATAGAATAGCTCAGTGTTCGTATATTTCGAGTACATCTGATATCAACAAACAAGCTTGTAATATTCAGATGTGGGTCGCCAGGAGTGAGCCGAACTGACACAATTTTCACAAGATGTGTCTTCGTTGTTGCCATATTTTAAAGCTGCTAGCACTGGCGCTCGGTCAAATCATAAAGGAGGGCGAATGTTCGCAAGAACACTGCTTTGACTCAGACCCCTGGTCTGAACCAATCAGCCATGCAGAAACAGAATGTCAATTTTTATTTTTTTTTTTCATTTTTCCAACGTGAGACTAGCAAATGTGAGGAGGCGTGAATTTTATGTGGGAACCGATCATGAGTCGCCAGCACGTGTGAACATCGCTTGCCTTGAGTGGCTTTCTTTGGTAGCCAGTCGTAAATGGTAAGCGCGACTGATGCTAGTCGCGACATACAGTTAATGTGTGGAGGAGTGACTCAGCTTTAAGAATTATGGGGTTATTGCGTGTGAAAGCCCAGTATAATTATGGTGTTGAGCACTTTCCTGTCGGATTTGTATAACGTAGTGAAGATAACGGTGTAAGCACCGACTAGTACTCCTTGTACCTAAATGTAATAATAAGTCGAGGGGTTTAACGTTTCAAATCCACGATATGATAGCATTAATGCAGGGCTCCAAAAGTATCGATCGCTTGTTTTTTTTTTTAACGTGTACCTCGATCTCTGCCTCAATCGTCTACGCCTCCATCAAAAATACGTACAACGCGGCCCGGTTTCGATCTCGTGTATTGGCGCAAACTATGGGAGGGAAGCGGGTGATTTTTATATGACATCTTTATAAAACTATCTACGCTACTTAGATAAACCAAAAATAATTTATCAGTAGCAAGAATAGGCACATATTGAACTAAACAAATTAAGGTACGTAGCTTTAATACGTTTCGTGTAATTCATCGCCAATGTCGGAAAAAGCAGCAGAGCAGGTAAACGTGACCCTCCCCTGTTCGTCATTATTCATTTACTTTGCTTCAAAAAATTTTTTTCCGGCCAAAACCAATTACAGATCTCTTCTTTCCACTTATCCAGCATATATTTATTAAATTATGAAAACAAACGAAATTAAGAGGTTGACCAGCCATGCTTGTTCCATCTTACGTTGAATCACCCTAAATTTTTCACTGTGACTTGAAACAAACAATTAAATTTTTATAATACGTTTGGAAAACGAGGCATCCCCTCGCTTCTTATTCTTTCGCGCTTTGTCTACTGCTTCCTGAGTTGCCCGTTTCAGCCACGCCGTAAAGAAAGGGACTCAGGAATGTGTTGATTGGTCGGTGGATACTTCATTCACCGTGCTGTCGAACATAAAGAAACACCCTATTTTGCGAACCGAGCTGGGCAAAGGACAACTGGAATTCGACGCAGTATCCAGTTAATCAAACTGCGGAAACAACCGATGCCAGCAGTGAAATGGGACGCACCGCAACCATACGCCACGCGAAATGGCGTGAGTGGTTTACGAAGGCGGAACCGAGGAATGTCGTCGAGGGAAAGGAGGGGAAGAGCAAAGAAGTAAACTGCCGCAAGTATCTGCAATCTTTGCTGACAAAGGTCTCCGTCTGGAGTGAGAGGGAATAAAAAGTTCTGCGAGAGAAAATGGGGGAGTCGGCAGTGCGGTATATATACGGGTACATCTGGCAGTAGTTACAAGAAACAAGAACTTTTTATAGAACGCAGAGTAAGATATGTAGCAGAACCGGTCGTTTAAAGCGAAAGCTGTTTGAGATCAGAAACACTGGTCACGCGCGGCTCCGTAGTTGTCCGCCGCCGCGGTGTCCGTAAACAGTATCGAACGAAAAAAAAAACTCGGTAACTAAAGAACATTAATGACACAATGCCATTCGAACTCGGTACGCTGCGTTCCTGCCTACGCCCACTGAGCCACGCTGGAACTTGGAACTCCGTTTCCTGAGCAGAAACTCCCTCGGACTCGCACTCACGAAAATTCTGTATAAACCGGACTAACTCCAACTCAGACTCACAAAAATATTACCCACCCGCACTCTCTCAGACTTAGACTCACAGCTTGATCGGAGTCTGAGATAGTTCAAGTGAGTCACGACTTATGAGTGAGTTCGCCGACCTACGGCAGAAGGAGGCACTGGCGCAAAGAGAATACGGCACTTCATTTTGAAAGCTGGTGAAAACCCCACCACATGCGTCTGTTGGTTCGATGTATTATTGCCGTTCGTCGAAGGTTGTTATTTTATGGATGAGTGCATCGACACAAATGGCACGTCGCCAGATGTGTTTTTTTTTCCTCGATGCTGGCTTTTCTACCTGCGGGATAACCACTTCCGCTTTTGTGCCAACGCAAAGCTGCATCTAAGATGCGATATTCACGCACGTAACAAAGCGCACGAAAAGACCTAAACAGTCACGTATGCAAATGATCCCGGCAATGGTAGTATGAATGCAACGAGCTATGTTCATATATTGTTTTCTCGTAGTAAATGCGAGAGACACTCATTTGAATGTTCGTCATTGCGTTTGCCGACACTGATTGCATGTGTTCTGGGCGTAATGTGTAAACACCTCGTTTATCCTGTAGGAAGCGGGAAAGAGGCTGTGAAACATTACAATAGGCTGTAAAGAAGCAAGTGTCTTATGCCAGGTTCCACTAACACTCCACTGACAAAGTTTCTGTCATGGAGGTGACGTCGGTAAAATGTGTACGAATAGATGACAAAGAAAGACTAGAAAAAGGTAGTTTCGCTTATTTGGACGACCTGGGAGTCGAACCCGCCACCTCACGGTTCGTGAAGAAGGTGCCAGGCGCTGTATACCCCCGGCGTTACCAACGCTCATGCACGAGGCTTCACAAACGAGCCCTATATCTCTGACACCTTCTCTCTCACAGTTACGTTGATTGGCAAGGGAGGTATCACCGTTTCAGCTCAGTGAAGTATTGCATTGTGACACTCGGAGCACCGACATGGAACCGGTGGGGCAGTTTCAGCTTTCGTAGGAGCGAGAACAGTTCCTCTGTATGGCATAAAACAGCTATCTGTTTTACTGCAATATGCTTCTATGTCTTACAAACACAAGCAGGCATTGCGCATGCTCTCATACGTCAATGTACAATAAACATTCAACTATACACCTGTGAAGACACGGTTCACCTATGTATTATACTGATTGTTAGGATGGAGGGAACCATCATGTTTTCTTAGGCGAAAGCCTTTAATGTGCCATACTCGCGTTTTCTCGTCTCTCCGTCCGTGCCCTGGAACGGTGCCAGCTGTGGCCTCTCCCTCTTACATTCTCTCAACAATCACGTGATTACTGATAGAGTGTAAAAAAGGAAAAGAAAACAAAAACTAAACAGTTAAAAAACATGGCACAGTATGTCGAATGGAATCGGGCTTTCGCCGAACACACTTTAAAATTTGCAGTATCCTTCAATTTTACGCTTTATTACCTTTCCCTCACACATTTACAGATTGGAGCTACTTTCGCACTCATATTGTGTGTATTATTTACAAGCACCTTTTTCGCGAAATTCTGACGAACTTTGAATGACAAAGATTTACGCTATACACTGCTACTAACTTCATTTGCAAATAAACTTGCGTATTACGTAATGAATCATTCAACTTAACCAACTCTATATTTATACAACTCGCTCTCTATTGTCTCTATCCCTGAGAGCTTAATAAGTGGAATGAAATTAGTTAAGTGAAATATTTAGGGAGAAAAATCATGGATAGAATTAAGGTGATCGTTTCACTCCGTTTTGCCGTTTTTCGAGCAAGGGTGACTGTTCTCTTCAGTTTACGGCATCTGTTAAGTCATAGAATAGCTCAGTGTTCGTATATTTTGAGTACACCTGATATCAACAAGCAAGCTTGTAACATTCAGAAATGGGTCGCCAGGAGTGAGCCGAACTGACACAGTTTTCACAAGATGTGTCTTCGTTGTTGCCATGTTTTAAGAAAAAGGTCCACTTGTAGGGAAGCAGATGCAATAAACCTCCTCACATGCAGCACTTGAACCATTGCGCTTTGCATTTTAAACTTCAACACTTTATTTCTATACTTTGCAAGAAAAAAGCTGTTGGGTTAGAAGAAGTGTTCAGGCGACTACACTGAGAAGAAGTATAGGAACAAAGGTTAACGAAAACAGCCTACGATTTGTAGATTACATAGTGCTTGCTATTCATTGATGATGGCAACGAGCTGCAGGAAACAGATGAATCGACCACCTTACTGTAATTATTTTGTGCAGTACGTTAAGAATTTATGTTTGTAGTTGTACGACATCATCTGTTCCAAAACAAGCCTCACAAGGTGTTAGCACGTTTACCAAGTGATTCAAGTCAATATATGAAGATCCTGTCGCCACATCAACACCTCGAGCTCCCGGAATGTATAGAGTCCTCTGACTGACCCTGAACAGCTGACGATACGAGTGAGAAAAAAAGGAACACTTGCCCAAATAAAGGTAACGACGTTGCTCAAGGACGCTGCTATTAGAACGCTACCGAACTACGACACTGAAATTTTCTCGTCTTTTAGGATTCGATCTGTCCTCTCTTCAATGTTACTTTCCTGCAGAGATAACGAACATGCCGTGGGAAAAACTGAGAAGAAGAAAAAACAAGTGAAATTCTTTGCGAGTTTGCAATCGTCGGCGATTGAAAACAGCCGACTGTACTCGAATAGTTGGAGGAAACTCGCACAATGAAACGTCGGTCCACCTAGCTTCTTCTTCTGTTTTTATTTCCCAGTGATTTGCTCAACGCCTTCCGAAGGTTCCTTGCTTGAATAACATTACCCACGCTCATTCGGCATTGAAAACCGACCTGCCAGCGGTCGCACAAACAAGCGCGCCGCATCCTTGAACGAGAGGTTTGTCCCCGATGTGGCTCGATCGTTCCCCAATTCGCCAACGAGTGGCGCGCGCTACCCAAAGCGGTCAAGATCCGCGTTAGCCGGGTTTCAAGAGGAAGAGAACGCTCGGCGCTCTTCGAGTAATCCGCGCCGCAGTGGAGGTGGCATTGCCCCGTGAAGTCGCATCGCGGCACACTTCTCTCCGGTGACAGCGTAGCAGTGGCCAACTGGATACGGCGGGTCTCCGCGATGGCAAACGACGCGAAAGAACAGGCCGCACTCGAACAGGTGAGTGCCGATGCGTGTGACAGCTACTCCAACTTTACAAGTAAAAATAATTTGTGGTCTTTTTACCTGCCAAAACCGCGATATGATATGGGACTGCGCCTTCCTGCAAATTTCGAGCAACAGTGTTCTTCGGCGAACTGTGACGTCACACACTACACGGGCATCTGGCGTTTCTCCTTCATCAATATGCAACCGCCGCGGCAGCATAGATCGAACCCACAACCTTGAGGTCGGCATCCGAGCAATGTAACGGCTGCGCCATCTCGGCGGACAATGCGTACAAAAACATAATGCTAGGCGATGCAGTTGGCTCTACATCGCTGTAAGCAGAACAGCTCCTGATTAGGACAGAAAGAAAGATTTTGTGTGTCTACACCGCGCTTCTCCTATAAGACATGTATTACTATTTGTGTTTTTTTTTATTCTGTCCGCTCAGGTCACAGGTTCGATACCAGCCGCGGCTGTCGCATTTCGGTGGTGGTAAAATGCCAGAGGTTCGTACACACTGTGACGTCAGTGTACCTTAAAGAACACCAGAGTATGTGTTCACACAAAAAAAAAACCTCTTACGCTTGAAACATTTATAAGAGCAAATTTCAGTCATTTGTGATGCTAGACGTATCAATCACTTGAGCCGACTGATCACTGGCAAAGAAAACTTACGAACAAGAGGCTTTGTGAATGCGGACGATATACGCACGCAGCTGTGCGTGGTGGGTAGAAGGGCCAACTCTCGCCTGCATTACGTTGCAATGCGAATCGAGGCCTATATGAAACAGTTCTCCCCTTTCGGTGATCACATCTCGAGCGAGGCAGTGGGAGAACTGGCTTGATAACAAGAATAGGGAGCTGGCTCCGCTCGACAAAGCTCAGCGAGCCGCAAAGGCCCGAGCAGCCCTGGATTGAGTACCCCATCCGTTTGCCCAGAACCCTTCTAGCTGATAATTTTTTTTTTTTCGTAATCGGCCTCAGATGATTGAAACTACCAGAGCCCTCCACTATAATGTGCCTTATAATCATGCCGTGGTTTTAGCCCGTAAAACTTTGTATATTATTGATTCAGTCGGCTTCCCTCCTGAGCTTGAGGATGCAGGTTCGATTCCCTGTGATGGCGACCGCTTTTTACGGGGAGGGGGGAAGCGAATTTCAAAAGAAAAGAAAACACCAGTCTACTTTGTATAAGGCGGACGCTATAGAAATCCAGGCGTTTTAAGTTTGCACAGTTCACCCAACCCCACCTATAGAACGTCTCATAAACATTATCATGTCGTAGCTATATAGACAGAACGTAAAACTGCAGAAATTATCATTCAGCCAAATTCACCACGCAGCTTAGCGGTTTAACGTCGCGCTTCCATGCGTGATTTCGGGGGTTCGATTTCAGTCCCCGGGAACTAAGTTTAATCACGCATCGCACACTTAGGAGAGATGGCGAGTTTCGAGATGTGGCATGGAAATAGAACGAGAACAAGAGAAGTGTCGCATACTCACAGTTGGTTGCATGTTAGGGAGACTCTCGCGGTCAAAACTAATGCGAGTTTCCCCTCTATCGGATGAGCTCACAATTGTGTCTTAGCTTCGGCACGTAAAATATCAGAAATGAATTTTTCTTACAGTCGACGTTGTTACAGGTTTTGCAGGGGGTTTCAAAAGAGTGCGCCTGCACCGTTACTTAAGGTGTGGGGCGCTCTTTCCCCGCTATGCACTGAATGCAGTGAAGTTATAAATATTCAGTGCTCCATCTGGTTGTGCACGCGTGTTTTTTTTTTTTTTTTGCTCCGAATGAGAGAGACTAATGGGCACTATGAAAGAAAAAGCGTTTTCTCACAGACAGTGACATAACCAGGGGTTGGCACACCAAGCCTTTGCCCCCCCCCCCCCCCCCGCCCCCCAGAAGTTTTTTTTCGCCATGGCATACAGAGTGAAAAAATTACCATTATAAGTGACCCTCCACCTCCGCTCACCCTTTTGAAATCAACGAGGCGCCCACCAAAGAAAAAATTCTGCCCCTGCCCTCAAATGCTGCGAAGACATTGTGTTTTCGGCGGGTGTTCGGTTCCTTCACGAGAAAGTGGTTACTTCTACGTTTTTTACGAGGCACAGCATTAAGTGGTATATGGTAGACATTCTTCGTGCAAAGAGTAGCGCAGGTGGAGTAATTTCCGGCCAGGCCTGCCAGGCTACCCCGCTCGTGGCAACATCGTCGCCACCACAACCGCCACCTATGCCCGCCCCTTAAATTGCACCGGGAGTCCATATGAGACACTCTCCTGAATTAAAATTTAAGGCACACATCACGCCTCCTTCTGAACTCGTGTCCATGCTGTAACAAAAAGGGAACAGTTATTATGACCCATAATGCCTGTATGGACCGGAATGTTGACATCCGCTGTATCTTGAGGGTCTGTTTTTCTCAGCGCACGTGTCATAGACGTCGTGCCAACATCTGAAGGTCACAATAAGCTGTATGCGTCCACAGGCTGTCTTCACATTATATGAATGTTGTGACTAGCCCGATGCGGGGCAGCAGCTGATCCGAAGCTCGCCGGTTCGACCCCGGCCACGTCGGTCGCATTTCGAAAGAGGGGAAATGGTAGAGCCGTGTATGTGCGATATCAGTGCACCTTAATGAACACCAAATGGTCCGAATTTGCAGGGCCCTCCACTCAGGCGTTTCTCATTATCATACCTCAGCTTTGGGACGTAATACCCCAGATGTTGTTATTAATGTTGTGACTAAACAAACTATTGCCCAGCGATGGTCATTGTCTTGCTTACACAGTTCGCAAGGAGGTGGGTTTGATTGCTAGCCGCAGAGGCCACATTTTATTTATTTATTTATTTATTTATTTATTTATTTATTTATTTATTTATTTATTTATTTATTTATTTATTTATTTATTTATTTATTTATTACATACTTAAGACCCTTAGGTCCAAGCAGGTGGGCAGTTACAAGAGGACGTAGTTGAAATAATAAGTGGCATAAAGATTGTTTGGGGTGAGTGTTTCATACACTCATAGTGAACACAAGGAGTGACATAGCAAATTATTTCATAACAACGCATGTGCCGGACAAAAAAGAAAAAAAACACCACAAATTCATACTTCATATGCAACTATGACCCCGTCATACTTTCATGATGAATAAATTAAGGCAAAAGTATGAAAATCATTTTTATCCGTGTGCGCCGCACTATACGCGCTGTAAAAAATGAACAAAAAGCTTAAAAATATTTTTGTGAAAAATGATTAGATAAAGGGGCTCGGGTGTTTAACAAACGCTTTCGATACAGCTACAAAGCAATTTGCCCCTGGAATGCAATCGAAGAAACAAGACGATGACTGCATGTCAAGCAGCCACGGCTGACTCTGATTGTATACGATGGAGTCTGCCAGCGACTTACGCGAGTGGACATCAGTTTTCGTAGTGGGCCTTTAGGTCAGCTTGACAGTGCACATGTCGCATACGTCGCCTACGGGCGCGAGAAGGTTAAAAAAAAAAAGAGGCGGGAAAATTAGCAAACGTTCTGTCCTTATTCGAAGTTGTTTTTGTACGTATGTACTCTATCGCGTTCTGTAGACAACCGATTACAAACATGATGCGCTTACATATGTCGGTGTGGCTTCATTCCTCCCTGACTGTCAGATGCCTGTCCGTAGACCTTCATTTCGTTCGCACTGTACTATTCTATATAGTGCACGTTGCAAAGCAAGTCTGCTTCAAGTAAGCTTTTTGTAATAGTATAACGAAGGAAGGGAATAACTATAACAGGAAAGAAGGAAGAACTGGAAAGACGGGGAGGTTTGCCAGTTCTTAAACCTGCTGGCCCCCTTGTGCTGGGGAAAGAGATTGGGGCAGAAATGTATCAAACGTAAGTTGCGTTCATTTCTATCTCAGTAATTAAGTAATTCAAAGAAAAAAGAGGGGGGTTAAGTTCACTGAAGAATTTCCTCGGCATGACGTAATGTGACTGACAGATATTTCATTTCCTTGCCATATAATAACAACGTGTGTTCGCAGCAGACTGTCCGAGACATTAAAAGCGTTTTGGGACGTTAAACCCCACATATCAATCAATGAGACATTAAAAGCTCTGCTAAACTTTTCAACCAAGCACTCTAAAGAAGTAAGACAATGAAGTCTTAGGTTGTCTTGTGTTGCCTTCACCATTCGCAAGGTCAATCGAAAGTTTTCAAAGCTTGTGAAGAAAATTACTTGGCGGCTGTCACTTCATCGACAATTCATTACCTTGCTAGTACTGTTTGTAGCCTCTCTTTTAGACGGCGTAACTTCGATGACAACACGTGAGTAATTCGCACGACGTAAGCCAACGCACCGCGTCCTGGTTCTTGTGAAACCAGCGAACGAAATATCCACATGCGAACTCTAGGTTAATTTTGCGAAATTTCTTCCGTTCTTGCTATTCTGCAGTGAGGCATTTAATTGAAAAGCAGCACAATAGACAAGCAATGCTCGACCAAGTTCGAGCGTTGCTATTTTTCATACATAAATCAATGCGATGTTTTACGCATCGCACGTGAAAAGGTGAGCTCAAAGCAGTTTCCTTTCTGTTTGCTGCGTCTGCATTGATGTACACATCTTGTATCGCCCGGCAAAATCTGACGCAAGCCACGAACCTGTTGTCGACGAATGGCGCGAATTGAGCAAACGGGGCTACACTGTGTACGAATCTCTATGTATCTTCTTTCTGAAGAGCGAGGCAGCCATACCGGATACTTGCGTCAGGTTAACCTCCTCGCTTTCCTGTTGTCCGTCTTCTCGTATTTTTTTTAGAATACGGAGGAGGAGGATAGAAAGAGGAAGGACGGGGAGGTTAGCCAATTCTAAGACCGGCTGGCTACCCTGTATTTAGAGTATGGCCCCGCATTGTACGAACGACTCCACAAGCGTTCCCAGTCGTACTCGCTTGCTGGAACATTGATGCTTTTGAACTTCTCGCATTCTCACCTGAAAGAAACAACATGGTAATAAAAGTAAAGCGTCTATGTTCATCATTATTGCTACATTTTTATGGTATTGCGTTGTTCATGGACATATGCCGCTGCCATGTTTACCTAGAAATGAATATAAAACTACGCGTACGAATTATATCCGTGGAATTCTATGTGGCCACCCTGTATGTATTGGACTCTTACCTTATATGCTGGTAATTCTTTAAATGTCACATATCGTATATCTACTCGGTTGTTACGCATATGCCTCATTTTTTCGTTATTTTATTCATCCTAGTTTCTGTATTTTTCGTATTGTTTCTTCAATCCTAACACCGCGTTGATATCATAGCCTACTCTTCCGTAAGCTATCTGCCCATGTTTTCTTTTTTTTGCTATATAAATAAAATAACTAATGATTGTACTGGCACATATAAAATGTTACGTGAATGAACATGAAGCCAGGAACGTGTCGCTAGACAGTAAGGTGAAATGAAACGCTATCTCCCATTCACTCCTTATACTGTGCAGTATTCTGGATGAACATAGTCCTCGGTAAGTTTCGTGTTATTATTATTATTATTATTATTATTATTATTATTATTATTATTATTATTATTATTATTATTATTATTATTATTATTATTATTATTATTATTATTATTATTATTATTATTATTATTATTATTATTATTATTATAAGTTTTTGTTTGCTAGCTCAATTGCATGCCAATCAATTTCTTCTAAGGCAGCTGCAGAGAAATCTTGTATTGCGGTTCCATGTAAACCCGTGGCATTAATTTTCCAGTACCGTCACATGGGACGAAGACATCTTTTCTTAACAGTATATAGGTAATGAAACTTAACCACTGCCAACCGCCACGGAGCGCGTCTCTTGGAACGAGTGTTTACACTCCCCGAAGCAGTCGCTTCGTTGCAATCTTCGTACGCGAGTCGCCAGAGATTCCGTCGTAGGTGCTGTATATTTGCTACGTGGCGGAAAACTGAGTCCCTGGTGAACGTCGTGATACGAGGCTCGAGATAGCAGCTGTCGCTTTCCTCGGATGCCCGGCGCTTTTTTCGTGGAACGCGGTTATAATGTGGCCCAATGTAGCGGCCTCCCAGATGCGCCTCTCTCGCGACATGTGGACCGTAGCTCCAACGCGCGACGCGTGAGCGGTGGTCTTTTCGAGTGTTCCTGATAGCCTCATTTAGGGAGGACAGTGGCCGTACAATCAATTTCGTAGCCGGCAAACTGTTATCACACCGAGTGGGGAAGATACAGATAAAATGACGAAGAGCAGAACGGCGCACATTGCACGCGGTTCAGCAGAGTTTAATTACCTGCACTCAGCCAGCCTCCTCTTGCTTGATTGATAGATTGCCATGTGGGGTTTAACGTCCCAAAACCACCACATGATTATGAGAGACGCCGTAGTGGAGGGCTTCAGAAATTTGACCACGTGGGGTTCTTTAACGTGCACCCAAATCTGAGCACACGGGCCTACAACATTGCCTCCTCCATCAGAAATGCAGCCGCCGCAGTCGGGATTCGAACCCGCGACCTGCGGGTCCGCAGCCGAGTACCTTAGCTACTTGACCACCGCGGCGGGGCAGCCTCCTATTGCGGCAGCACTCTCCCCTCTTTCCCCCACTTCAAGGTGCAGACAGACGCCACCCAGCCCTGTTCGCACATTACTTCCGATAAATCCGGCTGTTAAATGTAGTAGTAGTAGTGGTAGTGGAGATGGAGAGAGAGAGAAATAGATTGTGTGTGTGTGTGTGTGTGTGTGTGTGTGTGTGTGTGTGTGTGTGTGTGTGTGTGTGTGTGTGTGTGTGTGTGTGTGTGTGTGTGTGTGTGTGTGTGTGTGTGTGTGTGTGTGTGTGTGCGCGCGCAAGGGGAGAAGAAGAGACGAGATATCCCTATTTTGCCAATGCGGCTTCGAGGAGGCACCCCTATTACAGAATGCCTGGAAGAACAAAGAGAACCACCAGATGTCTTCTGAAACGAGATAAGACAAGCGATTGCTGACATCCATGCGGAAAACTATTTATTCCTTGAAGGTGGCCCATTGTACGCGTCTCAATTCGTCCGGCAAATGAATCGTGCGCAGCCCGATTGGTTGTTTATTTCGTATCCGTATATCTCCCGACGAACGACGCACGGACTACAGCGCAGTGCGCCTCATACGCTTGCAGTGCAGGAAAGTTACTCCAGCGTTTCTCAAGCGGGAAGTGCGCCAGACGTACCGTCGAGAATTTCCCGCCCTACCGGCTTCTTGTTAAGCGACGTTACGAAGCAAACAGTTACGATGCGATTCATCAGGAAAAGTTCTTGAAAGCCCTCTAGCTCTAGTTTCTACAGAACCTGCAATTATTGCTGTTGGGTCAGCATGAAAGTCACAGTTAGCGCGCAGTTTTGCCTTAATTTATTTTCTGGATTAAAAGTGCTGCGTGTACATTGCTCGTCATTCAATTCGATAAAAATGTCGTGCACGCAAATTTAGGTGCACGTTGAAGATAGTCAAAAGTGAACCGTGGCCCACAACGGTGCATCCAATGATAACTAAATGTACAGTTTGGAGATATTAAATACAATGCTCCAATTGTCTATTCTGTTCTGTTATAATTTTATCTTCCGAACACTAATTATCGCTTAAGTCCGATCGTCTAGGGACATACATTTTCGATAGCGTCCACTCACAAGCACCCAAGGGCGGCCATAAAGGGAGAGAGAGATGGCATGAAGAAAGGAAGGGAGGTTAACCGGAAAGCAAGTATCTGGTTTGCTATACTACACTGGGGAATGGGAGATAGAAAAGTAAGGAAGAGCGAAAGCAAACACACACTGGAATGTCACAATTGTTCGACGAGGCTGGTCGCTCTAAGAAACTTCAAGAGAGTCTTTGTCGCTTTTCGGCGTGAAACTCGATCTTTCTGGCACTCCAAAATTGTTTTTTTTTTTTCGATGGCGGCTGGTCATCGAGGCGTGCAAACACTGCTGAAAAGGGCTGCCTCTGACAGCTGTTTTGAGGGTACTGACCCATAAATTCATACATTACCCTGCCTGTTCGTAACTCTATGTGGCCTGAAATCATTGAATTTCCCTCTCGCCATTGAAACGTCGCGTTTCAATCGCGACAGGGACTCAGAGACGAAGCTTTACCTTACACGAGGACAAGAGAAAGTCAAACGTGCGCTTGGGTTTCCGTGTAGAGTATTCCTCAAAGCCATGGGCGAAGCATTCCCCAAATTCTATCGATAGTAGACTGCGCCATAACATTCGGCAGAAGGCAGCGATCAAAGACGGGCGAATCAAGATACAGACATCAAGGCAGTTATGTAGAATCTAAATGCGATCTTGATAGCGTTATTGTTAAATAGTTCAGTTGTCTCTAGAAGCCGTATTTAGAAGTTGATACCTGATGAATGCGTTGATAAAGTAGGATCATAGAAGATTAAACTACGTTAGCATTAACGCCGGTTGAGGGGCAGCCGCCAATTAGTTTTCAAGAAACTGTCGCAGAGACTCACGATTCTCTTCGTACAGGAAGTTGTACACAGTGCTCTATGATTTTGTGTATTTGTAAAAAGTGTTGAAATACTTTGAGTGCTTCGTACGCGACTGTAGAAGAGCATTGACTACCAACTAAAGACATCAATATCATGCATGTGGCAATATTGTAAATTTATGCGACATAAAATACTTGTAGACTCACAGTGGTGTCCACAGTGTGTGTTCTGCGCTTTAGCAGCAGCGTCAGGAGCGAAAATGAATTGTAATAAAACCAAGAGTGTAGTCGCAAGATTTCAAGTTATCGCGTGCGGTAAACTTTTTCTGACATTTAAGACATTCAAAATTGCACGCGTACACGTAGCATTTAAACGATACGCATTTCAAAATCACATCACTTTCTCGAGGTGTACCTCGATGGAAGTGACTTGTTCACCACACTGAATGTATTTAACGCATGATTAACTGTAGCAGTCTAATAAAAAAATTCGCGTGTTGCTATGCCGGTGTTTCCATCCATAAAACGCTTTGCACGCTATACGCAACAGTTTTCCTCAGGAAAATTCGATGCCAATTTTTTTCGTCCACGTTTTTCGAATAGCCACCTTTTACGCATTCGAAATCCGCGTGTTATCTCAGCTGAAGCATAGGCTGCAGCACGCAATTTAAACTGTGTTTGGCGGTTTGTTAAACGAATTCGACCACTTTTTCTTTCTGTTTTCGCAGCTGAAAGAGGCCTTGAAGGATGTGTGGCAAGAACAGTTTACCGACGCATACCTGATGCGATGGCTTCGAGGTGAGTTTTGTAAGAGACCTGTACGCTACACCCGCGCTGGCCTGGCATGAATAAATCGAGTAAAAAAGCACAGTACTCCGCTCTCCGGAGCCCAGACATAACATCGCAACTTTGGGCTGTCCAGAGGGCCCACGATGCGGCGCTAGGGCTCGGCCTTACTGTCCCATCGTGGGAGCGGCCCGCCGTGTGCTAGGGCGCACGCCTTCGGACTTGTCAATAAAGTTTTTCCAAACCAAACCAAAGCATAGTCGATGGAAACTTCAGATTATTGACGGTCATCCGCTTAAACGCCAAAAAGTGTTTAATGAGCAGCTGTGTTTTTTCGCTTATGCAGTAATGTAGAGCGAATGGCCGACAAACTAAAGGGCGTAACCATGAGGCCAAACGCCCGTACTGAGCTCACATTAGCGTATGTGCGGACGACTCAAAGGTAGACGTTCAACCTTCCTGGCAGTCCTGGTTAGTGTATGGTTAGCGATGATGCAACCATAGAACTGCCATTTCCCTCATCAGTAGGCTCAGTCAGGCAGCTTCATCCAGACGCAGACCGTAGAGTCTCAGTCTGTGTAAGTTCGGCTGAGTAATATTTAAGGTGAGTTTGAGTCTGAACAGGCCCCGTCCAGAAAAACAAAAATAAAATTGCAAGTCTGAGTCCATGCGATTGCGGTTGGGGAAAAATTTGGTTAGTCTGTCCGAGTGAGCCTTAAACGCAAAATCTGAGTCTGAGCGAGCTACACTTTCTTTCGCCGTCTTGTGGATGCAACACAAGCCGTCCCGTCTTTTGTCCTTATGTTACTTCGGCACTAAATATTGCTCACCGCCGACGTCAGTTGTTCCCATAGGCGTGCGCACGGGGAAGAGGATGGGAAGGGAGGAGGGCGGTGACTCCCCTTTAGTCACCTAAAAAAGGGGAAGGGAGAGCAAAGGAGCAAGTTAGCTCCATACATTGACATAATAGGGAGGGTGCAGGGAGCTGCAACGAGTCGTCACCCCCCTGAAGGGGAACCTTGCACGTGTCTATGGTTCTTTTTACGCTAATGCTAGCCGAGTATGCGAAGCTCGTTATAAAGAACTCAACAATTATTTGAGTAACGCACAAACAGACAACACACTAAGGTTCCAACTCGCCCACCTTTCAGTCCTGCCACACATTACTCAGCAGCATACGTATCTGTATTAGTTTCTGGGAGGAGTAGCAAACGCAGCACGGAAGAGATACCGTTTCTGGCTTGTTTTTTTCTTAATGGCAAGTTTCTGGATAGAGACGTACTCTCTAAAAAAAAGAGCGAGTAAAAAGGGTGTGTTTTTGTCCCACAACAATAATCGTCATCTATATTGTGTTCCATCCTTGCGCTATCGCCCCGTGCCCGGTACATTCCGGTCACGATCGACATGCCCGTCATCAGGGTTACATTGCATTCTCGATAGAAAAGTGGCCAGCGCCGAGTTTTCAAGAAAGGAAGCGCACGCAAGCCTGATGACGATTATTGTTGTGGGGCAAAAAGACACCCTTTTTACTCGATATTTTTTTAGAGTGTATTGGCACTCTTAGACGGGCAGTGGCTGTCATTTGATGACGTATGCGGGGTATCAATCAGCTCACAGACAACGACATTTTGAAAGCGAAACACTGAGAAACATACAACACGGTTTAGCGAGCGCGTGCTACACATAACTGCCGCACGCACCAGCTTAGTTCATTCCCAGGTGGCAAGCACGTGGTTTGCGACGAGCCCGACAACTGATTTCGCGTGTATACATCCTGGCAAGCTGATACACAATCAGTATCTCAAGAGGCCCGCCACGTGGGAGAAGTCAAATATCGGCGCGAAATTACCGGAGTTTCCGAGGCAACGACCTTGGAGTACTCCCCCGCGCAGCTCGCACGTTGGCAACAGTTCGGCGTTATTTTAAGAGGGACACCAAAGAGAAAAAAAAAATTTTCTCCTATTGGTAAATCACTCTGTCATCGCAATAATATCACCACGTTCCCGCACTAATTACCGTGAGATCAGAGATTTTGACAGCGTCTACTATGACCTGTGCAGTTTTCTACCAGCCAATATGAAGTGTATCGCACTCCGATGGGCCCAGAAAATGTGCATACCTAGGTTGAGGAAATTTCTTTGAGCCGTGTGGCCGAAATACGACTAAAACGTCTTGAAACGTGACGCCTTATTATGAAACATTTCGGTGGGAAAATTCGAAGGGACATTTTTGACATCAATTTGTTCATTTATTAACTTACCTATGGTGATAAAACCGACAACACCCGAGATTTCAGCGTTTAATTCGTGAGTGTACACAGATTGAAACGGGCAGCTTAGTGTATCTTTAACGATAAATACCTTCTGGTCGGGTCTCGAAGCACACAGCATTTTCGGTCACATTCATTAGGCACAATATACAGCATCCACAACGCACTTTCTCTCGAAATCGAGATCCTCGGCGTGCTGACGAGGCCATTGGTTGTAACCGATCTGAAAAGCGAAATCTATAGACACCGCCTTGCAAGCGTATTAACCTTGTCACGTGTTTCTCTCTTTTCCAGCACGAGACCTCGACGTGGCCAAGGCCGATGACCTTCTGCGCAAAGTGAGTTCGAGCGACACAAGCGGAAGCAATCTCTTCCGCCTTGTCCTCGGATAGCCCGCGTTCACAGAGGTCGTTCTTCGCACCTTACGGCGTATTGTAAATTATCCTGTTCGAGATCGTGTCTTTCTTTCTTTTTAATGTAAGTGTTCCGAGCAATGATCACAGGGCCTGCATTATTTGCAGCATGGATTTATTGGTTGGGAGGAGCAGCATTAAATGCATTTTTTTTTTTCTGGAGAGAAGGGAGCACCTCCTTGATTCAAAGTGGGGGCTGAGCAGGCAAATGGTGATTTCGCGCTATGTATGCATGCTGAAAAAAATTATCAGGAGGGGAGCGGGACGCGGGCCTGGAGTGCTACCAACTGGCTACACCTTTTGGGGGAGGAGGGGAGCGGGAGGAGGGGTGAATGATAACTAGAAATAAAATCAAACTAAAAAAATTGTCGCATTATCCGCCTTCGTTTCTTTCTTGTGCAAATATAGATTAATTTTCTAAGTAAATATTAACAATCAATTAATTTTTAGTTATATTTCAAGCGTCGATATAGAAGGCAATGAAGTTAAATTGACTTTCATTATTTCTTTTCACCAAGTGAGACATACGCAATATGTGTCTTCGGTGGATAATGTAGGGCGTCAATATGAAAGCAACTTGCGCTGTTGCAGTTAAATACCTACGTCACGAACATTTGGAGGTAAATCGGCGCAGTTGAACGTGGATGATCATTATACAGGGTGTTTCAACAAATGTGTTCATTCTTTAAAAATCAGAAAAACGCTATACTTACTCCCTTATGTCCCAGTTGTTTTATTTAGTAGCAGGCGTCTTAAGAGGGTTGAAGACATAATTTATAACAGTAATTAAGAAAGTTAAATTAATCAATTTTTTTAATCAGCAGAGTTAGGCGGGTAAGTCCAATGGCAGAATTTAAGTCCTTCATTCGAAAAACCCATTGAAGAACCCGTTCATTCGAAGAACCCTTTCTGGAGCACACTGATTTCCGTGGTGTTCGAACGGGCAAGAGCTGCACCTGTGTAACCACTGTTTTGAACAGCTATGTCCTCCAAATCGTCTGCTTGTTGCGCTCGTCGGTGCTTTGGTTTCGGTTTCACCACATAGTTCAGCAGAAATTTATTACTCCCCAAGTATTACTAGAGGACACTTTTTTTTTCACAATCTGAAAGCTGCAATTGGTTCTTCGCAAGAAGTAATTACATTCTACCATTTTATTGAACAGCCTAACTCCACAAATAAAAAGTAAATAATTTCGTTATGTTAATTACTGTTCCAAATCATCTTTCAATCCTCTTGTGGTGCCGGCCGCTACGAAAAAAGCAACTGTGAAGATGGCGAGCAAATAGCGCTTTCTCGTGATTTTTTTTTAATGAATATTGGACACCTTTCTTGAAACATCCTGTATTTTGAACACTGAATCAACAAATGCTTTAGTCATATACGAAGTAATAAAAAAGTCACACGCGTATGCAAAGATTTACAACAAAGAATACGCTATTAAGTCCTTCATTCGAAAAACCATTGAAGAACCCGTTCATTCGAAGAACCCTTTCTGGAGCACACTGATTTCCGTGGTGTTCAAAAGAAATAAACAGTAACGTGATGGTTCTCATAGCAGGATTGGGTGTTTCCCTTATAAAATTTAATCCTACAGAATTATTCAGGTAGAAGCACGTGCACGGGGCACTCGTGCTCTTAACAGCGATAACTGTGGTCTGTAACAGCTAAATACGCGTGAGAGTTAATATTACTGCTCAGAAATGTGTTGTTGTCTTCCGTCAGAACCTGCAATGGAGGGAGAAGAACAAGGTCGACACCTTGGTCGAGCGGTACGAATGCCATCCAGTGAGTGACTGTTTACTCATTCTTAAGCTTCTTATGGAGAATTCATTGTGTCACATTCACGAGAGGGAGTTACATATCAAATACGTTTGCAAAATTCAGCTTGAGAGTAAACACAACAGAAAACATCTCACATCATCGTAAAAAAAAGGTAATGCGCGGAAGAAGGTTCGCAACCGCCCGTCCACTACCCTCCGCCACTCACGTTTTTCACGTATCTTTAAACTTCGAACATCAATAAATGAAATACAGTAAAACAAAATCTAGTTAAAAACATCTGCGTCCTTAGTATAATGCTACTGTGGATTTATGTCACTATGACGTACATACATGTACAAGCATGAGACTGTTACACAATCATTAAACGACTTGCTAGCTTAGGACAGCACATTTTGACAAGCATCTAACTTATACAGAGCAGTTTACCAAGTTTTGGTTTGCATAATAAACATAAACATAGCTGAACACACAAACGATAAACAAGGAAATCGGCGGATATGGCTCACTTCACATATACAGCTTATATCGTAATGAAGAATCGTTCCTAACCCGCCTTCCTGAAATGTACAAAGAAATATGTTTTTGAAAAAAAGGTTCTGTTGGGACCACCTCGTCATCAGCGCGATATTCTAAAAGCGCTGAACAAGTTTTTCACACGAGACAGAACTCGACATGTAAGAGACTATAAACTGATTTGAACTTACACAGTTTTGCTTCATCACCATTTCCCTCATCATCGTCAACTTGTCTCCTTTCTTTTTAACCACCTCTCTTTTCCTAACGCTGGGCAGCTGTAGAGTGAACTAGAATGCAACAGGCGGGAAAATGAATTCAGACCGACCTCTCAGCTTTTCTGCTACAATAAACATTGCTCCCTCTCCTTCTGATCCTCGCATGCTTAGTATGTCTTATAGGTTTTTCCGTGTCTGTTAAATTCATCCACGCACTAGAATTTCACCCACAGGGTCGTAAATCCACTCAAAGAACAGCAAATAAAGAATACTGCCATCTCGTAAGTCAGTTCGTGTAGCTATATTGTGTCTGAGTTAATACGGAATTTTATACCATCCCAATTACGGCTGAAGTTATGTATACCTTGCTACGCGGCAGGCACCACATGAACACGCGACTCGCGTTCTCCGTTTCGTCACAGATCGTTAAGCAGTACTTTCCTGGCGGAATCTTCAACCATGATCGGGACGGCAGTCCAATCTACATCATTCCAATAGGCAGCGGCGACTTCAAAGGTGAGACAACTTGGTATACAACCTAACGAAAACTCACGCTTGCGTCTCTCGAAGTCTGCTTTATTGCTTACATTGTACATGAGTAAACTTAATTGAAGGATGTTGCATTGGTGGCGTGAGTACGGCTAGATTTTCACTGCTTGATAAGAGCTTTCTCAGCACAACAAGGACCAAAAGTGAAAGCTTTCAGACTGACACCTATTCTTTCAAAAATTATTTCTGTAATGAGCCAGTCGCGTTCGAAACGACTGGCCGACAAAGGAAACAGAAGGGCAGAAGGCAGGGAGATAAACAAGAAAATCTTGTATTTTGCTACCCTACACTGCGGATTAGTGAAGATAAATAGAAACATGAGAGAGGGACGAGGGTAAGTAAAGAATTAATTTGCTAAAGCCAGCAGAAGTGCGCCGCAAACCAGAGGCGTTCACACAAGCCGGCCGTCCTCAAAAAGCACGAGAGTGCCTACACCAACTTGCTGGACCGACGAAGGATACTGACGATGTACAGTAGCACCTGCTTGAAAAACCGTGGGTCGTTCAGTCGTCACAGTGCACTGTAATGTCCTTGTCTCAGGATTTGCGCTTAGCCATGCAACACAAGAAAGATTTTCGTGCTGGAGGAGCGAGGAGCAAGATCTGCAAGATACACTGTCCTCCATGGTCGTGTACTCTTGGCACCCAATTAAGGTTTACTCCAAACTATAGCATCATTCTTTTATCCAATCATGGTCTACGCAGCCCTCTTAATCTCCGGCTTGCAATAATAAATGTTTCTCTCTCCATCTCGCTCATCTAAACTTCTTATCTAAATCGCATAGCTACCACTGTTTCGTACGGTACTTTTATAAAACCAATGAGCTACGAAAACAGCAGTGTACAGTGAGGGGATCGGGTCAGACGTTCACAGGCCACTATTCGGGTATTGCCATGGAAACGTGGCCGCAGAACTTTCGACCAGGTCTGTACGTGAATAAAGCGTAAATATTTCACGCCGTCTGGGTCGCTTTAACTTTGTCGCAAGGATCCTGGTTACATCGGCCTGCCACAAATGTTTCTCGCTCCGCTTGTCCGTATACCGCCACAGAGTGCGACATTGCGCGTCACTCACGCTGCAGGTCTGCCAGGTCTGCAGGTCTCACGCTGCAGATCTGCACTTATCTGACACGGCGCTTTTATCATAATTGCACTATGCGCGAATTCGTAATCAATGTTCAATTAAGTGCACGAGTTCCCGACGGTCGTACAGCAGCTATGTCGAGCGTCTCAGCTGTTCGGTCTCTCGGCAAAATTTAGTGCATCCGCACGCTTCGTGATGTATTGCCATCATTTCTGGAACGCTGAAGGGGAATAACCATATTTAAGGATAACGTACATCAACTGGACCAGCTCTTGGCCTCTAAGCTTATAGAACACATAATACATACGCATATCTCTGAGTTTCTTAGTAAGCATAATATCTTAACAAAACACCAGCACGGATTCAGAAAAGGCTATTCAACCTGTACGCAACTTGTCGAGACAATTCACGATTTCGCAACTTCAATTAACAATGGGACACAAACTGACGCCATTTTTATGGACTTTTCAACAGCGTTTGACAAAGTCTCAAACAAGAAATTACTTTTTAAATTAGAAAAAACACTTAAAAATCTGCGCCTAATAAAATGGATAGCAGACTACCTTATAAACCGTAAACAATTTGTTGTTTTTAACGAATTCTGTTCAGAAGAGACAACCGTTGACTCTGGCGTCCCACAGGGTACGGTTCTTGGACCCCTTTTGTTTTTAATTTTTATCAATGATATTGTGAATGAAGTTCCTGTAAAAATCAAGTTGTATGCGGATGACTGTGTCATATATTCTGAAATATCCAATGCAACCGATCAAATAATTCTGAATAGTGCCTTTTATAACATTGTGAAGTGGTGTGATTTATGGCAGATGTCAATTAACTTCGATAAAACAGCATTTATGCGAATAACTCACAAGAAAAAACCCTTACTATTTAATTATTCCACCGCAAATTTCACCCTTTCTGAGGTAACTAACATTAAGTATCTTGGCATTTGGATTAACAATGACCTTAGCTGGACTAAACACATTGACTCCGTAATTACAAACGCTAACCGAAAACTATTCTTCCTTCGAAGAGCTCTAAAACATTCTAATTCCACGGTGCGTACTCTAGTTTACAGGACTATCATTCGCCCAGTGTTAGAATATGGAGTGATTGTGTGGGACCCCTTCACTAAAGCTAACATAACTAAATTGGAAAACGTGCAGAAGAAGGCAGTCCGCTTTATCTTTAATAGCTTTGGACGCACCTCTATAACTGAACTCCTACATCGTGCCAATGAGCCTTCAGTTACCGAAAGAAATCGTTTAATACGACTACAATTTCTTTACCAAATAATTAAAGGGCATTATAAGCTTGATGTTTCCAATATCATTTCCTTTTCTTCAGGGTACGCCACCCACCAAAGGCATCAACTTACAATAACCCCTTTCCGGTCCCGAAATAACTGCTTCAAATATTCCTTTTTTCCTCGTACAGTAACTCAGTGGAATGGACTAACTAATAACCAAGTGATGGAGCCGTCCTTAGAGTTGTTTGCAGCAAATTTGACCTGATTGTTCACATCATGCTGTTCTATTTTTTGTTTGTTTGTTTGGTCTATGCAATCTTGAGTGCCAACATTGTGAAAAATATATCTGTAACCACCCTGCTAAAATCTCTGTAATAGGGATTGCAGTATGAATAAATAAAATTTCATGACGAAACAGGAAAGTTAGGCGTTTAAGGGACACGTCAGTCGCAGAGACCAACAACTGCCGCAAATCCCAGCCACGTGGATTTGGAATCACCATTGAAGCGTACGTTATTCTGCACGATTCACTCAGTGATCTCTTCATGCATGAAACATTCCCTGAGTTGATGATAACTATGAAGACGATGGTCATTATTAATATGTTTCGTCTTCTTTAAAGAAAACAGGAATCGCGTATGTGCCCCCTTCATAGGTAACATAGAATATTGGGAGGCTATAGGCAAATTTTAGGAGGCAACACGATTGTTCCATTACCTGCCGCGGTGGTTTCATGGTCGTTGTACTCAGCTGCTGGTCCGAAGGTCGCGGGTTTGAACCCAGCTGTAGTGGTCACATTTCGATGGAGGCAAAATTATAAAGGCCCCTGTACTGTGCGATCTCGGTGTGAGTTAAAGAACATCGCATGGTCGAAATTTCCGGAGCCCTCCAATACTGCGTCTTTTATAATTATGTCTGTTCTGTTCTAACTGTTTTGCTGTGGAGAGGTTGAGGTCCATATTGCCTCAGCTACTCCATATCACGAAGTTCTGCTGCGAAAAAAAAAAGAATAATACTTGACGGTACCCAAAAATGAACATTCCGGAAGAAAACATAATAGCACAGTGAAACCAGTTCAAATATCATGCCATCACACAGTTTTCTAACAAACGCTCACACAGTCATAAACTGTTTACACGCACACCTTCCTTTTCTACTGTCAGTATTATGCACAAACACATTTTATGTATATCCATCCCTGGCTGTCTACCACAGGCGCTTGGTTTTGGGACGTTAAACCCGAGATAATTTTTTTTTCTAGTCATTTACGTTTATTCAACACTGCCATCATTATTATGGGATAGCTGGCTCTAACGTGCCATACCTTCACATATTTTCAGTTCTATATAGCCATTTTATACATAACTGACTTATAAAGTAAAGTGGTTAGCCTTACTACTTGGTACACAGGAGGGCCCTTTTGGTGAACCTGTCTGAGCCGGGTGTCGGGGTTTCCCTGCAGGCATGCTACAGTGCCTGTCCAAGGAGGAGTTGGTCATACACGTAGTCTACATGTTGGAGCGGTTGCAACGCGAGAGGGAGAGCCAGAGTCGCAAGGTGAGCCTGCAATAGAGCTCGATGAGCTTGCCTTCTAGCCATTATAGACTTGTAGGCTCGAGCAGTGAGGAATCCCCTTGTCATTGTGCAGTAGTAGGCTCGAGCAGTGGGTACCCTCTAGTGATAATAGAGTGGTAAGCTCGAGGTCGCAGGTTCGATTACCGCCCACGTAGCTGCATTTCGATGGAGGTGGGAGAGAGAGAGAGAGAGAGAGAGAGAGAGAGAGAGAGAGAGAGAGAGAGAGAGAGAGAGAGAGAGAGAGAGAGAGAGAGAGGGGAAAGGCAAAGAGGTTAACCAAGCTTGGCTCGGTTGGCTACCACTGCAAAGAACACCTGTGAGCTTAGATTTAGGTGTGTGTTAAGGACACCCACTCGGTCTAAATTATTTCGGAGCCCTTCACTTCAACCTGTCTCATAAGTATATCGCGATTTTCAACAATTGTCAGCATTATTATTAATGTCATAAAGTTACCTCTGGCGGATAATACGAAGCCCACTTTCGCTCACTGAAAAAACAGACACGAACCAAAGCACCAGAAGAGTGGGAGGGAGGGCATTGGGAGGTGTGTACAAAATTGTTAACGTTGTGATGCTGGGCTGAGGAATTGATGTCACGCTGAGCGGAGACTGAGATGTGTATGATATAATAAAAAAAGGAAACATTCAGCAAGCCAGCTCCTTGGTTGTATAAAATTAATACAGTTTATACGCCGGTCTATTTACAGCAGTTGACAGAAAAAATACCCTACAATTCAGTTGACCTATCAGGGCTCCTGGACTGTGCAAGTGGAACACTGCAAAAGAAAGAAGTCTGATTGACTTGTTTGTGTTTTACCATCTTCTGAAAAGCGCCCACGAAAGTCATATTTAGTCCCTATACCTCCCTCGTGATTCTCGCGTGCATTCTAAAGGACAAAGTAGTGCCTACGCCCCTGGTGAGCAAGGCAGAATGTGACCCTCGCGAGTGTGAATGCTGCTCAGTGATTCTTGATCGCAGCGATCAATACGAATAAGGGTATTGACAACACGGATCAGAAACTGTATTATTATTATTATTATTATTATTATTATTATTATTATTATTATTATTATTATTATTATTATTATTATTATTATTATTATTATTATTATTATTATTATTATTATTGTGTTCCCCAGTGGCGCAATCGGTTAGCGCACGGTACTTATATTATTATTATTATTATTATTATTATTATTATTATTATTATTATTATTATTATTATTATTATTATTATTATTATTATTATTATTATTATTATTATTATTATTATTATTATTATTATTATTATTATTATTGCACCGTATACGATATGATTTTCTATTTCCTTCCCGCATGTTCAGCTGGGGAAACTCATCGACAAATCCGTGTTCTTCTTCGACTGGGAGAACTTCAGCCTCAGGCAGGTCTACTCATGGCAAGGTACGTTTACTGCGCCAGCAATGACGTGCATCTGAAATTCTCTGAACCAAAGCAGAAAATTTACATAATTTGCCGATTTCTGCGTTGCAGAGTTTTCTAAAAAGGACTACATTTCCCGTGCAGTGAGTAGCGTGTATCTAAATGCTCAGTAAATGAATTTTAAGTGTTATTTATTACTTGTTTCTAAGCCCGCCCCTGCAAATGCAACTCTAGCTCCATCTTGCGCAAGCCCTCTGACAAGCCCTGCTTTAGAAGCTGTAGTAGCATGCTGGTCAGAGGGCGCCTCAACGTCATCAATCAGACAATGGCCGTGATTTTTAGGAGGCGCCGACGTGATGTGTGATAATCATGCAGCCAATAGAAAAGTTCGGGGCAAGACGGAGGCCTCGAGTGGCGAGAAATCATCGGAGAATGCCGCTACATCTGACGCTTCGACAAATGGCCCTTAATTCGTCCTTATAGCTGCCTTGACAAACACAAGCCCGCCTATCAATACGTTGGCACCGGTGATTCTCGTAGTTCGAAGGTTTTGTAATATGCTCGAGCCTCCACGTACCCCTGACCTTCTGGTTTGTTTGAACTGCTGACCAAGCTTGTCAGGCTAATCTCACCAGCCGCAACATCATCTTTGTGTCCTGCTGCCGAAGTTTTCCGGGCACGTCCTGTTTGTTCAGCCGAATACGACTGCTTATACTGGAAAAAATAATGGGCTAGAACTGTCATGTACTCGGCAGGCCTGTTTCCAGACGTAAAAGCAGACTGTATGTCGCGCGGTTTGAGGGAACCAACGTGATCACAAGAGGTCGGGATAATTCGCCAGGAAAATGCCATCTTGATTCTTCGCTGATTTATGCATGCGTGACAGTCTTCGCTTAAGCGCGCATTCACGGGCTTGCAAAGAGCTGTTACGTATGCTTTCGTCGAAGCACCATTATCCACCACCAACTTTCATTAGTCTTCCGAGACCTTGAGCGATATGTCGCACAGACTGCATGGCATTGGGCTGTCGTCCTGTGCCAACAGCGAGTGGTCATCGTAATCATGCAGTCTTCGAGCTTTCTTTTTCAGCCGTGCAATACATGCACGGGCGTAACAAATTATAGACGAGCGGAGTGTTTGTAAACGAAAGAGAATTCTTTTGTGTTCGGAGTTCGCAGTGAGCAACGATGCTCTTTTGCAAAAAATATGTACAAGTTTCCACTAGTGGGCATAATGTTGCTGCTACTGAAATTTCACGTAAATGCTGTTCGTGTTCTTATTTATGTTACTTGAGGTAAATTTTACAATCACCCGCTGCATCGTCGTGTGGTCACGCTCGGCGATCGTCAATTCTGCATACGGATTTTTACAAGTATACAAGTATGCAGGTGGAACTGGCGAAAAAAATCGCACAGATCTCCCTGTAAAGGGGCGCCATGGGTCGACGTAAAGTTCTGTAAAGAGATGCTCTTCATTCATCACCGTAGGTGCTTTTTATTCATCACCATTACGCCCGACCCACAGCTTGAAAAGCGTCGCCCCTAAAACAAACCGCGGCTTTCCCTTTCGAATGGTTACGGGAAGCGGAAGATGACTGTCACCACGTTTCTTGTACTCAAAAAAACGAGCATCGCTGCGCCTAGACCTTCGACTGCTCCTTGTAAGCCACGTTTTTTGCGCGGGAAGACACTGGTCGCAACGCAAGACCTCACAAGCACAAATATAAAGAAGATGTGTGCCAAAATAAAAGAGTAATGTCGTTATTAACTCACTGTATATCTTATCCCTTACAGTGGTGGACTACATTCGAGCGCTGGTTGGCCTCTACGAAAACAACTATCCGGAGACACTTAAGCTTGGCCTCCTCGTGAACAGTAAGTTCGTTGAATCTCTTCCACGTACTAATCAAAAAAATACGACGGAGTGATTTGGGCATTAACTAAGCACCATTACAGGCTACCGTAGGGCACTATCTGACTAACGCTTATCTTGGCATCGTAAACGGGCGTTTGTTGTATTGTAAAATGCTTACTGTGGTGTAGAAAGCTTGTAGTTCCAGAGAGTCGCAAGCTTCCTTTCAACAAGGGCGTAATTATTGTCTATCAATTACAGAGTGTAGCTGTTTCAGTTCGCGCAAGTTATATACGAAAATTCATAGGGTTTGCGTGACCTCGTAGGCTGGGCCGTTTTATGTGAAAAGCTTTTATGCGGGGTTTAACGTCCCCAATCCACCATATTTGATTATGAGAGACGCCGTATAGGTGGAGGCTTCCAGAAATTTCAGGCCAGCTGGGGCTCTTTAAACCTGCACCCAAAATCTGTTTTGCGAGAGTAAGTTCACCTTGAATAACCTACACCTTGAATTTTTTTTTTCTTTTTCCAAAGTTTGAAGTTTGAAGTATATTTATTTTTTGCACAGCAAGGTCACGAACATCAGGGGCACAAACTACAATCGAAGTGGCTAACGCCCCGTTTCCACCGTTCAATAACACATCTGCGGTCTTCAAGGGCCAGAGTTGCGGCTGGTTGGCTCATCACAATTAGAACACAAAAAAGCACAAAAACACAAGAAAATGCACGCACAAGCGATGTCTAACAACAGAAAATTTAATGGAAGAAACGTGTCATATATATGCAAACATGAAGGCATAAAGAAACCTTGACACCCCAACTAGCACGTATAATCTGGCATGCTGTAGATATGAAATCTCGGCATGTGTGAGAGCAATTGAAGGCTGGATATCTACAGCATGCCTGACTACGTGCTAGATAGAGGGTGTCAAGGTTTTTTTATGCCTTCATGTTTGCATATATATATATATGACACGTTTCTTCCTTTAATTTTCAGTTGCTAGACGTCGCTTGTGTCGTGCCCTTTCTTGTGTTTTTGTGCTTTTTTTTGTAGGCTGACCATGATGAGTATGTTTTAACCAACCCGGTTTGCTACTTTGCAGGTTGGCTGTGCGTAGTTGACACAATAGAGACGCACTGTTCGAACCGAAAGAGACGCGCACAATAAGACACACAAGACTAGCGCGAAAGGAACGATCGTGCTAATCTTGTGTACCACGTGTGTGTTCTTCTTTTGTGTGTGCGTCGTTATGTTCAAACAACGCGTCGCAATTGTTAGAAGCTGTCGCCAAACTGTGACCACATCTTTACGGTGTAGCGAGAAATAAGCTCGGGTAGTGATGAGGAAAACTAACCTACGCGTGCGTCTCTCGAGGCTGAAGCAGAGAAGCGAGGAACACCGGCGTGCTTTCAAACAGTGGACTTCCCCAAGGCCGACCTTGAGAGTCGAACGTGCTGAGCGATGGGTGCACTGTCCTGTTTTTTTCTCAGCTGTGGGATCTAAACCGTCGTAATAAGGCACGCCAGTAACCGCGCATATAGGTGTAGCCACCAATTTAAAATAAATTCTTCGTTCTTCTCTTCCAGCGCCGAGTTTTTTCCCGGTGTTCTGGAAACTTATCCGGCCATTCCTGAGCGAGAGAACGGCCGGGAAAATTAAGATCTTCTCGAAAGGTGAGCATGTCGCACCGGCTGATCATGTTGCACACACTCGCAAACCACTGCTCCGGTGAAAAAGAGCGATTATTCGTTGCTCAGGACCATTTTTTTCCGGGAGCCTTTCGTCTTTTAGTGGTAGCCTCTATTGGGCAGTGACGTCACGCGTGTTCTTCACATACCGTCCTTAAGTAAGGATGATCACGTGATCACCTCTAATATAGTGAATTCGTGCGAGAAAATATAAAAGCAATGTGACCGCAAACTCACTTTATGTATGTCGTCCAGTAATACACAAAGGCTATAACAGGCTGCTTAAAGGTCACAAAAGCTACGGAAAGGTCACAAAGATGGCTTCAACATCGAGGCGCATTAGTCTAAAACGAAGGAATTCATCCGGAAAGTAGTGGTCGCAATACAGACAGACAATGCTGCAAATCCATCTTTAGGCATGCTGTACAAAGTATTGAATCACAGGTGTTAATCATATGATTGGCCTGTTGTAAGTACATCAACAATAAAACGTTCAATGTTATCAAGCGAATGCACACTTATCGTTTCATTGTAAAAAAACGAAAAAAAAACACCAATAAGTAAAGACTTTCTTTTTATCGTATTTTTTATCGTCCTTAAAAAATTGCATGGTCAGGGAAAGCGAGAATATTTCCTTATGAAATAATAAAAAGTAAGTAATATCAGCCCGGAGCCAATGGGCAACGTTGTTGAGCACTGTTCAGACCAATTTCGTCGTTTAAACTTGGTTTATAGATGACTGAGTAAATCGCACACTCGCCAACTAAAGAAAAAGACAGAGATACAACAAGGCACCAGTTTAGGCCTCCGAAACGTCAACAAATTTTGTTTCGCGTTTCATAGTTTACGAGCACACGTTTTCTTCAAATATGTTCCTTTCCAATTGCAGTGTGTACTCCTTAACGCTCTGTTTGCAACAGTATTTTGAGGTGTTTCTCTCTACCTTCGTTCTTTTCTTCTGCCAACTTTACCGCTACAAGCCACATTAAATTGGAAGCCCCGCGTCGATCAGTTTCCTCGTTTAGTAAGTCTTCCTAACTGCGTAATTTCTGAAGACTGTTCATATGAGAATATTCAGAAATATAGGGCAATAAATTGAATAGCACTGCGCTACATCCGGTACCTGAATCAAAATGGGCATATTAGAAACACCACATCCCCCCCCCTTCTAATAATGAGTACCGATGAAAAAGCCCCAGCAGAACAAAACGTCAAGACAGAGAGGAGGAAAGATTTGTGTTTTAATTACCTAATTATAGAGAAAAACGCAGCCGAAGCTTTTACGGGAATACCAGCATATATCGATTTCAGAATGAAGGCCTTCTTGCTTCGCATTCCAAGGTCACAGAAGTGACTCAGTGATCAATCTACTATAATGACAATCATAACAATGTTGGCCTATGAACATTAGGAGAAACATTGAATTGGCTTAGATTGATAAATAGTACTCTGAGAACTCTAATCTCGCTAATTTCCCTATCGTTGTTTAGTAAAAGAGGAGAAAATTAATTTCAAATTTCATGTTTAAACTTCTCGCCGAACTCGCGGATTACAAAATATATGTGTCGCATTTTGGCGTCATTGGCTCCACGGAAATCATTTAAAGATAGAATGTTAAGCCTATTGCCCCCTCGTAGCACACTTCATATTTTTTTCACTTATTAGGAACGACGTATGTCCTAGTAGGCACAGTCAAAATAGGTGGCGTCACGGCAAATGGTGCGAAAACTTCAAGGTGGTGTCACCACCCCCATTTTCGTTTTCTGGCTTCTCGCCGCAAGCTTGGTGTTTTTGATACCGTGAAAGAGCAATTCAAATATACAATGAAATTTGTTTAGCTTTTTAATGTGTCGTTAAAAAGCTGTTGACAATGTGGAACTTCGGATTTACACCTGCAGTTACAAAATATTTTAAAGCTCTAGTTGCTGCTTTATACAAGCTTCCCTCAGATCACAAATTTTTAATCTGTTAAAAGTAATAACAATGATTCTGCTTTATCCTTTTTTGAAGCTATTAGATATTTGTTTTAAAAAAAATCTCGTAAAATTTATGGGCTGTTTCGAAAATTGTTGAATTGCCATTGAGGGCTGCTTTGAAAATGGTTGCCTTTCTAAGCGAAAGTTATTCATACAGTGTTTGATTTATATTCACTTCCGTGTAAATGCTATTCAATTCGCATTTGGTTCCATGTCATCGCTATTTCATTGTCATTAGATTCATTTCTAAAATTCCCAATTCGCACGCCCCTGCGAATGGCCGTGAATGACACAGAGGCGTTGCTATATACTGGGCCGGCAAACTAGCTGCAGCATCAGTGACACGTGGTCTCTTGCTCGCAGATGGTTGGCTGCCGACTCTGCTGGAGTACGTCGACCCCAGTCAGCTGCCAGCGCAGTGGGGAGGCACCATTGTGCACCCGGAGGGAGGAGCACGCTGCACCCACATTGTAAGTTAGTTATAATCTTGACTTAAATAGCACAACTAGCCGCTACTTATGTGCTCTTGACTAATTCAACCCGGGGCCTTTAAGGTTCGCTTCTGAAGGAAGGCAGACATGCGAAGCTAGGGATGACGTTATCGGGCAGTGCGTATTTCCAGCATGGTAGGTGCAATACGGCACGGGTATTACCAGGGGGGTGAGGGGGCCATGGGCATATGCTGCTTCCAAAACATAGCCTCCTCCTTCCCCTCTTGCACTCTCCAGGGCGGCACTAGTGGATATATCAGGGGGGGGGGGGTGTAGGCACAACAGTATTTCCTTCCCCCTCCTACTATTCACACGCCTCCCCAAGAGCTTAAGTAGGCAGGACACACAGTGCGTAAGCTCCCAGTAGAGTTCTAAGAAAGTTCGGGCGTTCAGGTATCACGATGAGGATAAAGAGGCGGTCACTGAACAAGGCAACGTGAAAACGCAGAGGCATTTCGGGACCAGCAACGGGTTCCTTGATCACACCTATCAAGGATACGTGCTTTCACCTTGACTTGGCTCGTGATGGCACCTTCATCCTCACAAGTACCCCGCCTCTCCTCCCATCCTACTTCCCCGAAGCAACTCACACATGTTGGGGATGCACCCCACCCCCTGCAGTAAATATATCCTGGCGCTGGCCCTGCATTACGGCTTAGACATCGGACCGTTCGTAGGACACAAAATCTACTGATTCGTTCTTCACCTAAGAACTTTAGAGCAGCATGGATAGAGGTGAGTTCTGCAGCCGTCAATGATGTCAAATGCGATGTCCAGAATTTTATCGTGACAGATTTCTCCACAGCCATGGTCAATCTTCTCAAATTACAAAGCAGCCCTCCAATGTATTACGTTGCCATATCACCATGGACAATATGAACAAATAGTCACTGACAAAAGGCTGCTTCATCACCACGCTTTAGAGAAGAAGCACAACATATCGTATCAGTGGATGCCGGGCCACTTCGGTATCTATGGCAATGACCGTGCAGATGAAACAGCCCGATCTGCTCGTGATGCCGTTCCTATTGGAGCTATATACCATTAGTGAGAACAGACGCCGCTAAAAGGCTTCGATCACCAACAAGGGAACTGACATTAGAACATGGGAACTCGACGGAATTCACCAGTGCTCGTTTGCACAACTTGGAGCCGCATCTACAGCTCCGTCTTGCGTTAGGAATAACCAGTGCTGAGGGGACAGTCTTGTTCCACTTGTGGCTCGGGGTGGCCTTTACAAATGCTTACTCATTTCGCATCGCAATGGTGAGTAGCCCGACATGTGACAACTGTAGCTGCGATGAGACAATCGACCATCTTTTCAGCGAGTGTCCTCACTTCAGTGCGTAAAGAACTTACAAAAGTGCTAGACAGATTTTAAAATCATGCATTGTAGGAGGAAATTGTCTTAGGACACTGGCTGAGACCGTCCTCAGCATGCAATGCATTGATAGCTTTGTTGCCCTTCATGCGGGTAGCTGGTCTCAGAGACAGACTCTAAGCACTGTTCTGTATCGTATTACTGTTCTCCATTCTTATCTTTTTGTAACGTCTCTTTTCGGTCATCGTGTGTTCCCTTACCCCATCCCCAGCACAGACTAGCCAGCCGGTCTGGGAACTGGCTAACCAACATGTCCTTGCTTTTCTCCTCCCTGCTCCTCCTACTTACTATTTCTTTAGTATATCACGAGTCACAACGTGGAAAAAGGATGTAAGCTTGTGGGAATCCTACCATATGTATGAATTTAGCGTACCGTATTTCCTCCCAGGCTAGGGGAAGACATAAAGTTAGGGGGCAGATGATGCGGGTTAAAAGTGGCAGAAGCAAGCATAGGACCGAGAGGACGGGCTGAACGTAAGAGAGGCTTTTGGGCTTACAGTGGACGTAGTTAAGATGATGATGATCATTATGATGATGATGCTCATGATGATTTCCTCCCAGATTACCAAGTCTTGTAGTGTTGACTACGGTTGTATGCTGTTGACTAGTGCTAGGTACTGTCGGTTACAAAGGAAACTGAAAGCTATTACAGGTAGCTGCCGATGGCGCACTTTTGTTTATTTGCTTTACTTCCATCGCTGAATTTGTTTGCCAGCTCTCGCATTCCTTCCCAACAGCGGGAATAAAAAAAAGCGACAACATTTGATGACCTTGCATTTTTCAGCCGTCCGCAAACGTTACACCATACATTTCAGCCGTCCGCAATCTCGTTTCGCAACGCATTCCGTAAATCGGTGTCCACGACTTTCAAAACTCACAAGCTCGTAATAACCTTGAATAGACTTTTGTGACACGTACATCTAGGGCACTGTTCGCAACGAATAGCTGGGCGACGTTGTTCAGTCATTGACATCCTCAGTTTTAGAGAAATGTTTGTTTTACCTCTCTGTCTCTTCGTTGATCGGTGTCGTGACATGTATTTTTTCGCGGTTCTCGACAGTGAGTCGGCATTGTTTTTGTTTTTCGCTTTTTCGCACATGTGCCTGACACATCCAGAGGCTGCTAGGCAGCAGCAGGTCAAGGTCGCAGGTTAGATTCCTGCTCATAACGAAAAGCACTCTTATAAGGACGATGCCGCACAAACGCGTGTGCACTCAGATGTCAATCTGCGTTATAGAGAATATCGCAAGAAGTTGATCTGTTACTTTCAACTATAGCTACCTCATAGACGTGACAAAGGTAATGGTTTGGTCCACATCGATCTGAAAGTGCTTACGGTGCTCCGCTGCTTACCCGAAAGCCGCACGGGTTTGATCCACGCCGCGGTGGTTGCATTTCGACAGAGGTGAAATGGAAGATGCCCGTGTACTGTGTGATGTCAGTGCACGTAGAGGAACACCAGGTGGCAGAAATTTCCGAAGCCCTCAGCTACAGTGTGCCTTTTAATGATATCATGGTTGTGGCATATAAGGATGAGATGAAACAAGAGAGAGAGAGAGAGAGAGAGAGAGATAAGAAAGGCAGGGATGTTAACTAGTTTAACATAACCATTATCCCTTTCCTGTACAGGGGAAAGGCATTTGGGCGATTGAAGGAAGGGTTAAGAAAGAGGAAAAGAGAGAAGGAGCACACAGTATCACAGAGCAGAGCAGCAGTCTTGCGCGGTATACATCAACCTTACGAGCCCAGCAGCTCGTGTAAGTCTCTTGTTCGTACAAAAATTAGCAAGGCCTTGGTTGCTCGAACTCTCGAGGACTTGTCGCGATGACATCGGATTATCGTTTCTGGCGACATCGATCTGCGCGTGATCGCCTTGGGAGCGATTGCGAGTTATTGCCTCTGCATATATTGAATAGCGAGGACCGTTGTACGAGATACGCTGAAAGGTCTCCTCGATATCGCAGACGTCGCATGGAGCATTGTCGGCCGTCCCTATAACGAAAATAAAATGATTTTATGAAAGATACTCTTACTCATAACAAAACTAGCAGAGTGGCCTCTGTTCGGTGGAGTTCATTTAGTGTTTGAAACCGTAGAAACGTGCTCAGGCGATGTTGTCTATAGTTTTGGCTACTTTTAGCTTCAGTGTGGAATGCAAAATATTCTTTGCGATAATTCGAAGCATGGCTGCATCACCAGACGTTGCCAAGGTCTGGTGATGCTGCCATGCTATACCCTTTGAAAGGGTATAGCTTCGTTCTTGTCGCTTTGCAAAGTTGACCGAGAAGCACTACTGGCATGGTTGTTGCCAGTCATACCACAGTTACTTGGCAGCCGTTGAAATGTCACTAGGTGTCTTTTCTCAGATTACGTATGAATGAAGTGTCTGATCTCAAATATCAGTATTTCGCACGGTCCACACTACAGGGCTGATAACAGAGATTGCAAGGCTGCTTTGGAACCACTGAAAATCAACCATCAGCGTGGTTGTTTGCGATTGACAACACTGTGTGCAACTCACAGGGCTGCGAGTTCTGCATTCGTTGATGTTGTTGGTCCGTCTTAAAGATAACAGTCACACCTCTCACTGGAACAACCACTGCTCTGGATGAGCTTCAGATGGTCGTTGAGCCGTCGAATAATTATATATGTATGCGGCCGATCTACTTCTAATGCAGCAGAAGCAGAAATAGCTGCTTCAGAACAGATGATGACAGTTCAGATTTTTCTTTTACTGACTCCTGGTGCACTGTAGGACGAATCAAACGCCAGGGTGGAATCAATCATTTTGATACGGGACTGAAGCCTGACGCTAGGTCGGCGGAACAACTCGAGATAGTTGCGCAGTATAATTATTGCGGTCTTTCTGACGGCAGGGTTTCTATGTGGGGGCTATGAGCTCGAACAAAACACCTCATGTGAGTTCTCAAAACTTCCACCACCATGTGCGCTTGTATTGGTTGGTCTTTGGCGATCGCAATGGCGGCCTCCCGTTGACGCACATTTGGGCAAACCAAGGCAAACACGCAGTGCTTCAGCTTGCGTGCAGCTTGCAGAACGTGAAGATTTTTCTCGCCGGTGTCGACGCAAGTAAGAGGTTGGTACAGGCAGGGCATACTTCAAAAACCCGAGAAAAAGTGCTCTGTGCGATTCTAGCACCAAATATACCAACATATCTCAGTTCTCCTCACCCAGGAGCTTAAACAGCTGTGCGATTGCCGTCAGATGCTTCTACGGGTAGGCCACGGGAGGGCTTCAAGTGTAATTTTTGTATATAATTACGCCGAAAAATTTGTAAGCTCTGGCATACGAAATCGTCTGACCATCAATAGAAATCACAAAGAGTGCACGCCATTTGTCTGCACATGAATGCCACTATGGCACATTTGGGGGGAATACCTGAAGACCTTGCTTACTAAGGTAGCGCGTTGTCAAAATTTCAGCCTTTTGAAGTCTCGCCCGAATTAGGGGTCGTGTAGCAGCCGAAGCCCAGACGCCTATATCACCAGCGTATATAGATATCCTGATCGTACTTGGCAGCTATTCAACAAGTTGAATGATAGTGATATTGAATTGTATGGGCTTACTGCTAAACCTTCAGGAACACCTATAGATGGTATAGCGTCTGTGTACCATAACAAACCTCTTACTCTTCCTTACCCAAATAAAGCCAATATAGCGACCATCTTCCAAGCCGTGAAGGTAATCACTCTAATAATATAACGCTGTCGCCTACGTACGTTGCAGATTGGCCCCGGAGGTGACCTTCCAGACGCCGTAAGCCGCGGCGGAGGTGCCCTGGCTGTCGACCCCGAGGCGGTCAGCTGCTTTCTGGAGCGTGGAAGGTCCATGGAGGTTCCAGTCCAGGTCGAAGTGCCAGGCGCCAAGCTTCACTGGAGGTTGCAGGCGAAGGACGTAGGCTTCGCCCTCTGGAGGGTGAGCGGTGAAGACCGCGTTCAGGTGCTCGCACCACGAAGGATCGCCTGCGATAAGGATCCCGAATACGGGCAGATGCACTGCGAGCACCCTGGAACATGTACGAATGGGCAATTCAATTCTCTTGTACACTGTCCTATGTCTACTATGTCCTGTCGTGCATTGAGAGAGTGAGAGGGGAATAATTTAATCAAGAGCTGGAGGTGTTTGTCTTGCTTTTAGCCTGCTATTCTATGTTCTACCTGGTATTCAAAACTGCAGCGAAAACACGTCACTTCAAACAAGCTGCAAGAGCAAGAAACTTTCTTGCAGCACGCGGGGTGAAAATTGCCTACATAAATTGTAGGGGTTTTAAACTGAATGAGCTAGCATTCATTGTCCATAGCTTCTAGAGCATCACACCTGGAAAGCATTTTGTGCTTTCTGGTTACCACGGGTTTGTTGTGAATGCCTTTGGTTATTGTACAGTGCTACGGACACATACTCGTTACCTTATAATATTGCTCAATTGCTTCTTTCTTTCACTCCCTTTTCTGTCATCTCGTTACTCCCCCCATTTCATTCCCCCAAATTAGAGTAGCCAACTAGACATGTTCTCGTTGACATCCGTACGTTTTCTCTTTTGTTTTTTTCTTTCCTTTCTTACTTCACACTTTACTTTTTACCTTCTCAACCGCTATTCCTTTCACCCGAGTGCAATGCTGGGAACGCGAAGCTAGCATATGGTTGAAGATCCCACATATTCTCTGTACTTCTTTCTTTTTCTCTCTCTTCTCGTGAGTAGGAAGATTTTTCATGAGTCTGCGAAGATTAACGAATAATGGCAGAAGGCAGGAATGTTCATTAAATAGACTGGTTGACTACCGCACGTCAAGGGATGAGGAGGAACAGCGAGATTAAATGGAGAGGAGGAAAAGAGGAACGCTGAATTCAGAGAAGTGCGTAGAGGGTACTAGCATGCCAGTGTGAAGACCCTCGCCCAGGAAGATCCGTAAGGAGCGTTCCGCTTACAGGGGCCCTATGGTGCAAAACGGGTGGAATCATTAATTGGTCATAACTCTAATGATCAAAGCAATTAAAAATACTAGCGAGAAAAATAGGATTACAGAGTCCCCACCAATTAGCTAGAGCATACTCATTAACAACTTTGTGCCATTATGTTTTTAACAAGTGGCATAAGAAGTCGTGATCATCAATCATTATCACATTCGCATCAACCAGTCACTTTTTTGTTTTTAATTTGATACCTTGTGATTTAACGAATTACTCAGCTTCCGAAGTGTGTGGGGCTTAGAAGTACATAGCGCTTCTATTGCAGCACAAAAGAAAAAGCAGAGCATGTGTACAATCAGCTATATATTTCGCGAGCTTCGAGGATCACTGATGCAATTCACCTGCTGTAAAGGTATCAGCGAAATGTGGTGGCGCCCAAGTTCTTCAACACCTTTCTTCCCTTGATCTATTCCAGTGTCGCCAACGTAGCACGATATGGTGCAATAATTATCATGTAAATAACCTCATGAATTACGCATGGAGAGCAGCATCTCATCACCCCCGCAGAGAAAACTTACACGCATCATAATGATGCCATTCAGAGCTACAGAAAAGATATCAGAAAAAAAAAAATTTGCATTGTCACGCACTTCGAGTGAGGCCCCGCCGATCCAACATCGACGTGCGGCAGTCTCGCAGGCTTCCACTTAACGCTTCGGCCTGCGACGCCTGAAAGGCCTCGAAGTGGCACATTTCAAATTTATTTGCGGGTTGGTCGACCCGTGCGGGGTTGCACGTGTGGTGATGTGTGGGCCTGACCGACGCACTCATAGAGCAGACACGGAGTTTGATTACACATAAACAAGCATTTAATTAAAACAAGGGCAAAGGCAGGAGATTACAAAATATAACAAAGGAGGGAAACTGATACGCGCGATGGAAAGAACAGCTAGATAACACAATATGCTAAAAGAACACCACAAGAGGTACAAGCACAGGCCAATACGCGGAATGTTAATAAAATAACGACAAAATGGAAATCAGAAAAGAGCGATACAAAGAAATAATTACACAAGGATCATGATGGCGCTTTTGAATTTCAACGTGCGACGCAGCGCACACAACTACAAATGTTTAAAGAAAAAAAGGCTGGTTAAAATAAATTAACGGTTTAAAAAAAGTCACAATAAAAAGTTCCATACGGACCAGGCCAGCTCTTGGTGCACGTAGGGGAGTTGACGGGTGCCGCTGAAGGTCTCACCGGCTTGGTAGACGACGAGGGTGCCCGGAATTGCAGCCGTCTTGATACGTTGCGCGGGTCACTCCATGCTCGCCGCCTACGCGAGACTCGCGACACCGACGACCGCACTTGTTGCTGGCTGTACGTCAACTGCTCTTCCGATGCAGTTCAAACCTCTTCAGGGGCGTCCACGTGCTCCCATCTCATCTGGGAGTAATTTTCCTTGTTGAGACCACCGGTTCCCCTTCCGGTCAGGGGCAGGGAAGACGAGCCGGCGCCATGCTGGGTCATTATAGTCGCCGGATGTCGCCTCCCAACACAAAAACGCCCTTCCTTGGAAGATGGGACCCGCGGATGCTCCGAAAATTGGAGTCGCTTGTGACATGCATCATAAATTGACTTAGCGTCTCGGAAGCTGATAAATATGGGAGCTGGTGACGTCAGCGCGATTTTTCCTCCACTTTTGCCAACGCTTGGCATGCTTTTCCTCCTCTCTCACCAGCGCCACCTGAGCTCGAGCGTGCGCTGATATTGGTCGACTCCTTTCGCCAGCACAGCGTATTGTGCTCCTCCTCCCTCTACTCCTCTCCACATGAAAACATGAAAATAAAAACATGAGAAAAGTGGGCCCCGTAACTGTTTCTCAGGGGGAGGACACCTCAACAGTAGCTCACGAGGGGTGGAGGTTAATTAGGAATTAAAAGGATTTGATTAAAATGTAAAGAGATAGAGAGATCGGAAAGAGAGAGCGAAGCGCAGGGACAGCGAATGACGGAAGTAAGGAGAAGATAGGAAAGATGGACACGGTCGAAGGAGTCCGAGGACGGGGCACCACTCGGCGAGAGCTCTTGTCGGCGTCAGGAGATGGCATAGGGCGAGCCCAGTCGGCCAGAGCTATGCTGTCGTCGGAGATCGGCGTCAGGAGATGGCATAAGACGAGCCACGTCGGCCAGAGCGGCGCTGTCGTCGAAGATCACGAGGGCACAACCGGTCAGCACTGAATCCAGCGAGCGAGTCCCGCCACCATGGGAATGATGGGTAACACACAGATTTGCCTAGTCTTAGTGCTTGCGGACTTCAAACGCGCCTTGTGTTGCAGCTCCCGTAGATACTAGTGCCGGAGTCTCATCCAGAGTATTTATAGGAAATTGTATGGCTCCATTCACAGCTTCATGATCCCTCTTCTCTCTACCACCTACGTCACCACTCCTTGTATACCAGGCTGGACACCCTACACAGACTTCCCCTTCGTCACTTCTTTATCCACACACACGCCCTCTTGTCAGGCTTCGGTTTCGCAGTTGGGCTAAAAAGTGTGGACTCTGAATTCCCAGGGTTTGCCTGGCTATTAAATATTAGCCAGACGGAGATTTCAGTTTATCGCTACTGTCTTATTTACGCGACCAAGTGCATCTGTCACGACATGCTCACAAGTCCTGCCTTGTTTGTCTTGCAGACACGTTCACGTTCGACAACAGTTTCAGCTGGTTCAACGGAAAGCAGCTCTCCTACGTAATTCGGGTGCACCACGAGTCTATAGCCAGTCCTGACGACGTCACCAGGTGCTGAAAAGAGATTCGCCTGCCCTTGAGGTCGGGCCTTGTACAGCACTTTTGGGCCACACGTGCTCACCAACAATCTTTTGGTATCACTATTATTACAGGTGTATTTTTTTCTTTTGCTTCACATTGAAATAAATGTTAAGTATGTTGTTGGAACCATGATTGGTTTAGACGGTTATATAGTAGTCGAACCTCGCTACAACCAAGTAGCATCAGGACCATAAATTGGTTCGTTATAGCGGATATTCGTTGCAGTCTTTATATACAAAAAATTCTGTTCTAACAAATCGCCAATCTGGCTCTCGCAATATCTGACATACAAACAAGAATTATTTTAGGACTCAAGCTCTATATGAAAGAGGTACACTTTCCCTGCCATTTTGTGGCATTTTGAACATTATTTCATACGGTGGCGCGCTAAATGCAGTTTTTTTTATTTCCACTGGATAGCTGAAGTACTAACTTTTTGAAATTTTATTAAAAATAAGCTAGTTCCAAGCTGTCGTTAAACAACATGGAGAACGCTTTAGCTTCTTTCTTTAGAGCAGAACGTGAAAGCGTAATCGGGCTCCGTGTTCATCACCTTCTCAATTAGCATGCAAGCCCGGTTTCGGTTCTCTGAAGATGCCGCAAGCATATCGCAACGAAACGAGCGTCTCTGCACGTAACATTGGTAATTTAGAACTCTCGTATACTCGATTACAACTTTAGAAGTCAGCGGTACTTTCTCATCAAAGGCGGATGCACACAAGCCTGCACCAATGGGCACGTACTCCAGACTGACGTCATGAGCCGGACGGCCCCTGTACCCTCCTGCAGAGAACGTTGCCGAGAGCAAGAGCGGGATTATTTATTTAGTCGCTAGTGTGATCGGCTGCCGTGCTTCGATCGTATGGGTGGGCCTTTCCTAACTTCTGAAGTTGTATCCGACTATAGAATGTCCATTGCAAATATAGGTGCGAAGTCTTATATACGCCATGATTCTTCCTTTTGCGAAACAGTGAATGGCCCATTACGTGTTAGTAAGGCAACGCGCGAACCTTCGCAGCTGCTCACTTTGTCGATGCTTTTTGCTGCTGATGGCGATTAAATATGCCTAAGCGCTCTGTAATAGGTGGGCCTTTGAAACACCCACTCTTTGCGCAATTCCCATGTTACGGCACCTGGCATGATATTACGCTTCTGCCACGCGATATTACATGCATTAAGGAGACTCCTCATTACATGACATTCATATAGGTTTTCTTGTTCTGTCTTTATTTTTTTTTCCTTCAACGCCGTTTAAAGCAGTAGCGTGGCTCTGTGGTAGAACACCTGCCAGCCCGCTGAAGGCCTGGGTTCGACTCTCACCCAAACTAAAGTTGTTGCATTATTTTATTTCTATCGTTGTCGATTTCTCGCTCACAGACAACGCCAATGTTTCGCTAAATACGAACGACGCGGACACCAAACGAAGTGCGAACAATCAAAGTTCGTAGTGAGTTCGCTACAACCGATAATTCGCTACATCATTGTTCGTTATACAGAGGTTTATCTGCGCCTCATTCTTTTATGGCCTGTTATCTGTCATTTCTTCGTCTTGCGACAAAGCGGCTGCAAGCCAGATGCAGCCACGCAGATCCCAATGAACGAATCTTAGATAAATATCCGTATACTGTCCATCATTCTCACATTGGCTGAAGCGCCGTGCGTTGTAGCTCCCATAGACACCATAGCGTCGGATTAACTTCTAGTGTGCTCGCATAAAACTGTACGGGTGCAGAAAGTTGTGATTTGGGTTTGTACGCCAGAAGACTAAAAGAGGAGAATCCCTTGTGTTGGGCTAATTCATAAGAGGACAGAAACTAATTGACAAGTATTTCCGGATAAGCACTAACTCTCGATCTATGACGCACGGTGGATTTCAAATCTTGCCTCGTTCGGCTGTGACGGGGGTACGATAACCAATCGGGCTGCTACATTGGTTCATATCTCTGTCTTCTTACCACCCTCTCCCTCTCTCTGTCTCGCAATCACAAACACACGCAAGCACGCATGTACAGACACATACACACACACACAACGCACACACACACACACACACACACACACACACACACACACACACACACACACAAACACCATACAGACACAAAAACAAGCAAGCAACAGCTGTTTCTGCATATAGTCTCTGCTCGTTGGCATATGATAGTGTGATGGCCACCCACTTGCGTCTAATTTGCATTTTGTTACGGGAGAGATACCGAAAATGTATGTCCATTTGCATATATTGCATTGCAACTGTGCGAACTGATACGGAACTGCTTTTCATAAAAGTTATGGAGAACATCTCCTGGCTTAATCTTGTGAACGTCAGCGGCTACCTAAGTTCAATGTCAACGAAACCTCGACCCGAGCGGCATTATTGGCTCGACACGCTTCCCTTACCGACGTCTACACAAGCTTGTTTTTTTTTTTTTTTGAAACAACATAATTGCCACAACTATTGGTGAAAACGTGGTTTTTCTCATGAAATATATTCTAGAAGATACAGGAGAGACTGCAAATTTGGTGAACAGACTCGACTAAAAGTTGGCGAACACATTCTTTCACAGTTTGTGTGCTTGTAATATGCATCCACAAACAACGTCGATTTAGTAAAAAAAAAGATGACCAGTGGAAGACACAGGCTACAAACCCAAGTCCTTAGGACCAGCTGGTGAACAGGGCCAGCCTGTCAGCTCAAGCCCACGGCTACTAATGTGGCCAGCCCCCTCAACGTCTGAATAGCCTAGTCAAAGACTAACTTTAATTATCTCACTCTCCATCTCTCTTTCTCTCTCTCCGTTTCCACTTACTTTGCAGAAAATTTACTCCCGACCCGATGCTTTTCCTGAAAGGAGTCATAGACACTTACCGGAGGGAACCATTCCACAACGAACCTGTTATTGCTGGTACGGACGTCGCTGGCGATGAATACAAACGATTCAGGTGACGACTAGAGCTTTCATCGAAGTAAGATCACTGGCCGGAACGAGGACAATATCTTGTTTTGACTGCAAGAGCGTGAAACTATATCTCGCATGGCGACACTTCAAACCTGTCTTCCATGGAGAGATCGCAGTCGTAATAATCCCTGCGCGTCAAACTTCCTTACATATCACGAAGGTCGCTTGTGCAATGAAACGAGTTTCATATCGTGTGGCGCGACTTGGAAAGGAGTACGGTGACTCAACGGCATGCATGCTCCTTGCACAGCGAATAATCTTGTAGCGTGCAGTAATGAAACGCTCGAGAGGGCCATTTCACGGTCGCACACCTTAGGAGAAACCTTCAGCTATACGCAAAACAGTACAAACTGGTTACTGACAACACAAGCGTTCACCGACTCGGCGAAAACAAGTGCTAACAAAAACAGACGCCTTGACTCTAAAGCGATGTCTTTCTTAATGTCACTCTCAGACTGCTCTAAACAGTAACCTACCCGAACACACTGCCGCACTGCACACCGAATGCTTCCCAACCCCGAATGGTTCCCTGCACACCGAATGGTTCCCAACCCCGAATGGTTCCCAAGCCCAGATTGCCTTCGGTGTTGTGGCTATGCGAACTTCGAGCATGTCCTGTGGGTGTGTTCCTTCGCCGGTCCCCATTCAACCAAGAGGAAATGAAGAAGCTGCTTAAGGCTCAGGACCTGACCTCCGAGGCCCTGGCCGACCAGAGGGCCCACGCGAAGGCGGTCAGGTTTAACCTGACTGTCCACGAGTGGGCCTAGCCAGGTGACGTTAACTCGAGCCTATTGTGGACGTAATAAAGTTGATTGACTCACTCACTGGCAAACTTCGCAAGGAATAGCGTTGGTAAAGAAGTTAAGCATCCCGAAGGACCGGCTAATTCTACTGCAGCTGGAATGAACCTATTATTTCTACTGATAGAATGAACCTTGAGGAAGTTAGCTTGACATCTTGAATTGCACCTTCATACAATTCCTTCGGTTTTCATCTCTCTCTCCTAGCTACAAGAACTATGAGAAAGAGGTAAAGCTACACAGGCTTGTGTGCAAAGGAAACCTGTTGCTCCTGCACAGAGGCTAGCTTTCCTTTCGGAGGGGTCGTTCAGTGGGATAGCTTTCCCACTGAATGACCCCTCCGAATCTACCAGAGCTGCCATGAATTATGTGGTAGTCACAGAGGGGGAGAGGGGGAGCGGAGATTATGCCCCGTACATTGACTTAGTATGGAGGGAGTGCTGCGATGAACATCCCCCCCCCCCCCCCCGCATAATGGAAAATTCTGTGCACACCTATGTGTAGTTATAGATAGATAAAGGCTGGTCTAGCTCGACGGTCAAAGGTGCTGTATGCAAAACTGCATCTGCGCCATGCTTTTTCCAAAGCTATCGCCATGATTCCTTGTTAACGAGGCATCCAAGGCTATTACAAAAGCGCTTCAGCCAAGCAGCTCATTTCATCGTCACCCGCCACACTTGGAAATTGCCCGTCACTTCACCGACAAGCTGTTAAATGCGGCAAGAGATGGCGCAGCGTGCTTCGCTTCTCTTCCTCATACATTTCATTGTGCCGACAGCTGGCTGCGCTTGGCATGCATCGCTCTGGGGGCTCATTGAAAGCCGCGTCGATGCGCTGAGATTCAAAACAGGAAGTAAGGAGAGCTGTTGCGCCGGACTTGAGGGGCAACGTGGCCTCCGCCAGAGTGGTGTGTCGGTTGACCGGTAGGCGGCGCGTGCATGCAACGAGAACGCCGATGGAGACGCTTTCCTGCGGGTTGTTTCTGCCTGTTGAGCCGGCCACAGCCTGACGGCCTCGGCAGCAGCCATCCAGGAAACTCGCATTGATTCCCGCGCTAGGTGACGATGGGGCGCGACGCTACCCATGAGAAGCGAGCACTCGAACAGGTGAGTCTGGTAGGCAACGCTACCGGCTGGTTTCGAAAGCCGGCGTGCGTGAGCACAGCCCACCTTAACGCGGTGGCCAACCGCAACGAAAGCGCGAATGTTACTGCAGTCGCTTATGAATCGCCTGGAAGATGTTTCGTAAGAGAGTTGCTAGAGGCAAATTTGGCGCTGTCATCGTTCTTTCGTGAAATAAGTGACGCGCCACTTTCTTCTTCATTTTATCCTTCATATTCTTCTGTCTAGGCCCATTGACTTCGTTGAGAGCGCTGTTTCGTCATCGTCGCTTATTTTGTAGCTTGTTGACATTCTGCACTGTCAAGACTTGGAACATTTGCTTCAAGGTATTTCCTTACAGCAAGCATATATTTTGAGAGGAATTATAGGTATGCTGTTGGCTAATATAGCGCTCTAGGAGATGTTAGAACGTGCATTTTGCAAATATTAGCCGACACAGCTAATCAGTTCGTTTCTTGATCGCCAATCTTTAGAAATAAATCTGCCTGACACTAAATATGGATTATACGTGGTAGCAACTTGCACCTTTAACCATTTTCCTTTTTTTTTTTTTCCTGCAGTTATAAACAAGTATTTTTCGCATCTTAAAGGCTTCACGACCACCGAATGAACGAACGCTAAATAAATTGAACTCCCAACTTATTGCATAGCTTACATTATTATATAAAAAAGTATGTTAAGAACAACTGCGGAGGCATCAAATCAAAGATGAATGTTTTTCAAAACGCCAAATCCTCAGCCAGACCAGTTTTATGTCTTTCCTGTAACTAGTTCTCTCACCCTGTCGATCATAACCATGCATATTCTGTTTTTCGCATAACACAGGTAATTGACGCGAGAAAAACGTTTGCAGTTTTGCTATGCATACTCCTTCTCATGTGCTCTCAATCTCGACTTTTACACGAAATTAAAGTTGTCAATCAAAAAATGGCTGCAAATGCATGAAGTGAACGCTGATGATGGATCTCCATCGACAAAATGATAGACGACGTAAAGAGTATTTATGAAAAGGTGTAAGCCATACGCGTGCCATGTATGCTCCATAGACGGTGTTGCGCTTTAGTGGTATGGCCAGATGGCCAGGGAGTGGCACAACGGGACCATGCCACCCCCCCCCCCCCTTCTTGAGCCCTTTTTTCTCCATGGAGAGCGAAAAATGAGCATTGTAAGGGGTTGCCCTTCCCGAAATCAAGGAGGTCCCCCTCCCCTACCCGAAAAAATATCTGGCTACGCCCCTGTAGCGAACAGATGTTTTAAACCACATGCGCGTTATGTACGCTTTATAGACAGTATTGGGCGCAAATGTATGAGTTTGAGTTTGAGTTTAGTTTATTTACCACGTAGAGTTGTACAGTAAGTGGCTGGGACAGAGGAAAAAAAGCTGTATAAAACAGCTTTTTTCGCACCTGCGCATCAACTAGAGACGACGGCGAGCCTCAACTACAACTGATCGGAGATCGCGGGGGCTTATAAGGAGCTTCGCTCCTAATAAAGCAGTTCCCGAAACCCATCACTTTGGAACAGGCGTCGTGCTGCGTTTTCAGAGAAGCTTCAAGTGTTCAACTGTAGTTTAATGTATACAATGTTCGCCCTTTCTAGGGGGATTCGAACATATGCATAACTTATGAGAAGATGATTACCACTTAGCGGATACAAAAAAAAGAAGTAATCAGTTTATAAAGTGATAGTCTCCTGGAAAAGCTTATAACTTGAACAATTTTTCCGAAAGGCGCTTATCACTAGAAGAGCGAATGACACTATACTTTCACGTTGCGGCGTTTCGCACCTAAACTATACACCGCGACACTGCAGCTTCTCCTGAACTGTTTCGACGTACGTTTCCGTCTTAGGCCTGTCACAATTATTCAAAGTTCCCACACCTTGTTACGTTTAGTCTTGTGCTTTTTTTTTCTAATATGATTCGGTCACTCATTAGAGTTCAACTGTAAACCGAATAGACCTGAGCGCACGCTGTCAAAATTAATGATGTCAGTAAGATATCAACATTAAACGTGACGATCTTTTTTCAAGCTATGGTTTCTGTCACCAAAGTTTATTTTGATCGATTGATTGATTGATTTGTGGGGTTTAACGTCCCAAAACCACTATATGATTATGAGAGACGCCGTAGTGGAGGGCTCCGGAAATTTCGACCACCTGGGGCTCTTTAACGTGCACCCAAATCTGAGTACATGGGCCTACAACATTTCCGCCTCCATCGGAAATGCAACCGCCACAGCCGGGATTTGATCCCGCGACCTGCGGGTCAGCAGCCGAGTACCTTAGCCACTAGACCACCGTGGCGGGGCCCAAAGTTTATTTTCGCTATAAGAGTAGTGTTTATGTGTTTTTGTATTAATTTGCTAATATAAAAATTTCATTCGGTGTAAGATTAATTTATGTTAAGGGAAAGAACAGTGCTGTGCTGATCTATCGTGCATCTGACAGCGGACAATTAACAGCGATACCCGTACAAGCTTTCCCCAAGGTTTTGTATGCTTATGGGAAGGTAAATCAAAGTGCATTGTTATTTTTGTGTAATAATAAAACATATTCACATACACCAAGACTTATGAATTAAAATATATCCAGAGAAGAAGGAGTCGAAATAGAACACTGTAATCGTTGACTTTGGTGTCTGGTAGTGGAAGTCACACCTAGACATTCGTGTTCTTTGGTGTACTCCCTGCGTTAATTTGTGTTTCGTCGTACTGACGAAGCTGATTTTAAAGGCCACGCAAAAAGCAACACGGGGTTAATACATGATCCACCAGAAGGCGTCACACTCCCATCTGCTCGCAAAAAAGCCGTCTGCTTTTTCAGTGAAATCATTCAATTTTAGTAAAATACATATATGGACAGTAAATTGACACTCATCTAAAGTTAACGCGTGTACCAATGTCATGTGGATATATAATTAACTCTTAATTTCAATCATAACCATCAATGTTCAACTAGTTTTCTTTTTAAGCACATTTTTTGAAGATTCGCGATACCTGAAGCGATTAATAGGAACTTCATGAAAAGGAATAAGAGTGCCACTAGTTGCTCGTGTCACTTGAAAAGATAAAGAAAGAACTGTGGACCATCTCTCCGAAGGAAACCCTGATGGGATATGAAGCAGCAGCCGTGCGCACGGCGTTGACCCAGTTCAAACAGACGACGACGCGGGTGCTAGATGAACAGTTTGAAACGAAACTCGGTGTAGCGTTTACTCGTGTACACGTTTGTTCGAAACGCAAAGACACGGGAGTCGGGACGCGGTGAAGACGCTTGCACTCGGCTTCCTTGGCTCACGTCTCGTCGGTGTTACCCACGCGCCATCTGTATTCTCGAACGCGATTGGTGTTCTTGACTCGCACCTCGTCGGTGTCGCTGGTCTTCCACTGCCGACGTTTGCGTTTAGCTTCCCTGGCTCGCGCCTCGGCGGTGTTGATGTCGCCATTCGCGAACGCGATCGGCTTCGCTAACCCTCGCAACGGCGGCGACAGCCGGGAGAGGTACGCGAACACTAGCGGGAAGCACGCCGCGATGGCATTCCACCCTTCAGCGCGATCGGTGGTAGTGGTTAGAAGAGAGGAAAAGCACCTAATTTCTGCAGCCCGGTAGGGAGCACGGCGCTGTGCCTACAGCGCTATCGCGCGGTAAACAGCCGCGCGCTGTCCACATTGTCGGCGCCGCGCACGCACTACAGATGGAGAGAGGAGGCGCGAGTGAGATGATGCCCCCGCGGGGAGTGGACTCAAGTGTTGCGAGCGGTGGAGAGGTTGAGGCGAGAGAGAGCTGACATGCGGCGAGCGAGGAAGGGAGACGTCACCGCGCACTGCTAGGAGGATGTGAGCTACTTGGCACCGCTCCAACACCTGTGGCGAGGGGAGTGGTGTGGACGGAAGGACAGCTTTACACATGCTAGTCAAAGAGATGCTTCGCATCTTAAAAAAAATCACGGCATATTCGCGAGGTGAATGATGACGAGCGGGGCGAAGCGGACGGACGGACGCATGGATGAACGGACGGATGGTTGGACGCATAAACGCACGGACGGGCGGACGGAAGCACGGATGAACTGATGGACGCTTCGCTTCACTCTTCATCATTCACTCCGTAGATATGCTGTGACACTATTTTTACTAATGCAATGTAATGAAACTGGCTACTACTACGACTACGACGACACGGGACATACGACCCACAGCGTAAGGGGCTTCGCCCCTAAAACAAAGAAAGGAAAACGCGTCATATTTATGCGTCGTCCGGTGCAGCGATACAAGACCAGTGTATCGCTCGCACGTCGCAAGCAGCCGGTAACATGAGTGAGGCACCAGGACACTGCGCTCCTGCCGTAGGCACCGCGAATACGTAGTCGCCAAAGTCGTGCGCTGCCTCCAGCGCCAAATAGGCGGCCACGGAAGCAGACAACAGATTGCTGTGCAGCCTCTGGAAAAAGCGGCCACATCAAATTCTTACCAAAATAACAATGGAGGTGATGAGCCTATTCTGCGAAACTGCACGCGTGTAGCGTGGGCCGCTTCGCTCACTCAACGTTCAAAGCTTACCTCCCGCAGGCTAACGCGGCAGCAAACTCGGCAGCTTGAAACAAATGACAGCAGGGTGCTGTCGAGGAGTGATGGCTCATGCTATGCTACCATTATCGCCCAACATTTGCGACTGGCTGATCCAGTGGCCTAACTAGCAGTTGGTTGATTATTTGACGAAAGAGTTCCTTACATGAGAAAACGGTCTTAATGCACTGGAAAGCTGCTCTTCAGAGACAGAACGCTACTTTTTGGGGTAACGCATCGTCTCAGAAGAGTGGGCCAACGCAATAATATCTGGTGTTTAACTTCTGAAAACCGCTATACGCTTATGAAAGACGCTGGCCTCTACGCCACCGCGGCGGCCGCTGATCAACGTAGCGTGTGAGCGCGTGCACGGGACTGGTTTGGACACTCGCTTGGCGAGCTGCCGCAATGTCCATTTGCGTGCGATAACTTTGTTTCCTCCGTCCTTCGTCCTCCAATTACGCTGACGTTTCTTTTCCCGAACGGTTTGATGTGCAAGCCACTTGCGCTCACCGCCGGGCAGATAAGATGCGCACACGTTTGCGTTGCCCAACATTTCGAAAGTTGGCGGAGGATTGAGTGGGAATATTTCGTTGAGGTTAACTTTGAACGCGCGCTCACTTCGAAAGTGCAGCAACTAGAAGAGCAGAAGCATGATGCTGTAAGTCGGCGTTTCCGACTCTGTGACGTGGTGCGTAAGTACATTGTCGCAAAAGAAAGTTTCCGGCAAGGACCTGAATCCTTGATCGTCGCACAAGGCTTGGTGAAAGAAAGAAAAAGATCAGTTAGCTGTGTTTGAAATGCCACCAAAGTGATCTGCGTATGATCTATATATGCACCCACACTTGGTGTCTGGTGCACTCTTGAGCGGAGCACAGTGCTGAGAGATAGGGACAAACGCCGCAGTAACTGAGGTTTCAAGAATCAAGTCAAATGCAGCCTTACTTGGAAGACTCTGCGGTTCCCGCTGCTAATGGTCCTTGTCATTTAGGCTAAGCTGAACACAAATCGATCGTTTTGCTTGCATCTCAGCGCAACACCCTCAGATTATTTGAGATTTTTGATATACCACTTTCTTTAATTACTGTGATAATTATTATTTTTCTCGTTTGCTGATGTTTATTGCTATGTATTTATGGCTAACTCGCTCCTCTCTAAATCACGACAATTAAGGTGGTGTTGTGAAAGAAAGAGATAAATTAATACTGGACTTCGGAAAATCGAGTCATTCTCTTCCACTCCCTGATACAATGGTGGCAAAGTTTTCTAAAAGATTCATTTTTCAATAAGCCCTTGGTCTCTGTCTATTTCTCTCTCTAGCTTGCACCCCGCGGCATTGCGGACACGAAAGTGACTGCCAGTGAAAGACCGCATAATTTTTACAAGTGTCCAAATCGGAGAAATTGAGGCTTGTCAATCAAGCGCTGTTATGATACCTAGCACTTCTGGACAACACATTTTGCTGCTGCCAACTAGCAAAGCATTATGTTTACTTCGGACGTGATGGCACTCGTGCCTTTTCTTTTGACTACTTGTGTTCCTGATTCCTACAGTTCAAAGAAGCTATACGGGACATTTGGCGGGACCAGTTCACCGACCCTTACCTACTGCGATGGCTCATAGGTGAGTGCGACAGCGTCCTTGCGATTGGAGCATTCACATATTGACGGATTCGCACTACGGTCATCGCCAACGTTACTAGTCTAGTAACGTTGGGTCATCGCGACCACCCCCTTTGTGTACCATTTTGCAGTGCGTGTACATCGGACTAAACAACACAATAGGCGACTCTCGTGCCGAAAGAGAGGTGAATAAAAATGATGATCCGGCGGAAAGCGATCGCCGTAAGGTTACGCTGTGCTCCACCGATGTCATCGTGCACGCCATATTTATCCCCGACTTAGGTCGACGTGATGATGCGTCCGTGACCTTTCGTGCCAACTACCTAGCCGTCCTCTCAGCATGTTTCATAGGAGAAGCCTAAATTTCAAGTGGGCGCACCGTCCAGAGAACAGGAAGTTAAGCACTTATTCTCAACTGTGGAATTTTTGCCTGTAGTGTAATAATAATAATAATAATAATAATAATAATAATAATAATAATAATAATAATAAATAACTGGATTATTACGTCCCAAAACTATATGGTGGAAGTTGTAGTGCAGGCCTGCGGATATTTCGATTATTTGGTGTTTTTTTTTTTTTAATAACGTGTACTGACATCACGCAGTACAACTACCTGTATACATTTCGCCTCCAACGAAATACGACCGCCGCAGCCGGCATCGGACCCGCGACCTTCGGTAAACAGCTGATCTCCGTAACAACTGATCCGCCGCAACCGACTGCCTGCAGTGAATAATCGTAGGGCAGGAAGAGGAAGGGTTAGTTGACTGATCCAGTAGTGCTCCTCAGATCAGTGAGGTTCTCTGCTTCACAGATATGCTTCATAGATACCAAAGACCAAAAGAGCACACAACGTGAGTTTTTGTACTCAGTGGACCACCGCTGGTGACATTCAATTCCCCGCCACCGTTGACGCGCCAGCAACACTGAGCTGCTTCTGTCTTAAATGACATCGCTGGCGTTCCCTGCGCTCACCGTGCCGGCGTTGTGAGACACCTGGTAGCTTGCCAGGACACTGTCCCTTCATTCGTGCAGCAGTAATTGCCTCGTGTATTACGTGTAGCGCCAAGATGTCTCGTCGGCCCTTACAACACACGTCTAGATACATTAGGCGCTGGATTTGGCACTTACAGTGCTTAACTCTAGCAACTAGACTGTCTTTCTTTTCATTCCTTTGCATTCTGTCAGTGTCGCACGCTGACTTTTTATTTGTGAAGTAAAAAGGCACAAGATAAACGACGACAAGTTATTCCTGCTTCTTGTTTCTTTTCTTTTTTTTTTCACGCCTTTTTACGCCATGAATCGGTACCATCTCGCCAAGCTTTCAACTATCTCGCGCAACTTTTTCGTTATTTGTACTTTCTGGATATTCGCGCAACGCCATAAACATCGCTCCAACCGTCCGTTCTCTTTTGCATGCCTTTGGGCGATTTGAAGCTTGGCTCTTTCGCATTTAAGGCGGGCTAACTCTGTTTTCTACACTATATTTCTCTAATCTGTCGTACTGTCGCAAAACTTCACTTTCCGCGGTACCTAAACCCACGTGGGCATTGTCATGTTCACTTTCTTTTCTTTCCACTTTCAGCAAGAGACTTCGATGTGACCAAGGCGCAAGACCTTCTGCGCAAAGTAAGTGCATGCTCAAGTTGAACATGATTGCGATTACATTACGTGTAACCTCCGAGACCTTGAGTTAACTTATAGGGCAGCGTGACAGCTGCACCGTAGACGCATCGTTTTTATCTGACGCCTATCCCTAGGTCACACGCCGTCTGTGCTACACGTATTAATCTTGCGCGCTTCCCGCAGCAGTCATGACGGCTTCATCTTCGACGATGAGACTTTTATAAGCAGGCTTGGCAATGGCCGACTACGCTATAGCCACCTTTTGCCTTGAATTCAAGAAGTGGCTCCACCGAGCTACGCCGTATTGCCTGATCAAGCAGCGTTGAGCGTGCGGCAGTGCTTTGTGGAGTAAAGATGATATCCCTGCTTGACCACCGGCCTAAACGAATCTCTTTTCTGCCGTGCGACCATGTGACCTCGATAATTGTCTAACCTGTGTGTGTGCGTGTGTGTTTGTGTGCGTGTGTGTGCGTTTGTGTGTGTGTGCGCGTGTATGTGCGTGTTTGTTTGTGTGTATGTGTTTGTTTGTGTGCGGATGTGTGTGTGCGTGCGTGTGTGTGTTTTTTTGTTTGTGTGTGTGTGCGCGCGTGTGTGTGTGTGTGCGTGCGTGCGTGTGTGTGTGTGTGTGTGTGTGTGTGTGTGTGTGTGTGTGTGTGTGTGTGTGTGTGTGTGTGTGTGTGTGTGTGTGTGTGTGTGTGTGTGTGTGTGTGTGTGTGTGTGTGTGTGTGTGTGTTGTGTGTGTGTGTGTGTGTGTGTGTGTGTGTGTGTGTGTGTGTGTGTGTGTGAAGACCAATTACTCTCAAGCTTCAGCCTTGTCACCTGAAATCAGCGGTCAGTAAAACATCGCCATCACAATGATTAGTGAACGCTGTTCCCTCTAATTGTCTTTTTTTTATTCCTCCTCCCTTTTTTCTCTCTGGGCAATCGGGAAATAAAGCATGCGTTGAACGCAGATCTTACATTTGTCGACCTTGACCTCGAAAGCAATATGACCTTGACCGGTGCCAGTCAGCTCATGTAGAACTTGAAGTAAGAATCTAACAACGCTCAAATTATTAAGAAGCATAATTATATGCCCCAAATAAACTCCTAAAAACCCGAGTTTTAGGGCCTCAGTATATATATATATATATATATATATATATATATATATATATATATATATATATATATATATATATATATATATATATATATATATATATATATATATATATATATATAAGTCAAGTAGATCCTCCAAGAGAACGGTAACAACGGAAGTGTTTAATTCGACAGTTTCGGCCAGAGTCTGGCCTTCATCAGGAGTCATGGTACATTCTGTTTGCGCTCACATTTATAGTATTTTGGGTAAAAAATGAGAGGGAAGGAACGAAAAAAAAAAAAAAAAAAAAAGAAAGAAAGAAAGAGTTTGAAAAACGAGAGAGGAAAGGATATCCAGAAAGTTCCAGGTTCCACTGTGCTTCGCGAGTGGCGTCGTCAGTGTGTATTTTCTTAGTATTGCGTTCAGTGCAGTTTGGTGACGGTCCCTTTATTGTAGACGGGGCCTGGCTAAGGTAAGGGCTTGCGTGTCGCGAAAACTGCTTTTTTTATTATTATTTTTTATTTTTTATTTTTTAAAGACCGTCACTAATTCGGCGTCGGGGACAGCGTTCCGAGGCTCCAGGAAGTCGGCGCGGGAGAAAATGTTTCTTAAGGCGCTGTCTGTCGTTTTGAATGCTATTTTGCTCTGCGAATCCGCGTTTGGGGGTTTTAATTGTGTATGGGGTGGCCCTTCTATATGTCGGGCTTTGTTGTCGAAATGCGGGAAGGGTTTCCAAACTGCGAGAAAGGACGTTTGAAGTGATTGCTATTTTGTACTGGGAAACCGCGTTCGGGGCGTTTAGTTGTGTATGTGGATGTCGGGCTTTGTTGCCAAAATCGGGGAAGGGTTGCCAAAAGGCGAGAAGGGGCGTTTGAAGTGATTGCATTTTGTTCTGGGAATCCACGTTCGGGGCTTTTAGTTGTGCATGCGGTGACCCTTCGACAAGTCGGGCTTACAACTATTGTTCGGTTATTCAGAGAAATAGAAATAGACGACAGTGGTTCACTGAAACACGCAAAGATATTTGTAGTTGTCCAGTCCTCGTCGCCGCCACAGTGCCGCGAAATCTTGAACTGTTATGATTACAATTATAAACTTACATATACACACATACACCCCCATACATATGCGCATATGCATAAGTACATATACACATATAAATGTATATGTATATATTATAGTGCTTGATTGCTGCAAGTGTACCCGGACTTTCATTTATGCCTTTTTCGAGGGTGTTAAATCGGTGTATGAGGTATGATTCACGTTGTTCACGTTCCCGGTTTGATTTAAATCCTGTTTCTAAAAGTGTGACTGACAATTTGTCGAAGGAGTGGCCGGGAAGGTTAAGGTGTTTTGATAGAGGTAGATTCGGCGCTGATTTCGCGTGGGCTCTGTGATTATTGAAACGAATCCTAAAGGGTGTTTCCGTTTGTCCGATGTATTGCATGCCGCACACGTTGCATTCAAGTAGATATACCACATTAGGGGAATCGCATGTTAGATTTCCTCGTATGTTAATTGAAAAGTTGGATTGTGTGCTGCTTGCCTTGCTTGTATCTCGCATCGCTTTGCATACAAAACATCGAGGCTTCAGACAAGGTCGGCATGAACTGTCGGAAGTTGAAGTATTGATTTGGGAGTTTACAAGTGTGTCTTTGAGGTTGCGTGTTCGTCGGTAAACGACGCCAGGAGCCGATGGGAATGCACGTTTTAGACGTTCACTTTGTTCCAGTATGTTGTAATGTCGTTTAAGGATTTTGTTAACGTTGGGGAAATTCGTGCTGTATGTTAAACATAGGTGTGTCTGTTGCAGGTTGTGTTGTGGTGGCCGCTTCATCAGAAGGTCATCACGCTGAAGTTTTCTAGCTTTTTGAATAGCGTCATCAATTACATGTGGAGGATATTTCTGTTTTTCGAGCACGAGTTTAAGCTTTTGTGAGCTCGCGTGGAAGTCAGTGTCTTTTGAGCAAATTCGCTTAAAACGGTGGGCCTGGCCGTATGGAATGCTGTCTGAAGCCTCGATGTTTTGTATGCAAAGCGATGCGAGATACAAGCAAGGCAAGCAGCACACAATCCAACTTTTCAATTAACATACGAGGAAATCTAACATGCGATTCCCCTAATGTGGTATATCTACTTGAATGCAACGTGTGCGGCATGCAATACATCGGACAAACGGAAACACCCTTTAGGATTCGTTTCAATAATCACAGAGCCCACGCGAAATCAGCGCCGAATCTACCTCTATCAAAACACCTTAACCTTCCCGGCCACTCCTTCGACAAATTGTCAGTCACACTTTTAGAAACAGGATTTAAATCAAACCGGGAACGTGAACAACGTGAATCATACCTCATACACCGATTTAACACCCTCGAAAAAGGCATAAATGAAAGTCCGGGTACACTTGCAGCAATCAAAGCACTATAATATATACATATACATTTATATGTGTATATGTACTTATGCATATGCGCATATGTATGGGGGTGTATGTGTGTATATGTAAGTTTATAATTGTAATCATAACAGTTCAAGATTTCGCGGCACTGTGGCGGCGACGAGGACTGGACAACTACAAATATCTTTGCGTGTTTCAGTGAACCACTGTCGTCTATTTCTATTTCTCTGAATAACCGAACAATAGTTGTAAGCCCGACTTGTCGAAGGGTCACCGCATGCACAACTAAAAGCCCCGAACGTGGATTCCCAGAACAAAATGCAATCACTTCAAACGCCCCTTCTCGCCTTTTGGCAACCCTTCCCCGATTTTGGCAACAAAGCCCGACATCCACATACACAACTAAACGCCCCGAACGCGGTTTCCCAGTACAAAATAGCAATCACTTCAAACGTCCTTTCTCGCAGTTTGGAAACCCTTCCCGCATTTCGACAACAAAGCCCGACATATAGAAGGGCCACCCCATACACAATTAAAACCCCCAAACGCGGATTCGCAGAGCAAAATAGCATTCAAAACGACAGACAGCGCCTTAAGAAACATTTTCTCCCGCGCCGACTTCCTGGAGCCTCGGAACGCTGTCCCCGACGCCGAATTAGTGACGGTCTTTAAAAAATAAAAAATAAAAAATAATAATAAAAAAAGCAGTTTTCGCGACACGCAAGCCCTTACCTTAGCCAGGCCCCGTCTACAATAAAGGGACCGTCACCAAACTGCACTGAACGCAATACTAAGAAAATACACACTGACGACGCCACTCGCGAAGCACAGTGGAACCTGGAACTTTCTGGATATCCTTTCCTCTCTCGTTTTTCAAACTCTTTCTTTCTTTCTTTTTTTTTTTTTTTTTTCGTTCCTTCCCTCTCATTTTTTACCCAAAATACTATAAATGTGAGCGCAAACAGAATGTACCATGACTCCTGATGAAGGCCAGACTCTGGCCGAAACTGTCGAATTAAACACTTCCGTTGTTACCGTTCTCTTGGAGGATCTACTTGACTTATTGCAACGCTACGGCCATTTTCGCCACCATGCCTGCCTATATATATATATATATATATATATATATATATATATATATATATATATATATATATATATATATATATATATATATATATATATATATATATATATTCTCTTATTCTAGTGACCGACAGTTTCTAAACGACATTTATTCAACGAATGCGCCTCGTTCTGAGGTTACATATCACAAAGAGAAAACAAACAGAGAAAAAAAGCTGGGAAAAGAAAAGAGTAACAATTCTAGCGTTTTTGGTGACATGCAGAATCTGCGATGGAGGGCGGAGAACGACGTAGACACCCTGGTGGATCGTTACGAGTGTCATCCGGTGAGTGTGACGTCACGATCTCTCTCTCTCTCTCTCTCGCAAGCACGAACACACAAACACAACACACAGCGAAAAAAGCAACCCGTGGTCCCCCTCTGGAAGGGGGCAAAAACTAGACTTTACGCTATGCATTGTAGGGGAAACTTTTCAAGCTTGTAAAAGGTTGAAAGCCGTATGGCATGGCTTCCTAAACTAACACTATGTATTCGTTAAATAACGTTGTTCTTACTAGCGATCGTATCAATGTTTGTCGAAACCCGACTCTGAATACCCTCCGCAAATGACCCATGTGTGCAATATGGTACAGGCTTCCTTATACAATGTATAATGCCGCAATAGTAGTGTGGCTCTATCATATTATGTATGGTGGCTGTATTTCGTATTATATTACTCCTACGCAATATCTTCTGTTATGTCGCAAAACATTTTTTTCTCTCTTCGTATGTAGTTATAAGTAATACTTTTTTCTCTGTTATTTTATACTAGCAGCTAGTTCGGTAATTTGTACTTTTTTTTACTCCGTGAAAATCCTGAATACTCGTATATATGGTATTGAATTGTACTGTATTCCCCAATCACCCTATGCCTTTTCCGGGGCCCTTGAAGTTTTGTTACATAAATATATAAGTAAGTGAATAAATATTACATGGTAGGATTAGCTGAAATCTTTTTGAGGACACCCCTCCCCTAAAGGGTTTTCCCCACTACACCCACCACTGGTTGATGCTAGGGGGGCGAGGGCAGTACGGGTGATCTCTTCCCCCCAAAATCTGTGTTAGCAGCCCCTCCTCACTGCAGTGTTTATAGTCCACCTCTTATCAGCAATTAAGACAAATTAGTGAAAGCATTGTGCACGCACAATAACAGTATTTGTCTTATGAAGGAATTTTTCCGCTGGTAAAAACAAAAGGTCATGACCATGTCCCCCCTCTCCAGTGTTACTTCAGGCGACCGCCCTCCATAAAATGAGTGGCTGAATCCGCCCCTGTGTCCCCTCCCCCTCTTAACCGTCTCCCCTGCCCTGACCCTTGCCGGACTGATGTCTCAAGCTCATCTTAGTCAGCGCGCCGCAGTAACTGAACAGTGACTGCAGCCTGCTGGCTGAGCTCAATTTGTGACTCCTGATCTGGGTTATAATATTCACTGTAGACCTGCTGTAGACAGCAAAAAGGAAAGCTAAGCTGAGAGCGGCCACCCACAGAATTTCATTCTAATTATCGCGTGGCCGACGAAATAGACCGCTTCGCAAAACCAGCAGCTGAGGCATATATGATGCAGGCTACTTTGCTGCACAAACTAGTACGACGGCAGCTCAGCGGAATGCTCAACTAGACAGCTCAAATCTCGCCTATGTGCTCGTCTGCGCACGAGCAGCCACTTCCTTACGCGCTCAATGTAAGCTACGTTCAATTTTTCGTAGGCTTGAACACGAGAGACATTGAAGAAACAAGATTGTGTTTGTTCTTCCAAGCCTTCTTCTGTCTACGCGAGGTGCTGTCTGGTCGCACAGACGTCATCCGGACGCTTTGCAACTTCCTTTACTGAGATAACTGAGGCTCTATGCTGTCTTCTAAGGCATGAGCGTACATTGTCTACGAAGCTGTCCTGAATCGGAACACAGCCGTAGTTTTATGGTCAATATTTTTCTATGCATGACATTCACCCCAGACTAAACTCAGTACACATACACGTTTAGTTTCTGATATTTAGTTTCACGTTTCCCCGCTCTTCTTGATGGGCGTTATTGTTGAGAAAGGTAGCAGTGTTGTTTTTACGCCGACGAAAGTTACTTCCGAAGCTAGAAAAAAGTGCGGAATGCAAACCTTACGACTTCAACCAATCAAACTGCTTACTTTTTATACACCCCCCCCCCCCGCTAAATATATGCACTGTCGAATGTCCGCCATATTAAGCTAAACTGAACACCATTGTAGCCCCGCCGCGGTGGTCTAGTGGCTAAGGCACTCAGCTGCTGACCCGCAGGTCGTGATACCGAATCCCGGCTGCGGCGGCTGCATTTCCGTTAAAAGCGGAAATGTTGTAGGCCCGTGTGCTCAGATTTAAGTGCACGCTAAAGAACCCCAGGTGATCGAAATTTCCGGAGCCCTCCACTACGGCGTCTCTCATAATCATATGGTGGTTTTGGGACGTTAAACACCACATATCTATCTTTTAGATGCGGAAGCATCTTATACTCGCGCCTTGTAGTGCGCCGTCTGCGCCGTCCGCACCACTTCTCGAACATTCGACAGCTGACGCGCGCGCATGCGCCGTCGCGCCGTCGCCCACTCTTCCACCATCTGTGCATCCCTTCCTCCTCTACACACCGCGCGCGCTTCACTCCTCCACCATCTGTGCACCCTTCCTCCTCTACACACCGCGTTCGACATCTACAATTCTCCTGATTCTCCAGTGGACGCGCATGTGGCGTCGCGCTTCGAGAACATTCAACAGCTGACAGTGCATGCGCCGTCGAGCTGTATATATACTCAAGGTCGGCGCTCGCTCGCTCAGTTGCCGCTCGTCGGTTGGTTTGTACGGCGCGTCGACGTCCAAGGTCGCGGTGAATGAATTCCAACGAATCCACAAACACAATGATCGACGTCCCTTCGACCAGCGCCGCCCTTTCGCATACGTGTGTACGTGTTCACTCATTTAACACCCCCTCCTACAACCACGTTAACCAATTTAGCCATCGACCCAAGTAAGTCGCAATTTAACACCCCATTTCACAACCACGTTAACCAATTTAGCCATCGACCCAAGTAAGTCGCACTTTAACACCCCGTTAACCAATTATATGCTCCGCATCCTCCTCAGTGTTCCCCCGAGGGAAGCTGCGGGCAATTTTTTTAAACACCACTGTAACACAAGCCTTGTGACCGTTCACGCTGTTTAGCGCATAGCGTTCTTGTCGGGATGTACCACTTTTGTAAATGGAGGAACTCGTTTCGCGCAGGCATGCTGCAGTGCGTGCCAAAAGAGGACATCGTGCGACACGTGATCTACACGATGGAGCTCATGCAGCGTGACATGGACAACCAGACACGAAAGGTCAGTCGCCTACTACGGGCGTGATAGCATCTTGAGTAGGCCTGTACTATAATAGCGGTACTTCATTACAGACTACAGCCGTATTCAACTTTATAAGTCAGCGGCGTTTTTTTCTTCAAAGGCGGAAGCATAGAAGTCCATACCAATGAGCGCGCGCTCCAGACAGACGTAATGTGTCGGACGGCCGTTGACTCTGCCTTTGGAGAACATTGCCGAGCGCACGGCGCGCGTAGGTGATGAGCTGTCGCGCTTCGGTCGTCTGGACAGGACCTCTCCTGACTTCTTAAGTTGTACCCGACTATAGTGTGTTCGTACTTGCAAACTCGACTTGCAGCGCAACCAGAATGAAAGGAGGAGGAAGACAGGAAGGAGCGCTTTGTCCTGTCTCCTTCCTTCTTTCCTTCTGGTTGCCCAGCAAGTCGAGTTTACGTGTTTCATATAGCCGCATTCCCAGGAGGAGGAGGAGGAGGAGGAGGAATAAATTTATTATTCAGAAAGGGGATGGGAAATGTGGGAAACGAAGTTTATTGGGGCTAGGTTGGAGCCCAAGGGGCCGCAACACTAGCAGACCAGTCCGCTATAGCTTGGCCTGTATTTGCGAATTCGGGTTCCTTAAGGACCCCTCCGAGGCTTCCGTTGAGGGAGGTGGAATTCGCGACATCTGAAAGTGGCGCCATCTCTCAGCGGCAGTAACAGTATAGCCTGCCATAACTGAATCGGAAATAGATTTTAAAAATAATATTCCCCGAGAAAAAAAAAACTAGTTATCCAAAACTACTCCAAGTCATATGTAGCAGATACGCACTGGTACATTTTTTTTGTGCAAAATTGCAGTATCGCACTACAAAGTGTGTGGATTCCCACGACAATTGAACACCGCCCATAGAAACACATGGGACCCCATGGTTAAATATTAAGCACTCAGGGAAGCCGCGTGGTTTGTATTGCCGTACTGTAACTGTTCCGGACTGTTCAAATAAGTCGATGCTGCATAGAGCCGAGAGTCGCTTTTGATAACTAGCTTTTTTAGTCAGATATGATTTTTTCTCCTATTTTCTATTAAGTTACGGCAGGCCAACGCCGTGATCGACGAGAGATGGCGGCACGCGCATCGAGGCACCCTTATGTTCCCATGTCTTGGTCACGCTTGTATGTTTGAGCCTGATGTACAGCCACCATGATTTCAAATTCCCACCATGAACAGAGCAATGACAGACCTTTGCCGTATTTCCCTCCTTCGCTTACACTAGACGAACGTGAAAGTCGATCTGAACATAACAGCGGATGTTGACTATGCCTTATGATCTGATCGTGTTCTTCGAAAGCGGCGTCCATTTGTGTGACTCCTGGATCGGCACGTAGCCAGATTTTTTTTTTTTGCAAGGAAAGAGGGGGGGGGGGGGGCACTTTTTTGAAGTTAGTGTTTCTCTTTATTGTCCCTTTAATGTTGCCATTTGAAAGGGGGCCTTTGCCTCGTCACTTATATGCGTCATTTCAGATGGGATTTCGCGTCAGAACCGATGCCGATATGGTGAATGCGATCCTGAGGTTTTTCTCCGCAATCATATTTCAGCACACGGTAGGCCGCTTGGCGTGCCTCAGAAGAACAAAATGCTTGAGGCTACCTACGTGTGCATAGGCGCATACTAATTAAAGAAAAAAAAAGCATATATGGGACTGTGATGTAGGGTCTGTCGGTCGCTAGAAGAATGTTTGCGGACCTCGTGTCCCCGACCTGTGCTCTAAGTAAATACTGCATGCTTTACTCGGCAAAAACTTCAGCATTATTATCAGCCTTATGGTAACTCCTCTAATTTTGTCTCATTGCGCATATTCCAGCGAACTAGCGTTCATGAGCCACCTCAATATTTATTAGCAAGAGGCGTTAGCTTTGAACGCCCCATTCGCACCCCACAATCCTTTTCATGGGAAGCTCTCGACAATAATATCTCTAGTGAGTCATCTCATTCAATATGAATGTCGTTTCAGGAGAGCGATCCCTGATAGCTCGTACTTGAAGATACGAGATCAAAAGGCGTCAAGTGGGACAGCGATTATCGCAAACTCTCGAGCAAGCATCCGTTCCCGAGCACGCACCCCTCTTCCTTTTTCGATAGATACGAAATATGCACCCTAAGAGGGCGAATAAAAACAGTGACTACACGCGTATGCCATGCAGCATTTGATTAGAAGCACGAGTGTGCATTCTTTATTCTTATCGGCACTTCCACCAGCATATTGAATTTTGATCCGGGACCGAGCAAGGGCCCGCACTCCAAACCTTGTCGAATTATCCTTCGCCTTAAGGGGTAAAGAGCGGGGGTGGGAGGGAGAGGCTAGCTCGAGATTTTGCGGTATGCAAGATATGGATGCTTAAGTGCACTAACACCATTCACAAAAAGTAGTCATACGCTAATGGACTATCAGTCGACTCACTATGACTCCGATAGCGCCGTAAGTCTGATCGAATCCGAACGAGTAATATTTAGGTGAGCTTGAGTCCGAAAGAATCCGGATAAAAGAACTTAGTGAGCCCGGTTCGAGAAAACTTTTGTGAGTCTGAGTCCAAGTAAGCCCTTTAAGGGCGAAATATATTTCTTGGTTGAGAGGGCGTGTACTCCAGATTTTTTGTGGACGTATAATACGTGAAACAGCAGTCTGTTCACCGGCGCAGATGTGCAGCTCAGTACGTGACTCGGTAATATTTACAAACATCAACCTGAAACCACCACGATGATGGAAATTTCGACACGCATCATTGAGTGCATTGCTATTCTGTGAAAATTACTGGTGAAATCAATCGGCAATGTTGATCGGTGAAACTGAACATCGATGCTAGGAAAGACTACACAATGACAGCGCTGGATAAAAGCCAGTTAAACTTACCACCACTTTACTTGGAGAAGCTTCTCTCTTCAATAGCGCTTAGCGACTGTGCATTTACTAAAATGCTATAGGAGGGTTGCACGTGACGTCATCCGCTTGAGGCGCTAGCGGCGTTTGCCTCTACCGCCATGTCAGTGGTCTAAGCGCGCCGTTTTTGAAGCGGCGAGCGGCAGTAAGAGGTTGTGTACGTGCCGCTACGTACTGTACCAACGTGGTGAAATTCGACTGCGTGCTTACGCGCGTGACTTCCGAAGTCCGGCGAAACTTCGCTACGAACACAAGGTTCACATTTTCGATATCAAGGATATCGTCCTGTTCGACTTCAGCAGCGATGAAGCTGTGTGTGATGTGAAGTGTTATTCCCGCATCAAGCTCACGGACATTAAGAACCACCTTGTTGGCGGCACAAGCTTCGCAACAAGGGACGATCTTAGAGCCTGTAAATTGATGGACGCCCACAACTATGTGAATAGCGGATGTGTCCAACAGCATCGAGTTAGAGACCTCGGAGACGGCCGCCGCGTCGTCGTCGGAAATGTGACTCGTTTTCCTTGCTCAGTGCTCGGACGAATAATTTTTTTTTTCACCGCGGTGGTGGCGCTTCACGAATTCTTTGTGTGTAAGGGCTTCACCATTTGCAAGAGCATGTGAGGTGATACAATTGTCATAGTTCGTTCGTGGTTGAGCCCAAGCCGCTTGCGATCAAAAATGCTCTTTGCTGCAGGGTCCAATGACGCGCGTCGGGCAGTTGCGCACCCAGAAATCACATACGGTCTCGATTGTAACTGGTCGACGTTAATGTGCTCGGCTCTTTAAAGCATGGGTAAACGAGAACGCACTGCGTCGATGACTGTTTACTAACACACCGAAATCAGTAACACGCCACACCTACCTGGTTGATACCGGTGATAAGCAGCGATCGCGGTCGTAGTCCGCGCGCTCGTCTCTTGCTGCGTAAACAAAGCTTCATAGCGCACGTCGCGAAAACTTAAGTTTTTCACTACAAACGCGAACCTCTGTGATGTGGCATAGTGTGTGGCTGAACCATTCAAACCTTTTCGATTGGTTTACAATCATTTTAGGCATGAAAAAAAAAAGCCGACATCAGACGCATTGTCATGACCAGCCTTCTTCCTCGAGTGATTGTAGCAACCAAATAAGCCGCAGTTCACAATTATGAGCACAGAAATCTTGCACAGGCGCGCAGCCGTGAGTGTACCACGTACTAGTGTACGTTCTGCGACTGCTTGCCCGCGGCGGCAGGGTGGGAGACCACAAAGATGGATGCGCTGCCTTTTCGACGCTGGCGCCATCTCGTGGGCCACGCCCCTGTGCAACCCTCCTATAGTTTTAAGCAAGATCGCCACTTTTCGCTCGGTTTCTGTCTCCCTTCCAATTTCTGTCTGACATGTGCTGCAGACTTATGATTCGCTAATGACATGTCATCGTGTTCACAAATGATCGACGAATATTGGTTATCGAAACAATGGCCGTTCGCCCATCAACACATATTTGGCCGTTAATCATAGATGAATTTGGTCAGATTTGAACAGTGGCAATTTCTGCGTCACGCACACAAAAAGTTCCTACATTTCAACGTCTTTACAAAGCTTTCAACAATACATCTGCCGCATCACGTACAATTTACCGAGTAGCGCGTTTACAAGCTCACAATTTCGTTTTCTTCTTGCATGTAGCTGGGCAGGACGGTGAACTCGTCCCTTTTCCTCATCGATTACGAAGGCTTTAGCCTCAAGCAGGTCACATCCTGGCAAGGTGAGTTGTCTGGAAGCGCTTACCGATACCCTGCTCTATATCGTGGTTAAGCAACAAGACGCACTCGCGTTGTTTCGCTGTCTTAAAGTTTTCATTCACGGACCGTTTTATGGACGAGTCTGAGTGCCGCCGTATTGGGCAGTTAATCTTTGTGTTTTGTATCTTTAACTAATGAACAGTGTTACGGTAGACGTTTTCACATGAAAAGGGTTGCTTTGGTGCACGCCACAGTGTACAAAAAGAATAAAGAATCAGCTCAGCAGCGCAAGATGGCAGCGCCGAGATGTCTTCCACAAAATAGTCTACAGGCTGGCATTCGGTGACGTTCATTCGATGAAGCTGACGCTCATAGATATGCACAAGGCTAAACAACACCAAATAACGAATCGCATGCACGTTCACGCACGCATGTGCATGTATAGATGCGAGCACGTTTCCGATGAATGCAGGCTAGAAGGCAGCTAGTAGGAAGTTAGTGAACTAGGAAGCAAGAAAAGGTTTTGTGGTACGTGTTCTACTGCGTGGGACCATCTGGCGCCAACTTTAAATAGAGATGGCGTGTACCATAAAAACAGTATTCGAGAAAAAAAAAACAGGCAAATTCATTGTACTCCTTTTTATTATTTAGTCAACTAGCATTTTGTTGCAGCTTACTGCCAATTGCGTATCGATTTCTTTTGTTATCCTTTGTAGTCCTGGACCTCTCCCGCTCGTTGACGGCGCTTTACGAGAACTACTACCCTGAAATGCTCAAGCTTGGTATCCTTATAAACAGTAAGTTCACAGTACCGTTCTCTTTAAACTATGCTCATGCCTAAACAAATCTTTCTTGCTAAGTACGTGCTTTCCGTAGCTTGTCTCCAGTGTTGTGTACGAAATTTTGGTCGCCTTACGAGAGAAGATCAGCAGCAAGTTACACTCTATATAACATTTCAGAGGCTAAAACGCCTTCCTGCAGACTTGACACCATAGTTAGAGGTACACAACGGAGCACCAGACTTCTTGTACGGCAAAGAGCTGCAGTCCTCAGAGACTGTCACTAAGTCGCATTGACGTTGTCAATAGATTGCATCGAAGGTCGCAGAGCAGCACGAGAACACAGATGTAACCTATGACTGTGCCAACAAAGAAAGCGCCAACTTGCAGTAAAACGCTTCTCAATCGACTTCGACTTCTTTACAGCACCGACGAAACGGACGAATACAAGTAAACTTATTGAATGTTCAATGTCGATCCCGAGTTCAACACTTTACATTCGGCATTAACGTCAGCTCAACCTGCTCCTGCGCTCACCTATAGCATGTTCCACTTGCAATTACCGCAATGCGAGCCTGGATCATTTCTCGCTCTCCTTAACTCACTGCTACCTCAACTCCACTATACACGTATACTTCTTTCCATGCGATGACGTGCATAGCTGAGCCCCGCCGCGGTGGTCAAGTAGCTAAGGTACTCGGCTGGTGACCCGCAGGTCGCGAGTTCGTATCCCGGCTGTGGCGGCTGCAATTCCGGTGGAGGCGTAAATGTTGTAGGCCCGTGTGCTCAGATTAGGGTGCACGTTAAAGAACCACCCCAGGTGGTCGAAATTTCCCGAGCCCTCCACTACGGCGTCTCTCATAATCATTTCGTGGTTTTGGGACGTTAAACCACACATATCAATCAACGCGCATAGCTGAAGTCAGGGACTGAGTTCGTTGACGTCACGGCTGACGTAAAGGGCTCAGCTAGTTTTGGTAGACTAACAAAAAATATTTTATCTGAATTTTACCGAAGTAAATGTTCTTCCCTTAGGCCAGATGGTACCTGTAATAGAGGACCCTTCCAACTAGAGTAACCACGATGTTCCGCGTCCAGAGCGTTGCGTTCAGTTTACACATTTATTTCATTCATGGTCTTCCTTGCCGAAAGATTGCCTTAAGTGAGGCTTTCCTCGTTCACTTGTAACAAGTTTCGTCTTCAAAATCACATCTCCATGGAAAGTTTACATTCGATGAATGCCCGTTTGTTCCAGTTCGCGGCCATATCATTGCAAGAGTGCGGTCTTCTGGAAGTTGACTACTTTCTTGAATATTACCACGCTCTTTAACCTTTTCAGCGCCCAGCTTCTTCCCCATGTTTTGGAGATTCATTCGACCATTCATGACAGAGAGAACTGTAAACAAGTTGCACATGTTCACGCACGGTAAGTACTCTCTGCACACTTCTAATTGAAATGCACTGTGCATCTGATAAGCATGCGGATTACAAGTTTACCACCGCAATTCAATATACCGATGTACTCGGTTGCATATACGCATGTGATCGAAAAACATACCTTGCTTTCGATAACTTCCTCTTCGGCTTATCACAGTGATGCATGAACTGCTTCATTAATGGGGGCTTAAATACACGTCTCTGAACTAGACTTTTGTCTCCTTGTCAGCCAAGATAAGCAGCACGGTGCTTCGTCAGCTGCTGAAATTAACAGTTAAGGGTCGTCACCAACGGCAAAAAATGGTTTTTAAACTTACAGCTCAGTGTTTCAAACTTTGTAATGTTAATAATAATATCTTGAGTTTTACGGCCCAGAAAGTTTTGTCAAGAACTCGTCAGCAAACAGCGTTCGTCTGGTAATAGTATCACCGTCATCTATCTCACCTAACGTGTGTCGTCCGCAACACCAAGGTCTCTCCCAGCAATCCCCGGTTACTCGATCCTGCCTTTTTTACGACGTAGCTGGAGCTAATCCTAGGTTATATCAGACGACTTCATAATTTCATTACGTAACCTAATTCTACTGTAGGTCAACTAAGATTGAGCAGTTCACTCAGACTCACTCATGAAATACTTTTTGCACTTGGGCCTCACTCAGACTCGGACTTACCCGGACTCAAAGTCAGCAAAATATTACTCATCCGGAACTCGTACTCTAGACTCGCAACTCGATCCGAGTCTGAGCGAGTCCGGGCGAATCGACTCATGAGTACGAGTTCGCCGACCTATGCTTGGTACCCATTCCGTGACCTTCAAGGGAGTACGGATCATTCGTCCGATGCATTATATCAAATATCAGCCTGAATGTCGTCTTTCTTCCTTCACCTCCTCCTCCTGAACGTATTCAATTAAGCAATCACGCACTGGAGCTGTGTGTCCAAAGAAACATGCCAGTAAAGCACTTTTTTTATTTAATTTTTTTGTAGATAAAGGCACGAGCGACATGTCACTGCTCTTCAGCGGTGCGTAACTGTCATTCGTAGCCTAATTTCGACATTGCTTCCGACCTTGCGCGTCCCCGACCGACATCGGGGTAACGGCAGTCGCTGTCGGTTTAACCGCCCGGAACCGATTATTGCTGCTTGTCCCAGTGAACGGACTCGCTCCTCTGACGCTGCCCGGGGCGTGTTGCTCCACGATACCGTTAGTTACGACGGTATACACGCTAAAGTGGCCGTTTGGCTTTGGGTAGGGCTCTATTAAGAGCCCAGATGCAGCCCGTTGCAGACGAGAGCGAAAAATACAATGCACAGGCACGTCCTCTGAAGCCCACCAACATGTTTCTGACGCGCTAGACACGACGGCTTGATGTGCGCATGCGCACTTGATTGATTGATATGTGGGGTTTAACGTCCCGAAACCACCATGTGAATATGGGAGACGCCGTAGTGGAGGGGCTCCGGGAATTTCGACCACCTGGGGTTCTCTAATGTGCACCCGTATCTGAGCACACGGGTCTACAGCGTTTCCGCCTCAATCGAAAATGCAGTCGCCGCAGCCGAGATTCAATCCCGCGACCTGCGTGTCAGTAGCCGAGTGTCTTAGCCACTAGACCACCGCGGCGAGCATTCGCACTTCTAAAGAGCGGTAACTGTGTCTTATGGTTCTGTAATCCCCATGGTCAGCAATGTATAGCGGAGATTAGGTACTGCCTAAAAGGGGAACTGTGAAGAAACACTATACCTGTTTTGACTGATAACGCATCGTTGATGACGACATTATAGAGGATTGAAATGTTATTCCCGTAAGCTTTGCTGCTATGTAGTGTATTGCTATATAAGATAAAATGAAAGCGACACCTACGCTTCTTCAAGTTCGTGCCTAAACGTACGACGCGGATTTCAAAGTGCTCTGTTTTTTCAACCGCTGTGACACTGAAATTGATACAGTCTGCGGAGGTGGTCAGTCTTCGACTATTCAGCGTGCACTGTAGTAGGTTAAAGCTACAGGCCCGTGCAGACGCCGACAAAATCAATGATGTCACGTCGAGGTCGTGTGATAACTTCAAGGCAGCGTCGCGACTAGCTTCACGTTTTTTTTTTCGTCTTTCCTGGCTCATCAAGTCTTCTGTCAGATCATTTCTTCTATAAATTGTAGAAGGTGCTGTGCAGTAAGTTCAAGGTTAGATCTCATTGCTGCCGCCATTTGTTACACGGTGTAAACCCGCCGCGCTGCCAACGGCAAAGCTTTAACCTTCCCGTGCCATCTACGATGATCACAGTGGCTCAACCTGCAGCTTTACTACTTTGAATTAATGCTACGACATAATTAACGGTGACCTAATGACACAGCGCTACTTAAATCATCTTCTATTTACGTCAGCAGAGACTGTGACATCTTTGAGGTTCCAGCGGCTTAATTCGATGCAGTGGCTTTTTCTTGTCGCGCGACGCAATTATAATTCATTTGAAAACGCTTTCTCATTGAATACAATATTAACACTTCATCAAGCCACAGTATAACTGTGGAGAAAGGTGGATGCAGTCACCGTAGAGGAATTGGAAAAGGCGTCGTAAGGGTGTGTAAACGATGTTTGCGCGGACTCGCAGATGGCTGGCAACAAGTCCTGCTGAAACACGTGGACCCAAGCCAACTGCCGGCCCACTGGGGAGGCACGATTGTGGATCCCGTAGGAGGGGCACGCTGCACGCACGTGGTAAGTACACGGCGACCTTCTTCAATACCGCAGCCTTCTTCAATACATTCTTTGAGTCAATGGCATGCTCTGGCAGAAAATAACAAGCCTTTACTGTGTGTGTGTGTGTGTGTGTGTGTGTGTGTGTGTGTGTGTGTGTGCGTGTGTGTGTGTGTGTGTGTGTGTGTGTGTGTGTGTGTGTGTGTGTGTGTGGTGTGTGTGTGTGTGTGTGTGTGTGTGTGTGTGTGTGTGTGTGTGTGTGTGTGTGTGTGTGTGTGTGTGTGTGTGTGTGTGTGTGTGTGTGTGTGTGTGTGTGTGTGTGTGTGTGTGTGTGTGTGTGTGTGTGTGTGTGTGTGTGTGTGTGTGTGTTATTTGCGGCCAAAGCATGTCATTAAGCAAGCACCAACTAGGCCAGCAATCAGTATTGTTCTTTGAATCGATTCCAAGTGCGAGATGAGGAGCTATTGAACCAAACTTACTACATCATACAGTATTACCCTTACAAACTATGCTTAAAAGGTGCGTTTACGTGTGCCCTAGATATAGATGTGCTATTCAACCTTTCAGTATAGCGAACTGTGCTCTTTTTTGCCGTAAAGCACGCAAAGTGGAGCATCAGCCGCAGATATGAGTCATTCGGCAAAGGGACCTGCACAAAATTCTACGCAGTACTGATTGTGCTATTGGTTGTTACGATGTGTTGCTACAGGACGACAATCTTAATGGGGCGTTTAGACGTTAAAACCCTGTTCCAGTAAAGCTCCGACAGTAAGAAGCTACGTCCGGAAATACTGATGTCTTTTTTATTGTGCAGTACGCCTTGCTATTTAATCGTCACTTCAAGTTTTGCTATGAAAAACGCTAATTAACAATGCACGCGCACGAACCCCCGGGAAGTGTTAGTAATTACTGCAGAGCGAGCTATTGCAGCGACATCTGGCACGCCTTTGTGGCAGCTCACGCATCTAGGATGTCGCAGCACACATCTGCGAATCACCTTTTTTTTCTAGGGTTTTCTGGGTATTTTTTTACATGATTTCACCTTGGGGCATGCAAAAGGGGCTGTCTGACACAAAGAAGCAAACAAATGAAAACACGAAGTTGCTGTCACACATATAAGTGCGCGTGATTATGCACCTAAAATGCATTTTTGAGACAAGGAAAGAATGGTAAACTTAAGGGTTGTTTTCTTTGCTAGGCACACTATTAATGAGAACTGATAATGACAATTACCCATTACCTGCAAGTTCTTCTCATTACCATATGAGACAAGTGACATCAGGCCGAAGGCTCCACCAACCAGCACAAGCATTCCATACAGGTAGTAAAAACAGTCTTCAGCACTCCATCTATTGTGTCACTGAGCGGGAGGCCTTTCACACAGGCGAAATTTTCAACCTCTTAACGCGTCGTTGCAGATTGGTCCCGGAGGAGAGCTTCCAGTCGCCGTATCGCGCGGCGGAGGCGGACTGGCGACCGACCCCGAAGCCGTTAACTGCTTTCTAGAGCATGGCCGCTCCGTCGAGGTGCCCGTTCACGTCGAGACGGCGGGAGCCAAGCTCGTCTGGCGGTTTCAAGCGCGAGACGTCCTCTTCGCCCTGTGGAAGACGAGCGGCGACAAGCGCGTCCAGGTGCTCGCACCGCGAAGGATAGCCTGTGACCGGAACCCCGAGTGCGGACAGATGCAATGCGAGGAGCCAGGAACGTGTACGTACTCCGTTTTCAATTTAGCCGTCCCAGTGCAGGGCAGCATACTGGAAATCCATTGCCTCTCACTTCATCAATCGGGTTTCTCTTTTATTAATGAATACCACGTGTTCGAGGAAAACACCAAGTGTTCCTCAACATGTTGCCCCCTTTTTTTTTCTTTTTTTTCGGTTGCATCGGAAAGGCGTATTATGAAGGGAAGTGGCGTACTGAACGGGCTGGTGTCCATTCGCGGGTAGACTTGGCGCGTGGAAAACGGGTCACAGAGAAGGAGACGCTTGTCCCGGGTCTTCTCTGTGTCCTCTTTTCCACGCGCTAAGTCTCGCCATGAAAGTGCATTATATATATATAATGCACTTATTGCACGTACATTGAACATGTACCCTATAGGGTACATGTTCAATATATGTACGTACGCATGCTGGTTGTGTTTTTACTGCTACCTCGCGAGGGCCTTTAGGCACATTCAGCTTTTCGCCTGAGTGACCTCGAACAGTTTCGTAGTTTGTAACGAACAAGAAACCCGCATGAACAGCTCTGGGTCAGATAAGCTTCATCCTGCGCTGTGAGCAGCAGCGAATGCGCACGAGTGTGCTCTGCTCGGCAAGGATGCTTGTCCTTGTCGGAGCAGCAGGTGGCTAAAACTTATATCGGCTTCTTAAACATGTCACGTATCGCTTACAGTACAAAACGTACAAAAGACGGCTAATTAGCTATTAGCCCACACAGTATCGGCTAAGTGCCAATGGTTGAAGTCTAGGTAGCTTACGCAAGTGCGTCTTCCTTAACGCGAATGAGTGCATTCTTATCGCTTATGAATCCGGTCACGTGACATAGCTGCAAGATCAATTAGCAACTCGTTCAAAGAGCACTGAACCTATCTATGTATCTTGATCGTTCAATACGTAAGCCGTTAATCTGATATTTAAGAGGACACCAAACAGTTGTGCTATGAGCTCAGTCAGCGCTCCCTCTTTTTGAGGCGCTGGCTCAGTAAAAAATGTATATAAGCACGCAATGGCAGTGTGAGGGAAACGCTGACTACGTAGAAGTCTTTGTTGTCTCTCTTGCATCCACAGTGTCGGCAGTCTAACCAACAATCACTCAAAATTTCCCCTCTGTTGTGTTTTAAACAAATATCTACAGATAAAGGTCCCGCCAGTGACGTTGCTCTGTCATTCTTTTTTGTTTTTTCAGACACATTTCTCTTCGACAACAGCTTCAGTTGGTTTACCGGAAAGCAGCTCTCCTACATGATCCGAGTGCACCACGAACTTTCCGGTAGCGTCGAGGACACTACCAGGGGCTGAGAAATCTTCGTCTTAAAAGTGAAGACTCAGTACAAATTGTGTTAAGTACCATCACAAAGAGCATACTATGGACTGAGAAGCCGAAAAAAGGGCGTCTATTCTTGTTCATGAGAAACTTTACGGTTTACCTACATAAAAAATGATATGTACAGTTGTCATTCCGTTTGCCACGTCGTGATTTTCAATAAACAAGAAAAGAATACTAAGGTACCGGGAACTCTATGCAAAGAATGGAATTAACTAGACATTCGAAAGAAAGCAGCACCCAGTTACAGCTTGCAGGTCGTGTCACTGAAGTATCGGGCGAGCGACGTTCACTAATGGTCGTCAGTCTATAAGCACGTTAAACGTATTGTGTTCACGTTTTAATTGGTGTACACTGTTTGGAACATTCGATACTACAGACGCTGAATGAAGCACGTCTTGCAGTTGTGCTTTCCGCCTCTATACTGTGTTTGAAGCTCTGTAAGACAACAGGCTTGGCTCCGGTATAAATCTCATTTAATTATTAACATTAAAAACAACAATAAGACGACATGCATGATTCATGTATACAATGATCTGCCTATCAAAAATACACAACGGTATGGCATGTGCATAACGATGGTAGGAGGAAGGCTCACGCCGAAGGCAAAAAACCTTGCCTCTCTGGAGCAGCGATTCAGGCGAGGTGAAGACGCTGCTTGAAGCTACTAAGAAAAAGCTGCGCTTCATTTCCTGCCACTGAAATCTATCATCTACTTTACAATACTGCATGCAACAAATGACATTTGCTTGAACTTTCCAGGCAAACACCACCTCGTGGCTTCACTATCTGTAAGCCCCTCTGTGACGCGTACAATCCGGCAACTGTGTAGCTGTCTTGAGGAGGCGTACTTAATAGCTAGTAGGCCACGCAAGAGCACCCGGCCAGTTCTCCGAGGCCACGGTGAAGTGCACAATGCGAACCCAGCCAATGAACAGAAAGGAACTTAGAACGTGGCCTCCGCGATTAGCTCCGGCTGGTGCTAATCACGGGGGTCATGCTTAGACGAGCAGCGATGGTGAGGTTGTAGTCAAGGGCCACAGTCTGCGCGACGAAGCCGGGTACGGAGGTCGCCCTCATTGTGAACCTTCCCATGCTTGCCCTCTGTCCTCCAGTGGATTGCGAGATAGCAGGAGTGATAAAACGTGGCACCAACCGTGTTCCACAGCAGAATCAACAAGAGCAGTCCACTGGCATGCTTTATTATTTATGGCACGCTAGTGTCAAAATTGACGGACAATGAGACCGTACTGGAGCCCCACATACAGCCATGCTTGTCTGAGAGTTTTAAGACATTAAGCTTGGGTAAGTTGGTAAGGATCGTTTATGAAGGTAATAACAGCGCATAGGCTATAATGAAAAGGCACAAGATAAATAGAGAGCAAAGAGCGCTCTAGCTATCACGTCCCTTTTTCTTATCGTCCATGTTCTGTTAATACCCTCTTTGTGGACCCTTACCACTCAAGATTCACTTCCTACAAGCCAGACTTCCAGTACTTCGGGCCTTGTACCTTTTGTTTCTTCCGATCCTTCGCATCTATTTACATCGCGCTTGCCATATTCTGTACGAGTTCCTCTGCCAACTGCAACGAAATTAAAGTTCTAGCCACATAAATCTAGATCCTGTTTGGCGGGCTCGCGCCACACATCAGCCACGGTAATATAACAGCGCTCGTTGTCTCTATATGCCCTTTTTCTTATTGCGGTGTTAGTGTACGCGCTATTAATGCTTTCTTAATGTCTCAGGGCGACTTGTCCTAACAAGACTTCGTCAGGCAAATCCTGGCCCTTGGTCTCGAAAAGCACCGTCCAAACATGTTTCAGCTGCTCTTTTTTATCCTCGCACTGGGCACTTCGCCGATAAACACCAGCTCGCCAGCGCTCCTATACACCATTCTCTGAAGACGCTTACTCAAGCAGCCTGACAGGGTTAAGTTTTATGGCTGGTTTCTGTGCGAGCACCCGGCTGGCAATCAACAAGCCTGTTGAGTTGAGGGCAGGTTGCACTGCCGGGCAGGAACGTGAGAAAACAAAGTGGAACTTTGGAATGCCACTAGAATAATGGCGCGCGAGCGGTCATCGGATGTGGTGGCAGCGCACCACCCACTCGGCAACGGGATTCTCCGCTCGAACGGCGGTCACGTTGGTGCTGTGTTCCAGCTGGCGCCAACCTGGGAAACAATTAAATTGGCAATGAGTAACACAGCTTTGTTTCGAGGTCCCTCTAGTTGCTGGTACGGGCCAGATCGCCCGGACGGCATACGTGTAGCGACCTTCCACAAATCGAACAAAGCACAAATCAACAATATCTACTCACTCATCGGAAAATTGGCGATCATGCAGACTACAGACAAACACGCGCACCAACTAACAAAGGCTACATGTATTCTACCCCACATCATACAGAGGTATATGTCCGTGGTGCCCGCGATGCTCTGTATTTTGCAAACATAAAGTTGTTTTTTTTATCTCTATTTCTCTCTGTGCTACTACACTGTTTTTTTCCAGCCTCAGTGACAACCGTCGGTCGGCAAAACTTGTACAGTTCACTCAGACTCATTTTTTGAGCTTTGAATTCACTTCGGACTGAAACTCACGAAAATTTTCTTCCATCAGACTCACTCGGACTCAAACTCAGCAAAGCATTACTCAACCAGACTCAATCAGAATCAGACTGGCGATTCGTTCTGACCGCCTGAGTGAGTGCGACTGAGTCAACTCACGAGTCTGTTAGCTTGGTATTAGGCTCTATGGCACATGGCGTCAATGCTCTTGACCACCAATATCTCACGTAATCGGTGCTCTTCCTGGCGCCGTTTCCTATAATACACTCGAAAACTAGTCCTGAGTGCTTGCAAACCCGTAATGTCATCGAATGAATCAGTGACTAACCGCACGTTACACGAGTGTTGCCTCATATTATGTAAATTCGGTGATATAAAGTGCATACAGATATGTACTAACATAGTTGTTTGCCTCTTCATTGCAAACATGAATTCTTATCAGAATGCGTACACGATTGCAACTTCTGGATTCCGTTTTTTTTTTTTTCATTATTACTGCTTTCTCGTCTATGAAGTGCAGGGCAAACGGATCTTCGTGTGTGTATGATCTATATTTGACAAAGACACGGTCATCACAGGTTCCTATGGTTGTGGTTGATGGTTCTTAGCAGTCGTACAAAATGCATCGTAAGGCGTATCGAGACGCCATATACTGCACAAGATGATCGCTGTCCATAATGTGTACGTTAAAGTCACCAACTATAGTATAAAGAATTTCTGATTGCAGGTATTTTATATTGGTCTGTCACGATTGTGATTGATGCTTCGCCATTATAAATTTCTTTTTATTCACATGCATATGTTTTGACTATACCAATGGTTTTCTATATATAGTAAGAGTCGAGACCAAAGCTAGGTTTTAAAGCCCATATTGTATACGTTAAATTCACCAACTAGCATAAATAGTTTGTGCTCGTAGGTGTCTGATATTGTTCCGTCACTATTACGATTGATATTAGTCTATTGTAAAACTCATTTTTGTGTGCCTCAAATGTTTCGGCTATGGCAACGGTTCTATACAGTGACCACGACAGAAAGGCAAGGCAAGGTCCTAGGAGGCTTCGCCTCTAAAATATTGATACAAGCATGCGCTTCAATGGAACAATGCATGTTTCACTCACGCTGAATGATATTCCCTAAAACAGATGACTTATATAATTCTGCACTGGCAAGTCATTGTTAACAAACAGATCCCTTTACCACTGTCAAAACAAAACAAAATGACCTTTAGTACTGTGCAGTCCGTTATGAACAAGGAATCAGTACGGATCCCGACAAGTCATTTTAATTAACCTTGACAATGGCTAGTGGCCTGCTTATTAACAATGGCTTTACCTGACCATGGTCTCTCGGCTACATTAGTGGCAAATAAAGGATATTTCCTACAAGGACAATCTCGTCGCATGTTTGGATTGTTGCGATCTACGCCCTTTTCGTTTTCATTGCCAAGGCAGCCATCGCCAATTGCCGTTTCGCATTTTCGTCGAGCTGTGAATTCGTACTCAGCTGCTGACTGTGGATACCGAGGAATAGTCAAGCAAAGATAATCGCAGACAATCACTTTTTTTTTCAGCCAAGTGGCAGCCCGACACAGAGAGATAACAAGAAATTTAATAAAGACAACGACAAGAGAAGCAGAAAGTCACGCACCTATGTAGCCGCCAACCTCGTAGAGCCAGTGGTATTGCAGGAAGGTATTGACGTCACTAGCGAAGCGACTGTCTCCAGAATGATGTTCCGTGGACCTCCTAAGCAAAAAATTTCACACTGGTAAGCAGTTCCACACGGGCTATGGGGAATGATTTAATGAATGTCGTTATACAATAGCTTATTAGCGACATAACTCGGACTGCATAAGTAGGATTCTAATACCCGCTGTTCGAATAAGTATACGACCAAATAATATCACATCTGCAAACTTACCAGCTATGTGTGCTAATACAACCACAGTATAAGTTGCAGGACGACCTCATTTATATCAGCTTGCATTAAATAAAGTGGTAACTGTTGCTAATCAAGGATGAGTTTCAGTTCTAAATGCCATCCATATACACGAAACAACAAATCGCACGCAATGCGCGAAGTGTGCTTTGGCGACAGGACACAGTGGTGGCAACTACTTTATGCACCTTTTGCGTCCGCTCTTCTCGAATAGCCTTGGTAGGGGCCAGTATACATTGTGCACGGTGATAAATTCAGCGCGTAACTGGGGAACGAAACACCACGTAAGAAAAGCTGTAGTTTTACCCCATGGTTTTTTTTTTTCTACGTCGTCTTTCGTTTCACAATAGCGCGCTGTAAAGTTTCCTTCTCGCTTTCCCACAAAGCTCCACGAACTGACCCATGCGGCGATCCTTTGCCGGTGGCGATGTCCCTCTTGCGCGCCTCGAAGTGCATGGCCAGGAACACCTCGCCCACCACACTGCCGGCGGTAGTGGCGTCGTTCAGCGCCACCTGGTGCGTCGTGCCCGTCTGTCCCTCGTGGTCGACGCGAACACGAAACACGGTCTGCACCCGGTCAGCCGCCAAGTTTGAGCATCAACAGCACATGTACAGATATAGTCATCCTGATAGCACAGCGTGGTAGTGACGGCGAAGGTTACAAAACTCAAGCCAGAAAAGCTTAAACTTTCTTATTCGGCGAACTTGTGCCCCCAAGAAAGGAAGGCTAACCCCCGTATTCAGAAACGCTCCTCGACTCGAATTCCATCCTTCACTCGACTGAGTTGAGCACTGCACCGCTGCTCGACTGAAATTGACGCTGCGCTTCTCAAGAACCGCTGCAGAACAATGCCGATATGCAGTGATTTGGTCTGCCAAGAAACGGCGCTCCCATCGACTTTTTCAAGTCGAGGAGAGCCCTTGAGTGAAGGAGCGTTTGTGAATACAGGGGTAAAAGTACGAGCAGCCTTCGTTGTAGAATGATAACTGCGAGCGCGGATGTGAGTCACCGATAATCGTTGTACAACGAGTGTTGTCTGCATACTTTAAGTCGTTCTTTTTCCTGCGCACAAGTTGACCCATTAACAACGTTTCACCCTTACCTGCTTGAGTTGACGACTTTCGCCGTCACCAACGCGTGACAATATCGTCAATGTAGTAATGAACAGCACTACAGATAACCTGAAAAGCCACAAATTAAGCAGGGCCTAACACAATTGCGAGAACTTAAGCTCCTCGATTTGAACTTCAATCTCATATCTATTTACCTAGACCATTACCCTGTATCCGCCTAAGGAATGCAGCTCGTATAGCCTTCAACAGCACTGCGACAAACGCATTACAAAAGTGTTGACCGACAGGTGTGTAAGAATCATGTTACGCTCCTGCAAAAATATAAACGTGGGGCAGCAAAAACAGTGGCACACCACTAAACTATGACTGTATAGTAACGAACATAGGCTTACCATTACCATTTGCTTTTTGTTTTGTTTTTCAAGAAGAACCAAATACATATAAGAATGCAAACACATGTAAGCTTTCCATACAACTGACCTACGCGGTTGCGGCTCGTCCGTTGCACTGTTATTGTGGATATACTACAACAACGTCCCACAAGGAACAAGGAACTATGCATGTCTGTAGAGCGAGACAGGATCTACGCTGCAATTTTATTAGTAACACATCCTACGTCACAGTTTTAGTGGTAAGATAAAGGTAAACATACCCCTACCCCATCGCTCACCGTGCTAGAGGACCAAATTTCATGGCCCGTAAAACTCAACGCCTAATCACCCATCTCACCTTTTTCTCTACAAATATAGATCTGACCTCTGTTGTCCCAATTGCTCCTCTGCAAACGCCGACCTGTCACACCGCCTTTTCTGTTGCCTAACTGCTCAGCAATGCAGCTTTCACCCTCTCTTTTCGCTTTCCATTCCCCCCTGGATCGACTGTATCGGCATTGGAAGGAAGGAAAAATAGAGACAACTGGTCTCGCAAGCGGTCTCTGTGGTTTGTAGTTTAAAATAAAAGTCTACCTAAACACCAAAGCTTTGCAGAAGCAAACTCGTGCATTAGGAAAGCAGATTCACACTTACATCTTCGTTATCCCGCGGTTCAAACCAAGAGGTGCGGTCTTTTCGCTGATTCCTTTTCTTCTGCAAAGGAGAGTAACGCGGGTTGAGATAAACGCACACCCCGTAAAAGCGTATCGCAGGGTGCGCTTTTAGTTCACCTTGTTTTCTTTGGCGTGCTTCTTCTCGTAGTGTATCCTGTACTCCAGGCGAATCTGGCCCATAAACTGAGACGGCACCTAAACATGACAGACAGAGATGTGTGAAGCAACAATTGGTAGCGGTTCAACGCCAACGTGTACTTTTCGGGAACGTTATAATAAGTGTAGGCGCTCATTCGGAAACAGTTTCTAGGCGCATTTTACTAAACCGCTCATTAAAAAAAAAAGAAAACAGGCTTGCTCAAAACGCGCGGCACAGTCCCAGTGAAGGCTGAAGGACCCCCTTTTTAAAGCCTTTTTAAGCACTCTTGGGGCAACCCCAACAAGTACCACTCCAGGCGCCCACCACTCCATAAATAGTCATATTTTTTTTTTGTTTGTGGGAAAGCGTCCACTACGCCATTATTCGTCATCCTTCGGAAAAGCACGGTACCTGCTACGCACCTGTAATACATTACGTGCACTTTATGTTGTGGATGATGACGATAAAGAATTATGGCTGAGCCTGTTGGAATCAGTCGGCAGGATTGAACGACCAACCCGGCCACACACAATTTACATTGTGTTACGCCTCGACGATATTTTACTCTCCTAAAACGCTATAGTATGTACACGTGCATGTTAACGTGATTGATTCCCCGACGTGAAACCTGCGTAAGGTCTGTTTGCAAAGGAGTTTCGAGAACCGACGTGTTATATTATATTATATCCTGGATAATTTCTCTCTAGATCGTTTTTTTTTTCTTATGCCGCGCGATAGCGGTTGCGGACACCGGCGGACGGCGGACAACTACGACGCCAAAAACGGCTGTTGTTGTGATTTCACAAGAGCATTCGCTGGAAAATGTTGACCGAGACCATGAGGTCAGAAACACCAGGCTACTTCCGAGTTTACATAGTTCAAAGAAGCTATTATAGTTTACTACATCTACGTCTGAAGTCACTGCAATGAAAGTACACGTTGCATGTTCTACAGCGCAAATACACGGAATCAGAATTTCTCACGGCCCAACAGTGCGTAGTAATCACACTTCTGCTCCATTCGGAAAGAAATATTACTACACGTATGTAGCCAGACATCGCAGACAAGGGCAGAAATTTTGACAAGACAGCTGTAAGTTTCACTCATGTGGGGTTGATTGATTGATTTGTGGGGTTTAACGTCCCAAAACCACCATATGATTATGAGAGACGCCGTAGTGGAGGGCTCCGGAAATTTTGACCACCTGGGGTTCTTTAACGTGCACCCACTCATGTGGGGTTTGCCAAGATGTATGTATAAGTACTATCAGCCTCAAAAGAAACCCGAACGGCGCAAATCTTTCGCGATGGTATAGAGTGCGCCGTCCTGTTATCACTATTGATAGGCGCGCACATCCTGTTCGGCAGCTCTGCGCGTACATACGTGCCTGATTGATTGATTGATATGTGGGGTTTAACGTCCCAAAACCACCATATGATTATGAGAGACGCCGTAGTGGAGGGCTCCGGGAATTTTGACCACCTGGGGTTCTTTAACGTGCACCCAAATCCGAGCACACGGGCCTACAACATTTCCGCCTCCATCGGAAATGCAGCCGCCGCAGCTGGGATTCGATCCCGCGACCTGCGGGTCAGCAGCCGAGTGCCTCAGCCACTAGACCACCTCGGCGGTACACGTCGTCGTCGTCGTCGTCGTCGTCGTAGTAGTAGTAGTAGTAGTAGTAGTAGTAGTAGTATAGTAGCAGTAGTAGTAGTAGTAGTAGTAGTAGTAGTAGTAGTAGTAGTAGTAGTAGTAGTAGTAGTAGTAGTAGTAGTAGTCCTTACGCAGGTCACGTGACAAGAGGGGGGAGCGAATAAGAAAGAAACTGAGAAAGAATAAGAAAGAATAAGAACGAAAGAAATGATAACGATTACGCTATTATTCAAGTAAATAAAGCGAATTGATATGATAGTGCTCCGAATATTCATGATGATGACTTTCTTGCACAGAAAGTCATCGTCATCATCCCTGCTGATGGCAATCACGGCGAACTAGCCAGACTTTTTAAATATATATATATATATATATATATATATATATATATATATATATATATATATATATATATATATATATATATATATATATATATACTGAGAGAGAGAGAGAGTGCGTACACACTTTATGAATGGCCAAGATCACAAAGTGAGCGACGAGCCATTTGGGCACTTACAATCCACAGCAGCTGCTGGTACCAGATCAGCATCCGCGTGACGTTGGTGGCAGCGCGCGCCACTCGCAGGTTCTCCTCGGTCGCCTTGCGCCGCTTCGGGGCGAACAAGTTGGGGGCGATGATCATGGCCACGTTCTGTACCGACATGCGGTTCCGGCCGTCTCGCTCCGTCACGTCCGCCAGGAAGTTGACCAGAGCCTGGTAGGAAGACGTCATGCGAGACAAGTCACAATCGAATGCCCGATTCGACGCCCTGCCTAAATTGAAACATTACCGTCAAGCCAATATATTGCGACCCTGCAGGGTGCTCTTGTTAGCATTGAATTCATAGAAGTTATCGCGAAAGGGAAGGACCACTGTCCAACAGTTTCCAGAACGAAGCTACTATAGGAATGGATGAAAAGCTCAACTGGAAGACCTACTTTAGAGAAAATCTCCATGAATGACTTTTGTAAAACTGATGCAAAACCCTGCCTTAGTTGGATACGCAGACAATTTTCCAAAGCCCGCTCCCCCCTTAGACTTCTTCTTCATAACGTACTCCTGCCTACCTGTCTTACCCGAATGGCAGATGCAATAGCAGTTTATAATAATGAAAGCGCTCCGTTTTTTTTTGTTCACTACATATATATATATATATATATATATATATATATATATATATATATATATATATATATATATATATATATATATATATATATATATATATATATATATATATATATATATATATATATCATTTTGCCGCCACTCCAGTCGTCAGTGATAGAGAGAAAAAAACATAAAAAAAGATTAAGGCGATGTCATATAGAGTAAGGAGATTAACCATAATAAATACCCGGTTCGCTAACCTACACTGATGGTCAGAAAAGAAACTAGAAATGAAGAAACACTGAGAGACAGTGGTTCAACAGAAATAAAGTGATCGTAACAGCATTTCAGCAAAGAATTACTAGCAGGAAGATACTACACCGTCCATTTGATGCTTGTTTTTCGCTCTCTAACGAACACATCTCTGCGTCTATCATAAGATTAGTTAGTATAGAGGGTACAGGGCAAGTTCGCTTACCAGTAAGGTGGAGCGATTTGCTTCCGGCAGTAGCAGCACGAGCAAGTTGAGGGCTTTGATTTGCTCCAGCAAGGTAGGAATGCCTGCATCGACAAAATGCACAAAAATGTGGATATATTGTCACGAATAATAAGCAGGCATCACAACAGAATAAAACTAAAGGAGCAGCTCCTGGATTTCAGAGGAAGACGACGTGGGGGCGTTCGCTCTTGTGTGGAATTCCTGCGCATCCATAGCGAGAGACTTATGCAGTGGTTCAAATGCGCCGCTTCATTGAATTAAGATACAGTTTATTATTCCACTGCCACATTCGTCCTGTTTCATCTTTTTTTTTCTTTCTCGTAAAAAAAATCATTCGTAAACTTTCATTAAAGAAGCCTTTAATGAAATCTACACGGTTCTTCGCTAATCCCCTATAGCGTGGGTGAGCGCCACATATTCAAAGAACTTGACTTGTGTAGGAATACAGCCTTTCTATTTTCGTCGAAACTAAGTCTCGCGTCTCGTTCTTGTGTTTAGAAAAATGTTTAACGATTTCGAGTATTTCGTACTCAACTATTTCTACGTTGCGACACAATCGTCTGACAATATGTACCTTCATTCCGAGCTTCCTTCCGCCACATATTCAAAGAACTTGACTTGTGTAGGAATACAGCCTTTCTATTCTCGTCGAAACTAAGTCTCGCGTCTCGTTCTTTCTACGTTGCGACACAATCATCTGACAATATGTACCTTCATTCCGAGCTTCCTTACTTTATACACATATTAGCAAAGCCTACAAAACAAAGGAGGAGCTTCTTTAACGCTGAGATTCGCCCTATTCTATTTTACACCTGAGGCTACGAAAAAACTTGACTTGAATCTGCGCCACCGCCTCTACCTTCATTACGGAGGCACTTGCTCGTCGTACATCACAACAAACAGAAAATTACGGCCGAATTTCCCCAACAGCAAAAGTGCCACGGCACAGGTGAACAAGGAAGACTCTAGCACCCCCCCCCCCCCTCTTCCCAAAAGGTGCGCAAGTGCACTTTCAGGGTGACGCTTGCAAGCACCCCTTTTGTGCCTAAGTACCCCTCCTTCGTTTTCGCCCCTTTTGCGCACAACTGTTCCTCATCTCGCAATATCGGGTAAATAAGTGTAGCAACGGCTTAAGAACTTGCGTGTTTGCGCGTGTTTTGCAGCCGCATACGTTATTTAGAAGTGTGGCAGCTTGGGCTAGTTGGTATGGCATGACGATAGTTATAGCGCGAGAACAAAACAACGACACAGAGACAAGAAGGACACGAAAGACACGAGCGCTAACTTGCAACTGAGTTTATTGCGCAGAGCACGAAAATATACGAAAAATATATGGTTACTGCCTCCTCTATATATTTTCGTGCTCTGCGCAATAAACTCAGTTGGAAGTTATAGCGCTCGTGTCTTCCGTGTCCTTCTTGTCTCTGTGTCGTCGTTTTGTTCTCGCGCTATAACTATCGGTATACGTTATCCCGAGTCTCGCGGGTGAAGCGCGATAGGAGGAGGAGGAGGAAATAACTTTATTCAGAGTCCGGCGAGTAGATGGGGTGGGCGATTGGCCCCGCCTAGGTTACGGCCAGGAGTCCTTGAATCTTGGCGGCTTTCTCGGCCCGCTGGACGGCCCACATTTGGTCTTCGAGGACAAAACTGAGCATTGCGACTTCCCAGCGCGCGCGAAGGCTGTCAGCAGAGGCCGCATACTTGTCATGGGTACTAATCCCTCTACATTCCCATAACATATGCTCTAGAGTGACTCTGGAGTCGCAACGCTTGCACCTGTCCGTTTTGTATATATCAGGATATATAATGTGCGATAGTGCAGGATTCGGATATGTCCTAGTTTGTAAGTGCCGCCATTCGACAGACTGTCTTTTTGTTAATTTTGGGTGAGGGGGCGGGAATATGCCCCCTCTGTAATCTATAATGTCTTGTAATTTCGTTGTATCTGGTCATTCTGTGCGATAGGAGTCTTGCCGAAATTCCGCCGCCGCAAACGCACAACGCTTATACTCACCTTCCACGTGCAGAAAGGCTTCGGCGTACTTGTTGGTGAGCAGCGGCTCAGGCAGGTTCCGCAGGAGCTGCTTCAGCAGGCCGGCAACCTCGTGCACGCCGAATCGGCTCAGCACTGCTCCGATCTGCTCGGGATTACGACTCCCGTTGTAGCACGACTCGAGCTCGGACCGCAGCGCCTGCGCACAATGTAACACGTCAGTTTGCCGCAATGAAAACGAGTCAGAGAATTGTTGCATTAGACCTATAGGGTTTCTGGCGAACTGTACACTACACCAATCGGGACTTTCGACATGTGAACAGGTGCTGTGCAATGGCTGGTTCGGTGATGCGCTTGTTGAGCCATGTTTATAAAAAAAATTCAATAGTGCCAAATCACTACAATAACAATACGGTATATTCAAAAAGGCTTCCCCATGGGCTTGTTCGTTTTGCGTTACGATGACTAGCCTTGCGCATAGGAAAGGACAAAAAAATGCGTCCTCTAAGCGTCATCATGTTCTTTCTTTTGTACTGTATTATCCGAAACAATACTGGCCTTCATAAAACACCGTTTGCACGATGGTCGTGAATATTGGCACTCGCATGTAGACCAGTGAAAGCGCTATGTGTAATGAAGATCACTAAAGAGAACAGATAACTGCTGTTTTCGTTACATCGAATGAATAGAAAATTTTTATTAATTACCCGGCAGATTAATGGCCTGGGTTCATGTCTCATGTCTCATGGCGTAAAACGTGGGTACAAGCTGCGATGACACGTTTTGTGGGACAAGTTGGCATAGGGCAGATGGAAGCGAAAACTTTGCAACGACAGCGTAAGCGAACCGAAAGAAAACAAACAAACGCGCACACACGCACAAATGATGGACACGATAGCCGAGACCGGCTGGCCTTTGCCGTTTCAATGGCTTCCTTTGACGACGACGTTATATAGAGCCACGCCGTTTTCACTTGAGCCCGATAACATGTTCGCTAAGATGTCCTCATCGGGCTCTTTCATGAATCATAAAAAAAAGGAAAGTGCTACAGCGCGACGGCATCGTTTTCAGACATCTCGCCGCATTCCAGAACTGTTTCTCCGACGAGTCGAAAATTTCTCTAAAAGCTCCAGAGACGCTAGAGCGCATCGTCCTCGTAAATGTAACAGCGTTCACTCGGACGCCGCCCTCAAGGTTTCGTAGAAGCGCTTCTCCGCGAAAAGCGAACTCTCCATCTTCGACGTATCGAGCGTCGACACCCTCGCAGTGTGATATCGAGTGTGATCGAAGCCCGCGGAACGCGCACCGCAAGCGCGCGTCCCGTCGCGTTCTCCAAACGCGAAAGCCCGATTGCCGAAGCTGCTCGCAAGATCTCGGCAAGGCAGCGAAAGCGCACGATGACCGCCCAGCGACGTCGGATCCTGCTCGTCCACGAGGCTGAAACAGCGTCGACTTTCGTCACGAGGAAGGAAGCCCCGGAGCAACGAGATAAACACACGCACGCGCGATCCAGTTCGGCTCGGCCAGCGATGACCGTGAAAGCGGCGGTGCTGGCGTCGAGGCATCGCCTCGTCGCGCCGCGCCTGCCTGGTCAGAGATCGCGGGTGCGGTCGCCAACGGGGAGCCATCGCCCAGAAAGTGTGTTGCCCCACCCAGCAACAGTGCTAAAAGAAGAGCACCTTCACCGAAAATACTCGTTGAACCACCTATAGAGTTGTTTGTAAGCTCCCTCGTTTTTATACTCCCCTTTCTCATTCTCCCGGCGCACGGTAGCCAACTGGGCATATGCCTGGTTAATCTCCCTGCCTTCTCTCTTGTTCTTCCTCCTCCTTCTTACCGATCGGTAGTATGTATAAATAGATAACAAGTTTACAGAAAAAAATTGTGTTAGTCTACCCCTTCCTGCCACCACCACCGTCGCTGTAGTAGTAGTAGTAGTAGTAGTAGTAGTAGTAGTAGTAGTAGTAGTAGTAGTAGTAGTAGTAGTAGTAGTAGTAGTAGTAGTCTATAGTAGTAGTAGTAGTAGTAAGAGTTATAGTAGTGATAGTAGCAGTAGTAGTAAGAGTTATAGTAGTGATAGTAGCAGTAGTAGTAACTCAGTAGTAGCAGTAGTAGTAGTAGTAAGAGTTATAGTAGTGATAGTAGCAGTAGTAGTAACTCAGTAGTAGCAGTAGTAGTAGCAGTAAGTAGTAGTAGTAGTAGTAGTAGTAGTAGTAGTTCCGCAGACCCTGTGACCAGAGGGAGAGTGAATAAACTGAAAAATAAATCATGATGATTATGAAGCTTGAAATGATGACGATGTTGTTAAATGGTGGTGATGAATCTTGATCACGTACGCTCGCGCTGTTTGTAAGTTCTCGCGGCGTAGATCTGCAGCTGCATTTTTTTTTAATTATCACGATGGAGATGTTGGTCTGGTTCACCGCCGTTTACAACTTCAGGTATCAGGTGTTGACTATAGTATACACAATTATCACATGTACACACAAGCAGCAATGGCAAATACGGTTATCACATGTACACACAAGCAACAATGTATATACAGTTATCACATGAGCACACAAGCAACACGTGCAGCCACGCGCGGCGAGCATATACACAAAAAAAGGTCATTCACAATGTTTAAAGTGCGTATAGCCCTCAACAACACCAACGGTACTTTTGTATCACTCGTAGGCAGGCACTGCCTTGCACGGGCCGAGAAAGTGCCGCCGCTCTAATCTGAAAGGCATGTTCCAAATTTATTTCTGCCTCCGCAATCTGCCACTCATAACGGGAACAATTACACAGGAGTTGCTTTAAGTCATCCTGAGCGTCACATGTGGTGTACATATGAAAGTCCGACTGTTTAATCTTACACTTGTACAAGAAATGATTTTCTTGATTGAGTTAATGACCACCCAACAATGTTGATCTCATCTCGCTTAGCGAAATTCCCCATTCATGGAAGTAGGAACTCCGTGGACGACAGAGCATAGAACTTGTTTCATTGTTCTAAGAACAATGTTTCCATTTCAAGAACATCTGGCAATCTTCTAGGAAAGGAAGCGCGGGCCAACGTGAATGTGAGGCAAATGCCACTACCTACAGGCCTACACGTGCGGGCGCACATGCGCACACGCACTAGGGGCGTTTGCGAAATGCGCGCAGATACGATGACGTCACTCACGTCAATCTTGAGTGCGGAACCAGAAACGCGCAGGATGCCTTCCTCCTGAAGTCCGTGGCGACGCAAATGATCCAGAATCTGAAAAAAATGAATTATTTTAATTGGATAACTTTATCAGGGGCCTTTGGGGCGTGCATTACAATCCGTTGCATGCAGGCCCGTTGGAGTGTCCGTAAGTTTCGCTTCGAAATCAGGGCTGCGCGTAAAGGGCAGCAAATGGCCTCAAAGAATTACGTGCAACAAACACAGCTTGATCTATAGCGCTGACAGGAAAATCCGTTATCGGAAATAGTTGACGAAAAATATTGCGCATTTGGAAACTGTTCAATAATCTGACAGCACTTCTCTCTCTCTCTCTCGCTATCTCTCTCTCTCTCTTCATATATATATATATATAGCTCAAAAACGTTAGGTTTTGTAAAACTTGCACCCTAGCGACTCCCCGCTGCAGTTCTACCAGCGGAGGGTCCAGCCGTGCAACAGGAACCATCTTTTTTTGCGGAAATAATTCAGAGAGTCGTTAGGATTTATGAATTGTCGTCATTCTGCTAAGTTACAAGCTTCACCTACCTCCCTGATGATGAGCGGCACCTTATGTTGCACCGGAGCGTGCCTTGCGTTGTCCTGCTCCAGCAGAGTCGTCAGTGGCACTCCGTACAGCGGGCTCTCTACAAAGGGCACAGCAAAAGAACGAACCTATATGGAATATATAGGACGAATATAGAACGAATATATAGGATTATTTCACGGCCGAAAACAAATACGCCAGGGAAGAAAAATGCATTAGGTTACTGCATCAATGTTCATGTAGTTCATCAATGCAGAACAGCGCAAGAAAGGAAAAAAAAACGAGACAGTAACACACACAGGACACAGCACTCTCTTGTAGCAGTGACAGGTGATTCTGACAGCACGTTTTCAGCTGTTATGCCACGTGCACCGCTCAGATATTACCACTAAGAAGATACATTACAGCTATGCGTCCCATCTGTTCACTGTCCAGCATTTTGCGCTGTTCTTCCATAATGTTCGAGAACGAGCGAGCCCACATGAGAACCTTTGTGAGTATTGTCTTTGTGAGTTCTACGTCATCGGGTGCGAAGATAAGAAGAGCCCGATTCGCTAGTCTATTTAAGAAATTAGCGAAACCGCAATGCGAAGAGTAAAGGAGCGAAAGAACGGACAGCTCGCTTACACAAGACGTTGCACAGCGAGAAAGCACACATATGGTGGTTCGCAAAGCTACAAAGCATGGCGCAATGAGAGTGTAGGACCCAATCCCCACATTTAGCTTTATTATATACACGGCGAAGGCAACGTATCCGACACGTGACGATTCAAGCACGATAGATTACAGTTTCGCAAAGAAAAAAAGTTCGATGATGATGCACACTTCCAAAAAATGTACTGTGATAGTAAGAAAAAAATTGAAGTTTATTTACCCTGAATTCTTGCAGGAGTGGAAACAGAGGCTCAAGGCTATACAGCCTGACAAAAGGCATCCACTTGTATTACCAGCTCGAATCGCAGGCCATTGAATCATCACAATATGACAACACATGAAAAGCATACTCTCTGATCATTACACAAAACAATTGGCCTAGTCTTATTGCACAATAACGAGTAAACTTTAATAAATGTTCAATAAATAACGCAAATTGATAAATTAAGTTTTGAAAAAACACGGAAGCTTTGTTAAGCATACTCACTATCATATTATGTTAGAATGGACTAAATAATGGTGTAAGAGGGTATGAAATTCGTAGTTATAAAAACGATTTAACAATGTACGTATTTGGTATTCGGCATGTTTATTTGCATAACATACTATCAAAGTTGCGATTTTTCGGCATTATTGTAGGCGACCCCTACGCCATCTATTATACCATAACAGTAGTTATATTCCCCACCACAACATGGCTCCACTGACGCTCCCTGACCTTTGCCTGGCTGAGCCGATGGTTGGTCTACGCGCGTATATACCTTTGGTTTTCCTGCGCGTGTTCTTGCGCCGAGCGTAAGTGATGCCCAGTCGGTCGAAAAGTGCGGTGAGTTCGATGAGCGCCAGGCTGCGAACTTTGCGCCAGTCAGCCGGCGACAGGTGGCTGGGCACCGTGACGCCCGTGGGCTGCTCGCACAGGGTCACCAGCTGCAGGAGGCAAAAAAAAAACATAATACGGCACGCTGTAGTGAAAGATAAGACGAGTGGTGAGCACGGAATTTCAACAACGAACTGCAGTAACCACACAAAGATTATCAGAGTAAACGAGGCGTTAAGGTTAGTTTTTTTGGGGGAGTAACTTCTTTGCCACAACTATGGAGGCGGAAGTGCTGTAGGCCCGTGTGCACAGATTTAGGTGCACGTTAAAGAATCCCAGGTGGTCGAAATTTCCGGAGCCCTGCCCTACGGCGTCTCTCATAATCATACGAGGATTTTGGGACGTTAAACACCACATATCAATCAATCAATCAATCTTTGCCACAACTATATGCATCATCCTCTCATGGAATAACTGCGAAGGCACGTACTACCCTATGTGACGAAACGCCTTAGATGCCTCGTCAAGCGCGAAAAGTGACCGGCGGCGTCAACACGAGTGATGCGAAAAATCATAAAGTGATGACGTAATCACGACGTCACAAGACTCCACAATTTGTGACGTCATATGATGATGTCATTCCCGTGCCATAGTCACCTGGCGAAAGGTGGGCCTGTTTCACACGCATAGTGGGTCAATACAATCGATGAAAATAAATAAAAAATAAAGGGTGGGGAGCTTCTTCGCCTTCTAATTATCTTAGGTAAATGCACAAAGGGCTGTGTGAATTTTCCTTCTGGCTCATCAAGCTCCTCAGGGGACAAACGGTTGCTCATCCCACCCCTTCTCACATGAACAACTAAAAAAAAGGCCGTACACACAGTCATAAAAACAAATATTGGGCTCGAAAAGGAGATATTCTACTCCAGTGTAGGATTCGAACCCTGAACTCACGTTCTCGAGTTAGACAGGTTGGAAGCACCACGTATAAGCATGATCAAATATTATGGCAGGTAAGCTTAGCCTATATTTCTAACCTCGATTGATATAACTACATCGGTCAAAAGCTTGAGCAGCCTCGCCGCGCTGGTCTAGTGGCTAAGGTACTTGGCTGCTGTCAGGTCGCGGGATCGAATCCCGGCTGCGGCGGCTGCATTTCCGGTGAAGGCGGAAATGCTGTACGTCTGTGTGCTCAGATTTGGGTGCACGTTAAAAAAAACCCAGGTGGTCAAAATTTCCGGAGCCCTCCACTACGGCGTCTCTTATAATCATATGGTGGTTTTGGGACGTTAAACCTCTCATATCAATCTATAAACCAAAAGCTTTAGCAAGCTTCGTCAGACGAAACCGTAGAATGTCGCCGAGGTTCACCCCAATCACGGTTTAAATCACCCTTCGCTTGTTTCAAATTACAAAACTAGACACAATACGTTGAAATGTTGAACTGTGAATAGACAGGACATTGCGCGATCGTCAAGCTGGACACACTGTTGAGAGCGAAACACTGTTGCACGTTAGCGCTGGCTTCGCATTCAACGCTCAAGAGCAGAAACCTTTGCGTAAGCAGCGGCTTCGGGCGAAGTGGCAGTTCATTCATCACTCTGGCTCGCTCGGAGATCCTTAAGATTGCGCTGGCCCACAAACGACTGCCGCAGAACGACGTGTTTCCACCGCTACGCGCCAAGAGCAGTCGGTCAGGTTCATAAGCAAACTGCTCAATGTTTTTTTTTTTTGTAACAAGACCTATTGACACCATTTACCTGAGAAGACGATATACCAGTTGCGCAGAGCACATTAGTCCGAACGAAATTTACGTTCTTGTAAGAGCGCCAAATGACCCATCTTCCCATCTTTCTGCTTTCATTCCCTTTCCACCACGTCCGTTTTTCTCTCTTTCTATCAGACTCTGACCACAATGTCGTAGGTTCAATTCCCAGTCACGCATGTGGTAATTCATAAGGCTACCTGCTTGCAATTTCAGAGTCGTAACTAAAAATCAAGCTTCTTTATTAAAAAAAAAAACACATGGTTGATATCACTGTTATATGAATGGGTAAAACACGAAAGTAATAAAACATGTCCTTGCAGAAGTAGTTTAATGTACATAGACACAAGATAGCTTGAACATTGTCAATTGGTGTTTGACAGCTACAGCCTCGCTTAACGTGGATGCATCCACGCTTATGCTTATTCATATATAATTATCCTGACGAGTAACGTCCATCAATGAATAAACAAACCCACGCGTTCCGGAGGTTGCAGAGCTATGTTTGGTATGAATGGATGGTATGAGCGACGCCGACGCTTGTGGTATGGTGGCCACCTGGGGGTGTGTTAAGAAGTTGATAAAAAAAATTGCATTTCTGTTATTGGAAACGTGCCGAATGGGGGCGAACGCTTAGAAACGACGCGTTCAAGGAACAAATCCAAGATGCCGCGGGCATTGTGCATTACTTCACTTCACCAACAATGCTCTGGGAGGACAGTGGTGAATATATAAGGCGTATTTTTAAAGGCGTACAAAGTAGGTTATTGTCAGTAGGTTATTGTCAGTAGGTATATGCAGTCACGGACCCAGCGGTCAAGGGTTCCATCCCTATTGACGGAACTTTTCTTTTTTCTTCGTCCTCTGGTTATGCTCATTTTTTTTTCAATGTCATTTGCGCGACGGAAATACGTCCCCGAAGTCTCCGTGGACCCCGGCATAAAACACTTTAGTGTTAGTAAAATATAAACGTACACCATTACACTAAAAAATGCTCTGCGTTCCATGTGTATACGTTGCGATTTCGCGTACAGATCACCGCGGTAAAATAGCTCTTGGTGAAACGTTTCACGTATACACTGTTCATCGGCCCTTACGACTTGTGTTTTTTTCTGCAGCCAGGACAAAGCAGTCACATACCACGAGATCACTTCACATTACCGGGGACAAAGACGTGCCTTCCCAGCACCGCACCCAAAACTTAACAAAGCACAAGCTTTAACTCTCAGAAGATTGCAAACACGTACGTACATAACACCATCCACCTTACACAGAGTCGACCCCGACACACCACCCACATGCTCCCTTTGCAACCATCCCTATTGCAATTTGGAACACATGCTCTGGCTGTGCCCTACCCATAGCGCAGCACAACTGAATACCCAAGAGGCTTGGCAGGAAGCCCTCAAGAGCAATCAATACAAGCTGCAACTACAGGCGGTCCAGAGGGCCCGGGACATCGCTACAAGCCTTCGGCTGCCAGCGCCATCCTGGGCGGAGCCTCCAGGTATAATTAAGGGTCGGAATGGCCCTTTCTCAGCCTCCTCAGGATATGTTTAAATAAAGTCAATCTCTCTCTCTCTGTGTTTGTGGGTCAAGTGTGAGTCAATATTTTCTTGTTTTTCTTCATTCTTGTTATAAGTGACGTGTCTGTAATTTCTTAGGATCGAGCCTGCTCTAAAGATGCCCCCAGATTCTCGTTTTTCTATGTTTGCAATATCAACTTTATTACAGAGCAGTCCATAGTCAAGGATAAGACGGAATCTCGCCTAGAGTCGCGGATGTAAAAGAAAATGCCGATCAAGGTAAACCACACTTCAACGTAGTATAGTTTAGCTTACAGCATACTGCACTTCTATCCTATCCATATTAATGAGCGTCGGCGTGACGCGTAATGCCACGGTAAGACTTCTAGGTCGGCGCATGAAGTTACTGCCCTAAGCACCAGAGCAACATACCTCGCACGCTGCGGGCCGCCCACGCACTCTCACACTAACACAACGGAACGCCGCGTATACTGCCACGGAGAAACTGAAACGGTCAGACATATCCAGCCGTCAGGCCACGCATGCATAGAAAGTTTCTATCCTCTGTAGAGCGTGAACGCAGTTCACGAACCTTCCCTGCACATTCCTTACAAATCGGGCTTACAGTACGTGCTCATGCCCGCAGAGATTCCGCTGGCTTCTTAACCCGCATTTGTGGAGAGCTCTAGAAAAAAAAAACAAGCTGCAGTAGACAAGTTGCGGCTTTAATGTTGTCTTTCCCGCTTCCTGTTTCTCCACGCGGTCTCGCAAACAAATTGCAACCTCACGCCCAGCGCGGCGCGCTGGTTGCGGTGCGCGCTCTTGCGTTCCTGACATTTTAGGTTTTTCTAAGTGGTATGACTCTTTCTTTCTGTCTATCTCTCTGCCTGGCTTGGGAGGCCCAACGACCGAAAGTGCTGCACTTTATAACGAGCCTGAAATGTGCTCTGAAACGAGAAGCCCTTTTCTTTCTCGTTTCGATCCGCTCTCTCTCGTTAACGCACTTTCTTTTCTTCTCTCGTTATTTCGAGCATGCACGACCGACAAACTGCCGGAACCAAGCGGCCGAATTAGACTATACGAAACTCACGCGCAATCACGTGCACCCAGCGCGCCTCTGGCTTTGTGAATCGCACGCGAGCCACTCGCTCTTTTATAAAGAGAAAGCGAGTCGATTGAAAAGAAAGGCGCCGAAAAACTCCGCTCGAGTGCCGCACAGGGAAGGAAGGAAGCCCGCATGGGAATGAAGTCCACTCGCGACGAGAAACGCGAGAAGAAAAGGACACATTACGAACAGAGCGACGCAGGAAGGTCAACGACGTCGGGAGTCCTACACGAGATGAAAGCGCGCGCTCTCGCGCGTGGTCAAGCCCGAGCGTTGGTCGAACGGTCGGTGTGAAGGGGGCCTCCCGAGGAAGCGGATTACACGCGAACTATACAGTCGTATAGCAGCTACACGCGTAGAGCAAAGAACGACGCATTTGACGCCGCGTTTAGCGGTACGCAGGACACGCGTATGCCGCTTCGGAAAGCCCTGTTTTCCGGGAAAGAAAGTGAACAGGACACGCGGTCTTATGAAAGACTTCGCATGCCGTTTCCGTGCTATCCGTGGTGCATGACCGCAGTTACGCGTTAACTCCACGGCTTACATGACCGCTGAGCTGATTGGTAAAGATTTGAGACGATAATGATTATGCCGAAAAAAAAATATGTCATGAATACTCCTTTGCGTTCATTTGAAAAAGAGCTTAGGGTTTCCGGTAGTGAAATGCTTCCCATTTACCTGCAAGTCGCTAGTCTCGCTAGTCTTTTCAGCCGC